CGCGTGGTAGAGTTAGCTCTGTGGCAATCTGCACTAAACGTTTCTGAATGTCTCACCTTCATTGTGCTAGTCTGAAGTTTACTACTAAGACCTTCTCAACTAGTAATATAATTTCCATTTGCTCATCTTCATTACCTAATCTGAATATCCATTTGACCTCATATCACTTTTTTGCACACATCTATGCACCATGAGTCATTCACCCCAGCAACGTGTATACTGCTCAAACTGTAGTTGTAAGTATTCTTGACAAACATTATTAAAAAAAGCCCTTATAACTTTTTATGATTACTAATGTGACTGTTACAATCACCTTTGACAACATATAATTTTCAAAACACCTTACAACTTTTATCATTACTGCCATGTAACTATGATTGTAATCATCTCTGATAAAGAAACATGCAAGTATGATTACAGTTCAACAAAAGCTAAAAGAAAAGCTTAAACCATTTTATTTTCACTTCATTTGAGAATCTATATAATTATGCATCTATAATTGTATTATCTCTTAAAAATACTTGCACCTTTTAAAACTTTTTATCTTAACTTTTTCAAAAGCACTTATTTACCATCACTCTCACACAACCATGACTATAATCATTATTGACAATATGAAACTTTTATTATCACTGCATTTAAAATTTTCTACAATCATGCATCCATTTTATATTATCATTGAATGAATAATCACAATGTTTCACGTTTTCAACAGCAAGTTACACCATCACTCTCATATGACCATGACAAAAACTTCAACACTTTTATCATCATTTTCATGCAACCTTTACTGTAATCATCTTCAACAGCAGTTTTTCTAACAACTTTAACCATTTATATCATCACTCTGTTTAAATTATTCTTACAATATCAATTCTAATCATCACTTTATTCAAATTACTTTTACAACATTAAAGTTTTTTATGTTCACTTTTTCAATAGCAAGTTTTTACCATCACTTTTATACAAACCATCATTACATCATCATCTTTAACAACAGTTGTTTTAACAACTTTAAAACAATTTTGATCATCACTTTATTTGAATTATTTTTATAATTCTCAAAACTATGCACATTCACTTTTCAATAGCAATTGTTTACTCTCACTCTTATACAATCATGAGTATAATTATCTTTGATCACAGAAAAGTTTTAAAAAACTAAAACAATTTTGATTATCACTTTATTTGAATTGTCTTTATAATATCAATTTTTATCATTGCTCTATTGGAGTTATTTTTATAATCTTCAACATTTTTTACCTTTTTTTCAACAGCAAGTTTGTACCATCACTTGTATACAATCATTATGATACAATAATCTTTAACAACAATTGTTTTTACAACTTTAACCATTTTTAGATCACTAACTCATGAACAACCATTTAATGATTCAATGGCATGTGTGAGGTTTTCAATGTCAGCAGCAGTGAAACTAGTGTTAAGCATAGCCAAAAGTTGGGCAAAGTATCACAGAAGCAGTAACATAGTGTCACATATGTTATGTTTACCTTCTCTCACCTTGTATCCATACAGACCATACAACAGCCACTCCATCAAGATAGGAATCTGGGAGGTCAGTGTCACTGCATGAGGGATGCATTGGCATGCATGGGTCATGGAGAAACTGGTCCATTGATAAATGTTTTCTGCATATAGACAGAGGGAGGCAGTGAGATTATCAGCTTTCACTCATTGGCTGATCACCTTGGAATATGAATGGTGAGTGATCTTGAACGAATGGTCTTATAATATGAATGGTGAGACCTTGAAATACGAATGGTGAGGGATCTCAAAGGCCCAGGTGTAGCATTTCTATCACTTATCACTTTTGAGAGAGTGATTGATGCATGCTGCATCGACAATGAAGGGGTCAATTGAATCAGAGTCAGATGAGAAAATCAGTGCTAATTATAGATGATAATGCTGGAGTTGAGTCATGGAAGAACTGGTCCATTGGATCAACAATAAGACCTAGGCCAAAATATCAAGCCCTAATGCTGCTGCCTCATACTTCACCTCTTTCATATATAAGGCTGCTAACAAATCTTTATTGTCCTTATCTACTGTCTGGCAAAAATGACAGCCAAGGAAGTGTCATCGTCCATCTTCCAGTGGCAGCATTGACATTTGAGATCAGCAAGCTTTTGAACAGGCTTGAGAAACATTCTCAGCTGCTGGATACCTTCAACCATTGATTGCAAGTAGCTTAGAGAGATCATTATTCTGCTGTGCCCATAAGCTTTCAGTCACCTGAGCTTAGACATCCTCAACTGTACTGCTCTACAGTCATTTTGTGCTGCATTCAGATTGATATGCTAGAAGTCAGAAGACATAAATAATGTAGTCAGTTGACCATTGTCTTCAATATAATAGTCATCGTAATATGTGAGTCATGATAAAAAGTGTTGGAGTTCTTTTAAAATTCTTCCGTTGTTAAAGGTAATTATAATCATGGTTGAATAACAGTGATGGTAAACATTTGCTGTTGAAAAAGTGATGATAAAAGATTTTGAAAATTGTAAAAATAATTCCAATAAAGTGAATGATAAAAATTGTTAAAATTGTGCAAGCAACTGTTGTTAAAGATAATAATATAGTCATAGTTGTTATAACACTGATGGTAAAACTTACTGTTGAAAACATGAATATAAAAAGTTTTCAGTGTTGTAAAAATGATTCAAATAAAGTGATGATAAAGATTGTTGAAGTTGTTAAAACCACTGATATTAAAGATGATTATGTACTCATGGTTGTATAAGAGCAATGATAAAAAGTTGCTCTTGAAAAAGTAAAGATAAAAAGTTTCAAGATTTAAAATAATTCAAATAAGGTGATGATAAAAATTGTTAAAGTTATAAAAACAACTTTTGTTAAAAATGAGATAAAAATGCTGTTAAAAATGATTGTAGTCAAGAATAGTATGAGAGTGATGATAAAAAGTGTTGAAGCTTTTTAAAACTTTTCTGTTGTCAAAGATGATTATAGTCATCGTTGTATAAGAGTGATGGTACAAACTTGCTGTTAAAAATAATGTAAATAAAGTGAATGTTAGAAATAATATTGTAAAGATAATTTAAATGAAGTAAAGATAAAATTTGTTAAAGTTTAAAAAAAAACTGTTGTTGAAAATGGTTGTAATCATAGCAGTATGAGAGTGATGATAAAAATTATTAAAGTTGTAAAAACAACAGTTGTAAAACATAACTATAGTCAGAGTTGTATAAAAGTGATCATATAAACTTGCTGTTAAAACAATAACTCAAATAAAGTAATGATAACAATTAATATTGTACAAATAATTTCAATGATATAATGAATTTTCTAAAAATAATTCAAATAAAGTAATGATAAAAATTGTTAAAGTTATAAAAAATGTTGTTGAAGATGATTGTAGTCATGGGAGTATGAGAGTGATGATAAAAATTATTAAAGTTAAAAATGATTATATAATGATGGTTGTATAAAAGTGATGGTTATCTGCATTCTGAGTTTGTTATCAGCATGAACCTGTTATTGGCCTAGAGGTAACAAGCATGTCCATTTGAACATCATCATTCTTCTCTTCAACAGCAGCTGCATGTAGCCTCAACAAATATCACAACAAACTCATAAAAGTATCAGTAAATCTCAGGACCTCAGGAATCATTTCTGCCAGAAATGACCCTCTTACCCAAGTGAATATATTGTGACCATGTCACATTATTATCATTCTACACTAAGCTAATATTAGAATGTAAAGGTAAATGCTTAGGTTCAAATGTTAGTGCTATCTCTTGAAGCCTTAGTACTAGCATAGTATTGATCTCTACACCTAAGCACTAGCTTAGTACTAGCATAGTACTAGCATAATACTAACCTTCAGACTGTAGTACTAGCTTGGTACTAGCATAGTACTAGCATAATACTAACCTTCAGACTGTAGTACTAGCTTGGTACTAGCATAGTACTAGCATTTGAACCTTAGTACTAGCATAGTACTAGCATAGTACTAATCTTCACACCCTAGTACTAGCATTTAGACCTTAGTATCAGCATTCAGGCCTTAGTACTAGCAAAGTGCTAACCTTCAAACCTTAGTACTAATCTGCAGACCTTAGTACTAGCATAGTACTAACCTTCAGACCTTAATACTAGCATAGTACTGGCATTTAAATCTTAGTATTAGCATACTGCTAATATTAGAATCTTACTATCACTCTTCTGACCATGGTACTAGCTAACATATAAACCTGAGTATTAACCTTCATATCTTAGTAGTAGCTTAGTATATGAAAACAAGGGTATGATATAGTCACAATATTTTTATCATCTTTGATCAAAAAAGAGTGAAAAAAGATCTAAACCTTTTCATTATAATTTTGTATGAAAGATTGTAAAATGATTGAAGAAATGATTATTAATATTTCATGCAATCTTCTTTCAATCGTTTCATCATCTTTCATGCACAAAAATGTTGAAATATTTTGAATACTCTTATCACAAATTGACAGTGAAGATGCTTTAAATATTTGAACCTTTTCTTAAGATTTTTACCATCTTTTACCTCAAATTATTGATTGCTTCACCCAGTGACAGCTTAGAACCCTACACCTTGATGATGTAGGAAACAGCAAAGCAAAGCAGATATGGAACTGGAAATGTCTTCATGACCTTGTATATATTTGCAGAATGTCAATAACAGATGAGGCAGCATGCGGACAAAGGGAACACTGGGGTAATAGCAATGGAATCTGAGTTAATAAAGGTGAATTTAGTAGCGATGGTTTCGAAGGAGTGCATACGCATATGCTGTAATGATCAAAGCCGTGGAAGACAGGAAGAGCACTGAACCTGATCTTCTCCATGAAGCCAGTGATTACCACTAGATGTGTGATATAGATAGGCTTGGTAAAGCCAGTCTAAGTAAGGATGCAAGCCCTACCGTCAGCTGTCAGGCTTAACAACTAGCACAATGCAGCACAAGGCACTGATCCAGATGAATGCAGAATTGCTGTAACTTAATTCTTCTCATCTTTTGGCTGCAGCACTGTGGAGAATGGCTTGATGCTAGCCTTTCCCCATGCCATCTGGTCCCCGCAGAGGAACTGTTTATCTGCTATAATTTTTACGTTATAGCATTGCTCACCCAATATGTCCTGAATAAGTTGATGTATGACATCAGATGAGGCTCATCAACATAGACATTGAATGTCTCTCTCAGTTTCCTATATTATAGGATCAGCCTTTAGCATGGTTGAATGCAGGTTGATTCACTAATCGCTCAATGATATCGTCAAACACCTACTGCAATATGATCACGATAACTTGCCTTCACAGCCAGTTGTTCTTGTTGAGCCCAAATATAACCAGTACCAAGTCACAAATGGGAGATGAGAATGTTGTGCTGCTCATCTCTCCGAGAAGAGAATTTAGACCACCTGATAATTGCAAGAGCATATCCTCAGAAGGTGCCTTGCTGAAAGCCTTCAGAGCTTGAGCGACCAATTCTTCATCATGGACTCCATTCCCAACAATGCCAGCAGATTCAGCAGCTTGGCTCATGAGATGTTGCACTATGACATTTAGCATGAAAGGAGTGAAGAACATGTCATCTATGCTGTCGACAACAGATTGCTAGACCAAACAAATAAGGCATTTACTGGGGCTCACGCTGGTAGCTTTGGCACTTATACTTTCTGCCAATGAAAAGGCAGAAGCTTATGAGCCCCACAGTGGTGACTGTGAGTCTCTAATGATGGAGAAGATAATGGGCACTGTTGCAGAATTTCTCTGCCGTCGTGTGGGGTGAGATTGGGAGAATGTAGTTGATGCGCTGCATGTGCGCAAGTGTATGTAGACTAGATAATGCAGATTGCATTTGCAATGGAATGCTTCACTGAGATGTTCACCAAGTACAGGGTTTTTGTGAGAGTCATCTGCAAAGGTGAGCTGCAGCTGCCGGATATACTGGAAGTGATATACATTGAGATTGGTTAATATTGCATTGGGCTATATGAGCAGTGTCATGGCTATCATTGGTGGGTTGCTGGCATGCACACCCATTGTAGCTAAAGGAATATATGATGTGTATGCCTTCTTATTACTGGGAACGGAAACAGTAAGTGACAAGGGTTATTGAAAGAGCTGCATCAAAACTGGCTCCTGCATAAAGTGAACAGAGCTCATTGGCTGGCTGAAAAGTACTTCGTGGCCCATAGATCCTACAGCTAGTCTTATCAGTAAGCAATTATGCTCACAGAGAAACAGAAAGGAAGTGCATATTTGACATGAAGGGTACACAACCTGGAGTATGGTAGCTGGTTCCTTGAGGTGAGAAAATCTTCATGACTGACATGGATTCTGAAGGGGCAGATACTGCCCTGCAGAGGTTAGCTTTGAGAGCACAGTGGTCTGTGCAATGATATGGTGAGTCTCTTTGCATATGGACAGTGCATGAGTGTCTGCAGATATTGCCCTGCCAGATCAGGAACTACTTAATCTTAGCTCTTTGTCTGATGACCTTCTCTTTGTCCTGAGGAGAGTATCACTATGTACGAAGAACTGGAAGTCATCATGAAGACAATCAGGCATGCACCCACATCCAACCAGAACATATCATACCACATCTTAGACATTTGAGGCTGAGGTGATGGCATATTTTGCATGAACCACCCTCCACTTCTTGCTCTTCATCACATGTCTAGCAATGTGTGCATGCACAATGAGTGGCTGAACAAAGTGACTTGAATACATATTGGTACCTACCTTCCAGCAGAGGGGACACATTCTGCAGACAGGTGTGATTACCCAGCTTTACTGGAGCTGGCACTGGTGCTCATGTCTGATCATGCATCAGCCTCTGAGCATGTCAGGTTTTGGTAGCTGCTGAGTGCTGATTGTTCAAAAAACCATCCTTGGGTGGTGCATGTGAAGAGCATGAAGGTGACTGAGATAGACGAAGCAATGCTGGAGGACATATCAGAATAATTTGAAGATAGGCTGTGGCTACCACTGCAAGGTGAGCTGAGAGAGTTGTCAGCCATGCACAGCATCCAGTGTAAAGCATGGCAGATGAAATAAATTGGCACAGGGAAAGGACAACACTCATGAATCTTCTCTGGCAGCAGCACCGTGTGCTCAGTGCTGCCTATAATATGATGGCAGCACAATGTTTTCATTTGCACAATGTGACAACATCAATCAAAGTTACGTAAATGTTCCACATGGCAACCCACACAAATACACTCACAATCAGTATCAATTGCATTAGAGCCCAAACTTGATAACAAGTTCATGATGCCTTCACATTTTCCTGTCATCCGAGAGGATGAACACCCTACAGTCCTGCAAGATAACCACGCTCATAAAGCCATTCAGGTCAGTCCCAGTCAGTGATGCACCTGTGGTCAATGTTGATGTCCTACACAGCTTTTTTGTGGCAACCTTGCATATTTCACTGAGAACAACTCATTGAGAGCATTCTTTGCACTGGTCGAGAACTCAGTGTACATTCCTGTTAACCTGTTTCAATGTCTTATGAATGCGCTCATTGTGTTCTTTAGTCTATCAGTGGAGGTTGTAACATGAGCTGGCCATTTGACAGGATACAATTTCATCTCTTTGGCCAGTGAGGAAGCTGCTGCTAAAGCTATTGAGCTTCTGAATAAATATTTGCTTGATGGTCATCCAATTTTGGTTGATCTCATGAAGCCCATGGGAAGAAAGTGAAAAGGCGAACAACACAGGTGAATCAAAAAGTGTAAGCTTACCTCGACCATGGCTGTGCAAGTCAATATGGCCAAGGGTTTGGATAACAGTTCTGACGGCTCTGAAAAAGAGGTGCATGAGGTGATGGAGAGCACAGATAAGGTGAATATACATTTCTCTTGCAAGCAAAAGATGACTGAGACAGTTCAATAAGTCTTTCACCATTTCTGCTGCCAAAGAGGAAGCTATCATGGGTGTGGTCAGTGAATGCAATATAGATAGCAGCTTCAAGAATGAGAATAACACTGTCTGCTCCATTGAAGGTGCAATGCTTTCCATATTTGGACCACATGAAGTAAGTGGAAGATGTTCTTACCTTTTAACCTTGACTTACATGTGGTTGCCATTCTAAGGCTACCACCACTGTCCATTCTGCTGCAGAAGAGGCTAGTGCAGGCAGTGAAAGTGACATGGATATTGGTGGTGAAAATGACATGGGTCGCTGCACTGAGGATGCTACAGGTCATCTTGCCAAAGATGAATATGATCCTGTTGCTTGCACTGAAGCAGCTCCTTTACTGAGCAGCACAGTGCAGGATGCAAGTGTTAGCTGTTCATTTCTCCATCCTTTTCTGACACATTCCATCAGCCAGGGGCTGTCACTGCCATCTCTTCTACCATAAACACAGTTGTCTCAAGTGATGTCAGTGAACAAGATGAGGACAAAACGTGATGAGTGAGAGTAACCTTGCCTCCTTCAGTGAGAGGGTGATGCTTCCTGGGCTTGACTTGTCTGAGGTAAGTGCCCAGATGTTCTCACTGTTTTACCTTGACTGAATGTACTTGCCAGCTTGAGGCTAGTGCCACCATCCCTGTTCTCAAGACAGAGTCCACCTCAGATGATAAACACGATGTGAGTCACAATGCAGAGGACAAGAAGGGCCTTGCCATCTTTGTGAATGAGATTTCTCTGCCATTCAATGGGAGACATGAGGCAAGTACCAGGCTTTCTAAATTTTAGCCACTTCAGTGACATTCTGCCATCAGTTCAAGACTGCCAACTCCATCTCTCTTGCTGAAGATGGGGTTCTGTCAGGGACAGAAGCCATTCTGTTTGGGAGCAACAGAGACGTTGAAGACTGCATCTTCAATGACGAAGAAGCTGAATGAATTAGTTATGGTGTGGATGACCAGTGAAGTATGCATACATGTGTTCACTCATAGAACAGAACAGGATTCATTCAATAGCTGCCTCATTCATGTTGCACTTGCATTCATCGCTGTCGTCCATGTAGCAGATCTTGTCACCTGTAGTATTCGTCTCACACTCTTCTTAAGTGTTGAAATTGGTTTCATTTCACGTGCAATGCATTTCTGCCTCAGGCATCCAGATGATAACAACAAATCCATTTGATTAAGCACATTAGATGGTGACAAATTATTTAGGTAAAAAGATATCTTGACCCCAATTTGAACCTTCACCCGTTGATATATTCAGAGTGTTATTGTAAGTTTATCTGTCAATCATGACAGGCAGAATGACTGCTGAGCCAAGAATCTTTAATGGATTACCTTGTCTCTGGTTTAAACTGTGACCATGATTCAAACCTCTGCTCACTGCACCAAGCAAGCTGAATATGATTCCTGAGGTACGAAGAAAGCATTTGTGCGACACTGGGCACTTAGAGCATCTATGTTACATTTTTTCATCTCCATGGGACACTTAAGCAATGCATGGAAGAGTGAACCATTACAAAGTGGTTTCATTGTCTGCCCCTGTCCTGAGGTTAGGAGAGGGATCTTTCTTCAAAGGTTTCTTACTAAGTTACATTTTGTTCTTACTCAGATTTGTTATCTTTTCTAATAAGCATACAAGCCGGAGTTTGAACCTGCATGACACGGCTGATTCAAACATGTGCAAATATTCTGAGCCAATCACAGCACTGAATTTGCTAGGGTTAATGCCTTAAGGGCTGATGGCTTCAAAGCCATTCAAACCATTGTATTTAATGGCTTGAAAGCGATCTAAACCAAGGAATTCAATGGCTTCAAAGTGATTCAAACCATCATATTCATCATTTTTGATGTCTTCAATGTGACATAGCAACATGAACAATCAATGAGACAACATTTTTCAGACTTACTACAGTTTCTACTTCAGAAATGAACAATAGATCTTTACATTTTAATGCTTTGCACTTCAGTTCATCATTCTGAGCATATAAACCAAAAGCTAACGATGCAATTGTAGTTTTCTGCCACTGGAGTACATTGATTGACCTTATTTGCCTTTGGTGGCTGAGCCACAGCTCTAAGTGTGGCTGATGGTTTTCTGAGCTTGATACATGTGTTTTTATTGCTTGAAAAATGCATGAAAGAAGAGAAGTGATAATTAAAGGCCTCATAGAACATGTTGAAGTATATAAATGATTTATGCACAGCTTCAACAATGCATTTCTTCAATAACACTCAGTGCTGCTGTTGCTGAACTAAATAACCTTAGCAGGCTTAGATATTGTTGACAACTGGAAACCTTAACATGTACAATAGAGTAAATTGCATGCTGATGTCTCACTTTGTATGCTATTTCCTCATTTCATCCATACAAGCAGAATAGTTGGGGTAATCTGAGTCTTCAGCCACCATGATAAATTGTTAGAAATTCTGGTCCATATTTCGACCTTTTTAAATGTTTGAACATATCACTAATACATAGTTAATGACATCTTGATGGCTCTGCAACTAGAACCACATGTGGTCCATTTTTCGGCTCAAAAAAGCGAAGATTTAAGACCACAGGATGTCAGCCATCCAAATTTCCACACTTTCAGTTGCCACAATGCGCAAATAATACCAAATTATGACGTTGTTTGCACAATGTCTCCAACTGCTCTCAATTTCATTCCTGCAAAAGGAAAACATGTCATTTCTCATTTTTTGAGGCTCTGTGGCCTCAAAACATCATGCTTATAGTCTGGAAAATTTGTTATCTTCTGTAATGCACATAGAGCGCTGAGTTTGAAGCTGAGTTTGAATATAATGACGTGGCTAATCCAAATAGGTACAAATATTCATGGTCAATGAGAGTGCTGCATCTGCAAAGATTATTTATTAAATCAACTGAATGCTTTTAAAACAAATAAAACATTTTCTGGTGTATGTAATGTGGCCCAATAGCATAGTACCATCTTAGTAATGTATCATTTAGCATTTTTCGGAGTTCTAACAATTTTTATTCAAGATCTATAACTGTTGCAGTCCGAGTTTTCAGCCACTAAAATAAATTGATAAGGCCTTATTTGCCTGCACTGGCTGAGTTACAGTCCTTTATGGCTTATGTATTTCTGAGGCTACATGACAAGGATTTCTTGTATTGTACTGAAAATTTTATACAGAGACAGATGATGTTGAAAGGCATAATATTAATATATCACAAGTTATGAATGATGTGTGCAGAGCCTTAGAAAACTGTTAGACTCACATTCAGGGCTGCTGTGGCTGAACTGAAAACCTTAGCACACAGTGATAATATTGACAACTTGAAGGTTTTGAATGTGCATATGGTATGTTGTGCCCTTCTATTTTACATGGTGTACTTGCTATTAGCAATGCATCTATCAATAATCTGTGTATGTGTTCAGCCAAATCAGTTCTAGCTATGCTGTAGTTAATCTTTCAAGGTATGAATCATACACAACATACTCAATGAGCATGGCCTCTGTGATTATAATAATTAAAAGCAGACCTTCTACTGTGAGGGCTATGAGACCTATGGCAATTTCAGTCACTGAGTATTTTCATATTTGACAAATGGCTGGCTTTTGTAAAGGTGCTAGAGCCTTGACTCTTATCTTTTGATTTGAAAATTTGCTACAGTTTATGAACATCATGTGAAGCATGATAATCAGATTTATTGCACATAATTCACATGCATATTGCTGTAGAAAATGAAGATATGAATCAGTCTTTTAAGTAATGCAATCATAGTGCTGAATATGTTTCTGCAAACTCAGTCCTTGCCCTTCTACAACAAAATATGTCTGTGCAAAATAGCAATATGTTATAGAATGTGATTTATGAGTGATGTTTCATGCAAATTTCAAGTAGCACTTCAAAGAGCAAAGTCAATGATACATTTTAGGGCAAATATGGCTGACAAAGGGATACACATTCTATAAGCTCAAACTCAACCTGTTTGAGAAAAAGGTAGGGTCAACAACAATTCTCTGCTAATGGATCATGCATATATGAAGTACAAAAATCTATGTAGCAAAGTGTGTTCTATTTCTATGCAAGAAAGTGATGATTGTTCTTCATAGTGCTGAATATGTTACATTCTCTATTGATAGCAAAACAAAGGCACAGTTATCTACAGATTATGTTTCACCTATGCCATTGTTATTCTCTTTCAATGTTAAAACCTGTGATTCTTGTCTACAGTATTGAACCAAAATGGCTCAATTGACTGGCACAACTTCATTTTATACATCTGAAAACACTATAATCTTGAACTGAAAAGCAGGAGAATGGTTGCAGGCACATTAGATTGAAATTTCAGTTGACCTGTGAAGCATATTATGAAAAAAAATTATGAAAAGTATGACTTGAGCACGTTGCTAGACCCTTTGCTATTTATAACAGATGAACAGAGAATGAGCTTGGTCCTACATTATATGTTGAAAACAATAAAACGAATGATCACCTGTTTGACACCTTTCACAATAGTTATTACTTAAGGTTAATCAGCATTTCAGCTCATTTTTGACACCTGTACAGTCGAAACCCAAAGTTTGAATAGCATAGTGTTATGAAAATACTATTTGTACTTGATAAAGCTCAAAGTTTGAAATAAATACTATATGGAGATACTATTTCTATATTGTATAAAGGCTGGTGCTAGTATAATCCACTATAAGTCAACAGTTACAATGCTGTATATACATTTTGCACTCATCACTCATCTATAAAGCACATCTTCAGTGCTACATGCATAGATCATTGGATGATTTGTCCTATAGTGCATGAAGATTGATAGTTCTATGGATATCTCTGTACATACAGTCAATACACTACATGATGCAAAGAGGTATAAAGCTGTTAAAAAATCTAAGATACAAGTTGGTGCATGCAGGCAGTCATTTAGCATATAAAGTGACATATATGTAGTAGGTCACACAGCAGGTAAGCTCAACTTGAATCAGCCCAGATTCAGAAATATGTTCATCATCACAGCATGAAATGCTTACAGAAATGAATTAATGAGCTTGGCTATGCTGGCTCTGTCAGAGAGGCAGAACAGTGACTTCAGAAAGACTGAAGGTCAGATGCAAAGGAAAAGAAGGGAAGGGCCAAAAACATGCTAAGAATTATACAGATTTATTGATGTAACACATCTTTGAAACATCAAGAGTTTTATAAAATGTATTTCATGATTGGAGTAAAAGCTGTTGTGGCAATTTGACTTGGCATGCCAATCATGATCAAGATCAATAATGCCACAGAGTGACAGCTATAAAGTGTCATGTTATCAATGGTGCAGAGCATGTAGTGATAGATGAAAGGCAAAACCTTTGCAGTAAAACAAGGTGGCCCTGAACACACTTTTGTTAAGCTAATCAATTGTGAGAAATCAGATGACACTTTATACTCAATTTTGCTATGACAAACTTCACCTCTTACAATCACACAAGGTCTAACAACATGTACACTACCCTGTTTGCAAAACTAATCTCCAAAATTGCAAATCTGATCAGTTTGTGTACAATTGTCCTTTCAGAGTTTCAGGCTTTGATGACTATGAATCACTTAGTTAGACAAAAATTTAAATCTACAGCTTTTAGATGAGATAATCAAGCTGCATTGAAAACAAAAGTTGTATAGTCAAAGATCTAACTAGAAATGCACCCATCATCTTCCACATATGTATCATGAAAGGGCACAATATATATGTCTAAGACAATGCATAGTTAACACAATTGAGAAGTCTGAGGTCTTTTTTTGCATTGAGAACCTCATGGACACAGAAAACAATGAAAGAAGAGCAAGCATGTAAAATTGTATATCTGTTAGAAAAACAAACACAGTTTTACTGTTAGCAGTGACAATAGTGAAAAACCTCTACTGATTGCAATTGCATCAATCATGTGAGCAGCAAGAGTGGGAAAAAGGTAAAATCTTTTTTATTGCTTGCCATATATTCAGCTTCAGTGGAGTTAAAACAGAATGAAGATACTTTTTGGTGAACACATGACAGCCTTTCCTCCATACTTAAAGATGTTCACAAATCATCCAGAGCAAGGGAACAATTATTCAGCTCAAATTGTTTTTTTAACAATTTCACCAACCTTTTTAGCAAGGCAAAGACAAGTGTATGCTCTACGAAAGATGCAGAGATGTTTTTCATGCTGTGTTGCATAGTGCAGATCCTGTTGCATTTTCTATTACTGCAAAAAATGGTACAGATGTTCATAGTTTCTGTCCTGCTATACTTGAATGATAATCTCTCAACATTAATAATCTTAACTCTCTATCAGTGTTGCAATAGAGATGTGAAGAGAACAGATGCTTTCATTTATTTACAGAACTGGAGCCTAGAGAAAATGTTCTGTCATGTTCAGCTTCTCAAAGTCAATCAAAAGCTCTTAAAAATGGCTGCAAGCCTTTTTCCTTAGAAATCTCAGTCAGCATGTCAAACATGTCACAGATGACTGATCAAGATAGATAAAATTCATTCATCAGAAATGAAAAGCAAGTTTAGGTTCATCTTACACTATATATTGCAGAGAGTAGTATGAAAATTTAATTGTGTGATATTCTTGATTTATCACTTATCATTTTACTTTAACAGTGAATGGTATGAGTGGTCACATATGGTTTCATGGTTGGATTATCACTAGCAATAGTTTAATGCAAGAGAAATGTACAAGTAGCTAATTATAAAGTCAAGCATATCACAGATTTAGCTTGGTGACAATCTATGCAATACTGCATTGAATTTCTCCATATTTCTATACTGTGAATCTTGAATATACTGATATTGATACATAATGTAATACATTATGATTTCTTAATCACATCAGGTGCAGTAGTGTAGCAATGATCTACAGCAGTCAAATGATTAAGATATATCTGAGACACTTATAAAGATCATAATATAAAGTATTAGCAGTTAAGAGCCTTAAATTTCAGAAATTGTTCCTGCCAGAAATAGTCCTCTTACCCAAGTGACAGCCAGGATGAGGAGGGCAACAAAAGCCAGGATCAGCATTCACTAATCCTACATGATCCAGAGCAGCACATCAGGTGATGGGAGAACAGACACACATGCAACAGCAGATACACCACCACAGCGAGAGTGAGGAGATAGGAGGGATGAGGTGAAGTGATGGTTGCGGTTGAAGAGGAGGACAAACAAGTGCCAGATTTTCCATGGTGCATGGACAGTGTGCTGGTGCACGTGAACAGCATCAACTATTCATGGCAGATGAAAACCAGACACAGAGAGCATAGTCAGTGACAGCCAGGGTGAGCAGGATAATAAGGCCTGGAATCAGCAAAGACTATATCTTAATGAGGAGTGAAAAGATGAGGATGACAAAAAAGCAAATGAAGACAAGAGCAGCATGATCAGCTGCTACTAATCCCTCAACAATGCCAACACTAGATAGCACTGTGAACAAAATTGACTATTCACAGCAGAGCAAGAGCAGACAGATGAGAGAGCAACAACAGGTAACATCATGGGATACCTGCATGTGGATAAAACATTACCATTAGCATTATAACTGAATGCACATGGATAACTCATTACCATTGATGTTACAATGAGTGCCAAATACCTGCATGTGGATAAAGCATTATCATTAGCTTTACAACTGAATGTATGTAAATATCCCATTACCATGGACATTACATGCATGTGACTAAAGGTTGGCGTTGGTGTAATGCATATGACATCAATGAGATCAACAACACATAGAGACAACAGGAATGTGGCGTGTTGATATTATGAAGAGTGATGAGCACAGAATAACTAATCGAGCACCGATCAGCAAAGATGACACGATAGTAATACAGACAATTTTGGATGACCGGTAAAGCACAACCACAAGAATGCTGCCCCAGTCAGGGAACCTTGTTAAATCCATAAATCTAAGAGCCTGCCCTGATTGGGGGGACCTTGTAGGCTTAGTGTGTCTGAAATGACTTATGATGACAGGGTGAATGGATGCAATGCTACCCAGCTGAGCTGAATGCTCATCTAAGCTACCATAGAGTACGATTTCCTGCATGGTGATCACTACAACATCTTGCAACAAAACAAAATATGTGTACATGACGTTAACAAGAGCATTAGTGAGAAAATAAGGATGACTAGAGGCTGTTGGTGGATGATTTGACAAAGAGATTGTAAAAAGTGAGAATGAATGAGAAGTGGTTGAAAATGTTACCAGGGTTGTCAACAGGATGAGCAAGCCACTGAGAGAATGCATTCATAGAACTGAACACAGAAAGCAAAATCTCTAGGTATGCGACAATGTTGTGAATATAAGCAAGTTGTCCATTATGTCTGAATGCCCAAATCTCCATAACCATGTCCAGGACTCTGAGTGTTGCTGAAGCGACATCCATCATTGGAGGTCATTTTGACCTTTGGCTAGCAGAGCATGCATGAAAGGAGCAACAAATGTGATCCAACAAAAGAAGCAGTAGGACCACCACACCTGGTTGAGTTGTCATTGAGCATGAACGGATGAAATATATGTGGACCGATCATGGCAATGGTGGTCATCATGCTGACCAGAAGCAAGATAATGGCCTTGCATGGAATTACACACCCAACACTTAATGCAGCCCATGTGGTGGACATGAGAAACAAGATCGAAGAGGATCTGCATCTTCTGCATAGTCTGTTCAGTTCCTTGAGCTATTGGTTGCACATGACTTTGAACTGTCAACGACTGTGCGATGGGAGATTTCAGTATCAGAGGTTGGTCAAGGTGAGAAGATTGAATGACAGAAAGAGGATCACTCTACGAGAACGTAAGTGACTGCATAATACATGGCAGTGAGTGACTGACCTGGCACATCTGTTGACAGTTGTCACATAATACCCCATTGAGATAGACCACACAAGAGTGTACATTAATGTCTAATGTGAATAATGTGATGTGGTGACAAAGCCTGGTTTCTAAAAAGTCAATCATCTCCACAACACCATGATAATGAGAATGCTCTGGGTCTTGTGAGTCTATGAACAGTTTGCAGCACCAGATAGTGATGGATCGGGAGGGTTTGCCATCCCTACCAGCATGACCAGATGCCTGAGTAAAATTCACGGCATTGTAAGGGCCTGTGTTAATGACTTCTCAGACATGAGGGTAGTCAATGTCCTGTCCAAAACACATAATGGTGAAGATCCACTGAGACTGTTTAGAATTGGTGTTGCACCAACAATCTGTGATTTCCTCCTTGAGATGCTTGTTTTCTTCTAGGTCAGAAGAGATCTTGCTAACAAAAAAAGGGTATGCTGAGTTGCTCAGAGATTGCTTTACAGCCATCAATGCTGTGTCACATAAAACATCCAAAAAGTGCTCCTAAATGGTGGCAGAGAGAACAGTGATCAGAATGCCAAGCTCTACCAGCAACCTGAGCACCTTCATGCATGGACAATAATCATCCTGCATGTAAAGATGGTGGCCTTCGTCGCTAAATTCTGAACCTCACAGCTTGAGCCCATGACATGAAAAACTCCGTGCTGGCTTGATGAGCAGATATAAAAAGAAGTTAGGTGTCATAGACATTCAATTTCAAGTCAAAAAGAGACACTTGCACCAGTGATCCATGTGCTCAATGGAGCAAATCATTGGTGAGGGCAGTTAGAGGAAATATGATGATGAACATGGACTTGGAACAAAAATACGTAGCAGTGAAAAATGCCATGGTCTTGCCACTACAGGTGGGAAGGATAGCAAGTACATGCTCAGTGCCCAAGGATGACTGCACCACTTCTGCTTGCTGTGGAGACTTCCTAGTCAGATTTGAACTCGATGGGAAAAAAAATGCAGTGATCAAACCAGATCAGGATGATGAATGATGAGACATTTGGGAGTTGAAAGAAAGGATCATGAGGGGCCCACTTGAGTGATGAAATAAGTGAGAGTTTGTAACACATCAGTGTGACAGGCAAGTTGTCGCTTGGCAGCAGCCTGTTCTTGAATCTGCATTCATTGAATGACAGCACTGCTCATGGCTGATGTGACTTCTTGAGCCATTGGGGCAGCCATGGTGTGCACAAGGGGGTTCTCTGCAGCAGACAACATGAAGGCTTTCACATGTGCAGGATGGGCTTGGCTGATGGCATGTTGATAGCAAGTGCTGACTCGCTGCATTTTGCCAATGTCAAGGTGCAGAAGTTCATAAAGTTAGTTTGTTTCCTGGATACCGTAGTGCTGGTTGACAACTTGTTCTCCATGGTTAAAAGATTTTTGGATGGCAAGGAGATCAACATCTTCTTTGTCAGGTGCAAACAAATCCATCCAGACAATGTTCACCACATCAACTGTCACCAACCATGTAGGCTCATGGTAAGTTCAAAATGTCACCTGGTATGCATGTGAAGACAATCATTCCAACGTAATTTAAGAATCAGCATCTGCTAATCCTAGACGATTGAGATGAGTGAAAAGATAATGATGCCAGAAGAGCAAACGACAACAACAGCGACAGACCACATAGCCAGTGACAGCCAGGACGAGCAGAGTGACAAGGCCTAGGATTAGCAACCACTGATCCCAGGTGATTGGGATGAGAAGTGCAGATGAGGACTCCAGGGAAGCAAACAAGGACAAAAGCAATGTAATCAGCATCCACCAACCACTCGACAATGTCAAGAAGAAGCAGCATCATGAACAGAATCCACTATTCATGGCAGATCAAAAGCATGCAGAGCATAGTGAGTGACAGCCAAGATGAGCATGGCAATGAGGTCTAGGATCAGCATTCACTAATCCTAGGTGATCTGGAATGGGATGTCAGGAAGGAGGAGCACAGACACAAATGTGACAGTGGATAAACCACCATGGTAAGCAGGTTAATTGCGATGAGGGTGATGAGGAGAGAGATGAGGGTTGTGGTTAAAGCATGGAACAAACAAGTGTCTGACTTCCCACGCTGCATGGTCCGAGCACTACCTCCACAATTGATGCCATATAGCTTAGTGTACAGTAAGAAACTTCTATGTTTTTTACATCGATGTTTTTTACATCGATGTAATTTACATGTATTTTATGTGTAATTTACAAGGTATTTTACATAGTTCCAAAATACTCATGTCAAAAATGTCAAAAAAGGGTCATCACATGCACCTATATATCAGTGACTCAGGCAGGTAAAGCTAGTCAAAAGACAAGAGTGGACTCGCAAAAGCCAAGAGACACACCAGGCACTAAAAATAAAGGGAGAAGCCGGCCACCTAAAACTTCGCTTCGATGATTAAATCTGATGCTCTCATTTTTCATGCAAGTGAGTGGATTGGCTCAGCAAAATCCCATGACAGTCACCAGATACTGTCAATGTGATATATAATTCAGCAGAATTGCAGCACATACTGTCAACCACTGCTCCAGTTTCTTCTACAATGACTACTGATGGTGAAGATTCAGAGGGGCAGCCCAATGCTATGAGTACAGAGGACATGATAGTAGGGAATTTTGATTGCAGCATGCTTTAATACTGTGTGACTTTATGTCTTTTACATTTTTGACATGGTTTTGAATGTTTTTTTTTACATGTAATTTACATGTAAGAAATCACGTTCAGTGAAGTCACATTTTTGGGCACCTATAACATGTGCAGGGACTTTTTGACATTAAAAACATCATGTAAAATACTTATATGGTGAGTGGACTTTTTGACATTGTGTAAAAAACAACTGGAGTTTCTTGTCATATGCTAGTCTAGCTGGATGCCCTCTACTCTTTCCTTCCTGACCACCTCACCCACAGCCACCACCACTGTGCCTCACCCACTTCTGGCTCTATCAAGTATTGCAACACCATCAGTGACATCTCAGACCTCACTATTCTCAGCTTGTTGGGCAATGTACTCGACAGTGTAACTGGCCTCATCAGTATCAATTATAGTGCTTTCGATGAGGATACTTGGTGAGTGCACCACGTTCATGTTCCTGGAAGGTCAATGAACAGGGGGTTGTTGCCATTGCAGGTGACAATGGCACTCTCACATGTCGAGATTACAACATGGACACTGCATTCCAGATGCTCGATGATATCCCACAACCTGATTCATTAGAGGCACAGTCAGGCATGTTTTGCTCGACATTCAACATGACGGGATCTGCTCTCATTTTGGACAGAGTGGACAAGGTCATCAAATGAGGGGTGTAATCATGCAGAAGCGGCCACCAAGTCAGATCCGATGGCTCTGGCTCCCCTTCCTATGCACAATGCACTGACAAAGCTAATGAAGGGGTGAGCTCAGATATGCACATGGCTACTGCTTACAATCCAGAATGCATGAAAGTCATCCCGGGATGTGTCTTTCTGCTGGAATAACCTGCACGCAGACATCTGGTCACCAATGTCTACCTGCCACCTCAACTGAAGAATGAGAAATTCCTCCTACTGGCAGGTGATATGACAGAAAAGATCAGGGATGAGGAAGCTCTCCAAAGTTGGGTGAATGAAGGAGAGAATGAAGGACTGCCTTGGGAAGGAAGACAATGTGCATCACAGAATGCACCACATAGTCAAGGAAGTGCTATGAAAAAGTGATATTACACATGATGGAAAGGATCTGTATCACTGGGTGAAACAATCAATAATTTGAGGTAAAAGATGGTAAACATATTGAAGAAAAAATTCCAATCTTTTAAGCATCTTCACTGTCAATTTGTGATAAAAGTATTTATAATATACTTAACATCTTTTGTTGTAAAAGATGATGAAAAGGTTGAAAGGAGATTGCATAAAGTATTAATAATCATTCCTTCAATCAATTTACAATCTTTCATACAAAACTATGATGAAAAGTTTCAAAATCTTTTTTCACTCTTTTTTGATTAAAGATGATGAAAATATTGTGACTATGTCACACCCTTGTTTTCATATACTAAGCTAGTACTAAGATATGGAGGTTAATACTTAGGTCCAGATATTAGTACTATCTCTTGAAGCCAGACAGCCTCAGAGAAAGGAATTGTATCAAAAAGTCAACAGGGGGCTTCTATCTCATGCCACCACCATCAACTAAGTCAGTGTGATCCTCATGAGAAGAGAGACTCCATGCAAGACAACTGAGAGCCCAGCCAGCATCATAAACATGCCTGATCAACAGAACAGCAGAGACAGGCTAATGCATCCATCAGCTTCAAGCAGGTCAATGCATGACGAGATGTAAGAGAGTTTATGTGCATTGAAGATATGTGGCCAACAGTGATCGAGATAGATATCGAAATTAATGTGGCTGTCATATGCCCACATTTTGATCAACAGCTTCTAAAGTCAAATATGGCTAATTCACTGAAAATAAGCCAGTCCTGTGTGAGAAAAGATCTTGCAATGAATCAGTTTGGTCTGACCTAGAGCAGATACTTCTATATTTAATGAAAAAAATGAACTGGACTTCAGTCCAGTATGGTTTGTGAGCTTTTTCATGGCTCAACCATCAGCACTTCATGCATGATGGATGAACTGTTTAACCTAGCTCATTTCACATAAACTCTTTCTACAGCCAGTGATGGTGGGTGAGCAATATGGTTTGCATTGATGAGCTGCATTCTTTCTACAAAATGTTCATGTATTCATTTTCTCTCTTTCCCAAGCCTGTCTGGAGAGATACTCAGACTCCTTGTCTCCAGATGCATAGAAGGCTTCAACTTTCATCCTTCTTCTCTCTAATAACTTCTCTGTCCCTGCCAACCTTCAACACGCATTCCTGCTGACCTTGCTCTTTTTATGAGACCTTCATTCTCTTGACTGCTCAAGCATGACTCACCTTGACCATGAATTCAAAGACTCAAAAGCATGGTCAGACTTAATAGAAGATATGTACACTGTGATTAATTTAGCGTGCATGCAGAGAACTAACCCACTCATTGTGCAAAAGCGAAACATTGACATCTGCTCATTAATATCACTTATGTGCAAATTGAATGCATCCAGAGCATGTTGACCACCACTGTTTGTGATGATATAGTCATGTGTATGTGTCGAACATCATTCTCTCACATTTATGATATGCATTTCCACTTTACCTATTATTATGTATCACCTCCGACCCTCATATCTTTAATTTAGACAATGATCCAAGATGCAACAATTGACAAACTTTATGTTCCAACCATCTTTCTTCATGCTTAGCTTAAGCACATGTCTATCAAACTAATGTGGGCACATTTCAGATTATAGCATCAGATTGTCACTCATCACTTATATCATGCAGCATCCTTCATTGAATCAAGCTCACAGTCAATATCAAACAAATTGCACTTCATGTGAGATTTAAAGGGATATGGCAAGTCTTATATGCACTAATGTCAGACCTCACACAGTGGTTAACATGACAACTAAAGCAATCTAGAGCAGACATTATAAAATACAGCCATCACAGCCCACCTTGAACCCACACATCGAACATGAGATGCACTTCTAGATTAATCTCAAAAGAAAGCTTGCAGAGTATCAGGAGCCACCAAAGAAAATTTCTGAGTTGTGAAAAAGAGTGAAGAAGGAATGGGAGGCTATTGGAAAAAAGGTGTGTCAGAATTTAATTAAACATATGTCGAGGAGGGTGAATGCAGTGGTGAAGGCAAAGGGATGCTATACCAAGTACTGAAAGTATAAGTTTTATAGAACCTGGATACGTGCTATAAAACTGTGAATAAGAGTGACTCTTAAAAATTAGTAAATAAAAAATTGTTCGAAATATCAGAGCACTGCATTAGAAAGCCATGATGATAAATGTTCAATTGAGCCCTTATTTAACTTGGGTAAGAGGGCCATTTCTGGCAGGAATGATTCCTGAGGTCCTGATATTCTTCATAATGTATTTTATAAGTTTATCATGATATTCACCACATTGATTGACGGTTACATATTGTTACTCACATTGAAATATCAGTCTCTTTGACAGAGATCAAGGATGGTATGATTGTTCGAGAAGCAGCTGTATTTAAAGTGACAATGGTTTATGGCAAAGACCACAGTTAAAGGCAATGGTGTGTAGCAGACTGTATTTTCATTATTGAAGGTCAGGCTAAGCAGAGTTTAGTGTAGATTGCTACAAAGCTAAATCTACCATGTGCTTTGTTGACAAGAGTAGGGTGTTCCATCTTCACAGGGTATTCTATTGTTGGAGTATTACCTGTAACAACTTCATCATTGTACTGTGTTTGACCATTAATGACAACAAACCTTGCAGTGAAATGAAACTCACTAAAATAAATCATACTGCACAAGTGATATTTTATGCCTTGTTCTTCAATGCACACAGCAGGATTTAGCTGAATTTGCTTCTGATTTGTTATAAATGCTCAGAAGTCAGTGATGTTGGCAAATACATATCTTCAGACCAGTCTTTTATTGCAGCTTTGACATGCAAAGTGTGTCTTTTTTTAAAAAAGAAAAAGGGCTTGCAGCCATTCTGAAAGCTTTTCATTTTTTGAAGAACCTAACTTAACAGAGGACTTTCTTAAAAGTGATAAACTGCAGTCCTATAAATAAATGGAAGCATCTTCTGCATTCATGACTACATTGCAATGGTGACAATGAAGTTGGATGGTAACATTAGAAGATGAAGACTGAAACATGGCAGAACATAAGCTGTAGATATCTGTTTCATCTTTTCCAGTGGTGGAAAATGCTGCAGAGTCTGCAATGTGTAATAAGAGCTTTAGATTGTGTTAACATGGGTGAGGTCAATCCCCTTGCCCAAAATGTCATGAACCTTGGCAGAACTGCAAGATATCTGCCATTTTGAACAGTGGCCTTAGAAGGGCTTTCCATTATCTGAAACTTAGTTGAGGCCACCATTCAGGTCCCTGAATCTCTCTGATATCCTTCCTGAGCATTCAATCTACACCTCCAGAATGTTATGAAACTTGACAGTACTGCATGGTTTGAGCAGTGTCAAGATATTCAGAGTGGCCTCAGGAATGCTTTCCATTATCTGAAACTTGGTTGAGGCCACCATTCACGTCACTAAAGCACTCTGATTTTTTCCTGAGCATTCAATCTACACCCCCAGAATGTCACGAATGTTGGTGGAACTGCAAGACATCTGCCATTTTGAACTGTGTTGAAATATTCAGAGCAACCTCAGAAGAGCTTTCCATTATCTGAAATTTGGGTGAGGCCTCCATTCAGGTCCCTACACCTCTCTGATATTCTTCCTGAGCATTCAATCTACACCACCAGAATGTCATGAACCTTGACAGTACTGCATGATTTGAGCTGTGTTGAAATATTCAGAGGGGTCTCAGAAGAGCTTTCCATTATCTGAAACTTGGTTGAGGCCACCATTCATATTCCTAAGCCTCTCTGATATGCTTTCTGAGCATTGAATCTACACCCCCAGAATGTCACGAATGTTGGTGAAACTGCTGTCATGAACCTTGGTGATTATTCATTGTTATTTCTCAACTCAGAAACTGCAGCCTGTTGCATGGCCTAGATAGTTCAGATTCATACTTCTGCTATTGGCAGTGCTAAAGCTAAGGTAGATACCCTAGTCCTGACTTTCTCTAGATAGGTCATGTGTATCAATCTGTTGAATGCAATGCTTTTCATGTCTGCTGCCTTCTGCCACTCCCTGAATGGTTGACACATTCTCAATGTCTCACTGCACTTCCATCAGATCATGATGGCACGTCTAACCTAAGACAATGGTGTGCAACATCTTTTGAACCAGAAACGTAAGCAGGGTACAGCAAAGCACTTTTCCTGGAGGCACAGGACCAAAAATTGCTGCACTTTGATTTGCACATCTGTCGAGAAAAATGCACTCAGGTTAAAGGCCCAGAAGAAGAGAAAGAAGTATACTGATGCTATTAATGAGGCATGCTGAGCACTTTGGGAGCTAGCAGAGTCCCTCAAAGACTGCTTCAATAATCATGATGCCAACTACTATTACTGTGAGTTGATGCAGAGTGCACGTATCACTGAAAAGAAGAGAGCCATCAATCGTTGGAATGCATTTCTGCACAAGGAGGTAGCTCAGTTAAATGAAGGTAAGTGACAAGTATCCATTCCATGATATGATACCAAGTTACCCGATGAAGAGACATGCAAGAGTGTTGCAGCCTATACTTCAATGATCTCAGCAATGTCACAGGCCATGTCTAAGGAAGAAAGAATCAAGGCTACTGAGGATTCGATTGAGAAGTTAGAGGATCTACATGAGATGAAGTCTCACACGAGGCATAACATGGAGATTAATGCATTTTGTGATGCTCATGGGACCCTGAGAAGCCTTGACTGTGAGGTGAGTACAGTTATCACAGTTTTTCCACTACAATATACCTTTGGCATCATGCCAAGGTATAAACCTTAGACATGACACAAGACAAAGATGTCACAGGAAGCCACTTACAATCCACCAGGAACACATTCAGTCATGTGACCTAGACAAGCGCCCACACTAGCACCTCTAGCACGTGACCCCTAACTAGCACTCAACTACGATCACTGAAGTCCACAAGGCTCAGCTATCCCATGTGACATCGAGGCACCTTACTAAGTAGTAGACATCTCATTGGCCACTCAATAGTGGTCCCACTTCAGTCACCGACAAGGTGGCATCATGTTATACAATTATCTCATTGGATAATCTCACAGCCAAAGTGAGTAGTTGTCATGGCGAGACCAGAACCATTACTGGTTCTGGCATTATGTTCACATGTAAGATACCAGAGGTCCCACAGTAGCACAAGTGCCAGGGGCCCTGCCATACATGTATATAAGCACCTATGAGGAACTGGGTATCCTCAGTTTCATTCATCAATTTTATGAGGCCTAACAGCCACCACCTCTCTTTTGTGTGCGATAAGGCAAAGGGTCCTTTGAACCCCTTCTTGCTTCATATCATCATCCACCACTGGTGATGAGTCACAGGATGCAGGCAGCACCTTGCAGCCAGCTTCTTGCCTTCTCAGGCAGGAGTCACAATGCACCGTAACAACAGTCTAGATTTTGCAAGTGCTTCCTCTCATCACGACATCATGATCAGATGAAAGCCCTTAGTCGGTGCACTGGTGTTGAAATTCTGGTCTTTGCCGTGAGATCAGACCTTCAACAATACTCCAGGCCATATATTTTCTTCACCAACAATCACCTTCCTGAATATTTTGAATTCACCACTAAGAGCACCGCAACTGACTTTGCAATGCACATGGAGTCATCCATGCTCTCTGATGTTGAAGATGTGTATTTTACATAACAGATATGGACATGTTAGCATGTATGATGGATACTAATGATGGCTCTATTGCCAGGCACCATCAATCACTATGCTCAGGGAACACTGGATCTGAAAAAGCAAGCAGCACAATTAATCTACTAGAAACTGGGTGAATACTCTGAGATTTAGCTGCCAGCCTCCTCTGACTATCTCCGACAGAAGAAGCAGCCAGTGACAAGGTTGCACAGATGTCGTATCAAAGCTTTGATCAACATATCACTGACAAGTACCACATTAAAATTGTTGGCTGGCCTCTCAAGAAATTCTGTTCCCTTGGTAACCTCAGCTCTGACAATGAACTCCAGGCCCTCATGTCCTCTTGACAGAATGGTTCAACAAAGTTCAAACAGATGAGCGATGAAGAATATGAGCGATGGAGTGAACACTTCCAGGAAGCGGCGTGCACACAGATGAATGCACAGAATGATGTTTCAGATTTGGCTGGATTGACATTCCCTCTAGATGCTGCTATTTGCACCATCCTCGACACTACCACTGATATCTTTGCAAGTAATCCTGGTGTGCAGATCACCATCTCCGATACTCATCTCTCACCCTCAGTTTCTGAATAGCCAGCTCAAACCTTCACTCCAGCACTCATCACAGAACAAGCCACTGCTCAGAAAGAAGGCCGCACCACCAAGCCGTTTGCTGAGTTCGTGAACGTCATCACTGCCATTGATGGCTTGGGGATTTCAGTGATCAGGAAGCCATGGAAGAAGCATTCTGATAAGAAGAAGAAGAGGGGACCAAGGAAGGGAAGCTGAGCGAATACCAGTGCAGATAGTGTGGATGAGAATGTTCCTGTCTTGAACAGTGTGACATCGTCAGCTCAGGCATAGATGGATCCCTCACCATGCAAATGCATCATAAGTCCTTGCTTCTGATGTGCATTACATTTTGACTAATCTGTCATGATGCAGTGAAAACTGCTCATCTGTAGTCATTCCCTTCATGTTACAATTGCTTAGTGCCATCTCAAGTGCTGTGAAGTGTTGCTCAAGTTGTACTTTGTATGAGAAAACACAAGCCAATGAGTTGTTTTTATAGCTTAGAGTATGAGATATAGTAAGGTCATTCTCTGTGATTGCATATACAAGAGAGAACATCATCGGTGCCGCTGTCGCTGAATGCGTGCTGAAGTGTGACATGGTATACACGTGTGCTGGGCCTCACGAACTGTTCATATAGGATTGCAGTATGCTACATAAGTCAACATAAAAAAAAAAGTGCAAAAGAAAACAGGACAGAATGACCTCCATAGAGTAAAGATTGAGCTCGTTGTCAGGGACAGTGAGCACAACTTGTCAGTTGACGGCAGGCATGTGGGACATTCAGATCAGATCAGATCATGCCATCAGGGATCACTGAAATGATATTCGGAATCAATCCTGATGTCTGTGGCCTTATCATCGATGAGCGAGCTTACATATCAGCAAAACCCATGAGCTACTAATTAAGACGAGGACGCACAGTAGTCACAGTGCTACTGGTAGTGAGTGGCAGACAGAGATTCTGAGCTAACTAGCTTGGCACACCGAGTCCATGCGGCAGACAAATTAGCTATTGATCACATGACGTCCAGATAGCCCAGTGCTTCCCAGCCCCAAAAGCCAACACATATATGGTTTATGACAGTCAAATATAATGATTACAGTCTTAATGAGTCAAAAGTGAAACAGTAAAAATTCTGAGATTAGCTATTCACCTATGACAGCTGCCAAGGTGAGAAGAAATGTAATAATAACAAATGCTCAATCACTGTGGTCAAAACAAGTGCAACTTGTATGGAACTATGAGAAGTTAAAAATATGGGCCCAACCGGGATTCGAACCCGGGATCCCTTGCATTTAGTTCAACCCAAAGCAAGTATCTTACCTCTAGACCATTGGGCCGTGAAAAATATTATGGATCTTATATATATCATAGCCATTGGCCGACGTCAGGTGGCAATACTTCGTGCTGTTGGCCCTAAAAAATGCGAGCCATTCGCTCTGCTCGTGTTCTTTATGCTGCTAATCGACTATGCCGTCTAACACTAATGCGTCACTCTCTTATCCTCGGGCTCACATTTCTCCGACTTCCACTCTGGACGTTGTGAGCATTCAGCCTACACCCGCCTCCGCTATGACCGCAAATCGAACCGACCATGATGCGGAAGCTGTGGGCAAGGCTCAGCGGATCAGAGGGGGGTTGCATTCCATGTCCTGTGTGTAGATTCCTCTGTACAACGCGTCTGAGATGTTGATTAGGCTGTATGCAGGGCGGAGGCATGTGCTACATTATTCCGCTCCCCTGTTGTTGCTGTTGAAGCGGCGTTTCCTACTATTGCTATGGAAACTCCTATTAGCAAACGATACCCATAGGACCTGCTCGCTCATCCTCACCGTTGCCATCGTGTTTGCTCTCTACTTAATTACCATGTGTGATTTATTGGAGATGAGGAATCGGAACTATATGATGTTTTATTCGAGTCAGAATGCAAGAGCGAAGATCTTCCGCTCACTGATATGAATGATCGGAGCCGAGCGCCCAACTCTTCCAATGAACAAGTTCCCCGCCCTCGAACCTGTGCGACTGTATGCTTCTTCAGGTTCGACCCTCCCTTCCGCACGCCGACAAACAGTGAGAAATGTGTCGTCGACTAGCAAGTCGTCTCGTGGGCCTGCTCCCTTTCAGCTCATCGGTCGTCTTCCTGCGGAACTTCACATCCTCATACTAACACATCTTGCTGTCCCCGACCTTCCAGCGTATGCTCTATGCTCAAGAGCTTTGGCGAAGCTGGTTCGGGACGAACGCGTCTGGGAGATACGCTGGGCGGCTTTGGGCGTTGACCAGAGCAATTTAGGCGGAGCTCTCGACATACTCGAGGAGAGAAGCAAGTCGGGCACCGGCGCTGCTCAAGGTCACCTACCTCCAAAGTTGACGGTGGACATTGTCGATGACGACTTTGGCGAGTTTGCTGCAGTGGATGCAAAGGCGGATGAGATGGGTGACTTCATCGGTTCGTTCAGCAATGTCATGATTCATAGCCCACGTTCTCCTGGATACGTTCCCGAGCTGGCCCACCCATCTCTCCAATCCCGCTATATTCATGCACATAAACTCCTGAAGTCTCTTATACCAGCTCTCTCAGCTCCTCCACATGCTGTGCTCTCTGCGTTGTTCCCTCTCAAGAGTCCTCTACGATTACGACAGCAAGCTCATATCCTCCGCATTCTATCTCTCTTCCTGTCACCTCGCGTCAAGCCTGTTCGTGCCTGGGAAACGCTGAGCTCCGCACTCAGAGCTGCGATTGATCGATTCGAGGATGCTCTGCTGACTGCATTCGATACCATGGACGGCAAAGGAGATGAGGCTGCCATGCGAGAAGTTGCAGAGGCAAGCTGGGAGATGTGGGATAGGAATGAAGGAGAATGGGAGCTTGGCACGATGTGGACCGAGAAAAGGGAAATCTTCTATGAGCAGAGCAAGTGGAAACCCTTAGACAACTTCACGTGTGTAATCACTCTCTTCCGCGTGATTATACCACTGATAGAGGTCGAAGTAAGGACCAACAACTTGATTTTAATGCAATGGATGCATTCATCACAGAGGTGCTCGCAGCATTGAAAGAGCACGGCTCGCGAGCCGCTCGGGTCTTCCCGCCAGAAACGCGTGTGTTGCTTTCATTTGCTGACCGCCTTGCGAACGATGTGGTATGTGTTCTTGAAATCCTTGGGATCTCAGACTTTAATGATCCTGTCAGGTAGGCGAGTACACATCGCCGCTACTCACACGCGCCCGTGAAGTGTCCAACGAGACGTTTCTGAAGGCTTCGGCTGCAAGCTTCAAGGAGGCATGGCGTATGGTCGACATGGTCACAGAGGTCGCGGCGATGGCCACCGACGCATTGGTTACACGCATGCAAGCCGAAGATGTTGTGTGAGAATATTGTTGCATTACAATGGTATTGCTTTTGATAATTTTGACCTTCCTTTAGCTATCGCATGTTCGAAGTGAACATGGATGAATACCTCGACGAAGAAGTTGAATTTGTCAAGCAATCCTTTGAGAAGATATGCAGAAGTTGGGACGACCAGGTTTGTGCCTTTTCAACGCCTTTTCCTTTCGTCCACAAATGTCACTTTGGGAGTTCCGTAGGTGTCACAACAAAGCGCAGTGCCTAGCAAATCGACGGAACATATCCGATTCATCGGATCGCAAAATCCTGCGCAAGTCAAGCGTACCGTGCTGGCGTCATTCACCGACGTTTTGCTCCTACCTGTCACTATCGTGCCGCGGACCGTCGGCAAGGCTGTCAATGCAATCGCATCCAGCAGTAATGCCGCGGTGCAAGGCATCTCCATGTTGAATCCGCAGCGCTGGAGTACTGGAAGTTCTGGGGCGATCGCGCAAGGCGGTTCGAGAGGGTTCGGCCGTCTTAGCGGATGGGGCTCGAACCAGAATGACAAGAATTGGTATATGCGTGACTTTGAAAAGGGCGGAGATGAAACTCTGTTCGAAATCGGTGAATTTGATGAGGACGAGAAGGACGAGAGCAAGCATGCGCAAGATGAAGATAGTTCAAAGGATAGTCGATGTGCACATTATTTTATTTACTCCGAACGATGCTACAGCTGACTCATCGCCGTAGCTTCCATGTCATCCACGACGACCGTGAATGCTTCCCGGACGGCGTCGACTTCTCCATCTTCGCGGAGGTCCACTCCGCGACCGCCCAAGAGCGATTTCGACAAACTCGATCTTCTACTGTCACTGGATATTGCATTGGAGCTCATTCACGCCGATCGTGAATCCCTCAAACGAGTTGAGACGTTTTCTGGGTATCCGGGGCAGTATGGCCATCGCGTGCGTGACACGATAGAGGATATCTTCGTGCTCATGTTGCAGGCTTTGAGTGATAGACACATTCGACCGGGGTTCGAGAGGTTTGTCCGCGCATTGATGCAAGCTCATGTTCTGAAACTCAATATTACCGCGCTTCGCTCTAGAGCCATCGAGCAGATGAAGTTGTACCAGCCAGCGGAGCACGAAAAAAGCCAAAGCGTTGCTCCACTGCTTCAATTCTTCGAGCTCGTTCACATTGGAGACACGATACAGTCCATGGTACAGGTCTACTTCGACAAGGATATCGTGGGTCCATACGTTTATTGTTAGACAAGTCCTCAACTCCTGCATCATAGGCACCTCATATCGACCGCACTGATTTCCTCAATACGGTGGTGCGCGAAAAGAAGAGGTTTGAGGACGTCTTGGACGATTCCGTGGCAGCAGGTTTGAACGCAGGTACCGACGCCTTGATGAACCAAGTAAGGCTCGTCGTTGTGCCTCTATACGAAGTTATCTGAGCAGATGGCTGCTAGGTTGAGCACATCATTCTGAAGTTGACGAAGCCGCGGGAGTACTACCCTGCAGACGATACGCCCCTTGAGCTCGGACCTACGCAAGGATGTGTGGAGGCAATAGGTTGTCTGAAGATGCATTGCCAATTGTTGAAGGGTAGCACCAGCAAGGAGGTGCTAGAGGTCTTCTATCAAGAGATCGGTATCCGCCTCATCGCGTAAGTGTCAGACTCGTATTATTTGCGTATTTTGGGCTGATATTATCTGCAGAATCTTACAAAAGCATCTGAAGCGGCAAATCATCTCTTTGAACGGAGGCTTCCAGGTTATTGCAGACCTGAACGCGTATTACTCGTTCATTACGTCGCTGAAGGTTCGCTGTTCCTCTCATTGTTATGAGCATTGATCTGATGTAGTATTTAGGTCCCCACCATCGCCTCTGAGTTCTCTTATCTCAAGATGCTAGGTCATGTCTACATAGTCGACGACGCGAAAGACCTGGCACAGATCGTGCGAGACGTCACGCGTTATGGCGGCGCATATAGGCCTGAAGTGAGTCAGTCGCTGTGCGGAAACTCACCTATGCTGACATATCTTAGGACGTCTATGAGTTCATTCAGAGACGAGCTGATTGGAAGAAGATTGAGAAGACGGTGGATAAGACTATGTACAACCTCAGCTTCAAGGAGGATTGCATAATCTCTTGACGAGGTGATATTGCGTTTGTGCCTCCTAAGGGCTTACCAAGTTCAGTATAAGCTTATCGGATGAATGAGATTCACGAATACCGTGGAACGTGTGTTCAAGCTCAGCAGCTTCACTTCAAGCATGGTACTAGTGCTCCGCTCTTATTACTAGCACAGCACCAGTGTTCTGGTATTTATACTGGCATTTCGACATTGATACTAGCATTTCAGCATCGGCATTCCTACTAGCATTCTGATATTAATACTGACATAGTACTACCTTTTGCTATTAGTAGTAGCTTAGTAGTAGCATTTTTTTTTACTGCCATAATACCAGTCCCTCGTTGTTCATGGGGTGTGAGAATAATGACGAAGGTCAAGACTTCCTTCACTAACCTCTCATTAAAGCAGCACTGCTCTCTCTTATTTAATTCTCAGATGCTTCCGCCACCCTTTACTTTTCAGCTAATTGTCTGCTTGTCAATGTAGGTTTTATTGCTTGTTTTCCTGAAGGACCTTGTTTGGCTTTTCCTGTTCTCTTGCCTGATTCACTTAGCCACTCATCTGTTCACCCATTTAGTCCACTCCTCCTCCAGCTCTGATAGCATTGTTGCTTCTTGATATCTGACTTCATTCATCTGAGCACATTTTGAATTCCTTTCAAAAAAGTAAGATGTACATGTACTCAGAGTCTCTGCTAGCTGTGCACTCTCATCCAATTACAGCTGATATCAAGTGTGAAAATAGCATGATAACATGATATAACAGAATGCCACCAAATCTCAAGGCTTGCATCTGCAGCATCATGCTTGTTTTATCTGTCTAACATTCATTTCCTTTTGTACAGCTGTCAGAAGTGAGAGAACAAGAAGCTTAGCTTCATAATGTCACTCCTAATTCCTAATCAGTAGCATGACTTAGATGCAGAAGTGTGAAAAATCATTGATTATAAGGGTTTATTTTCATGTGTTCATGTTTTAAAAAAACTGAAAGCTGATAAATGTATTGCTCAGCATATCTCCCTCATTTTTGGTGTAGAATAGCATGGGCAACAGTTGACATCCATGCCAAAGCAGAGTACGGATGGAGACGATTTATGGGAGCTTGGTAGATTTGCCTCATTGTCGGACCAGTGGATCACTGTCTTCATTTTTTTCGACTTTTCGTGCAAAAGATTCTCCAAGAGATTCTAAGTTTGGACATTTATATCTTTCTCTTTAACACCCCTTCCCCCAGGAACACTGCCTCACTCAATCTCACCACCGGCACACTTCTATGTCATTTCCCGAGTTCTCTCTGCGCCTCCAACATGGTTTGTCCAGTGATCCCGTCCTTTGAGCACTTTTCAATTTTGAAGTGGTTCCGAACGTAGGCATCACCGGAGGCTTCGCGCCTCCCACACCGAATGCGATATATACCATCACTGGAATACCTTCTCAAGGATTGCTGAACATCACCGGCGCAGTGCGACCGGACGGGACTCCATCCCTCCAGGAGGTTCACCCCAAGTCTCTCTCAGCCACGGATGTGAACAACGCCGCCCTTCTGGGCGAGCTCCACGAGATCCTCAAATCGATCCCCACAGAGCACCCTCCCGGCAGCGAGGACATCTACGGAATGGACACGAGCATCGCGTATGGGAGCGAGGACTTGATGTGGATGAACGGTGGGCCGCAGGGATGTGGCGGTGGGGTCAGCGAAACTCAGGCTACAGACGAAGACAAGGCTAAGTTCAAGAGGGCGGTGCAGATTGTGGAGGAATTGGTTGGAAAGGCCAATTGAAGTGCTCTGGAAGGTCGATGGATGTGTGTTCACATACATGGCCGTGATGATCATAACGATCATGACGATACACTGACTCAGGCGTACAGGATCATGTGTAACTGATGTACCATATATACCATTATCGTGTTTGGGGATTTATGTGAATATGTGTCATGCTTCAGCTGCAACCTTGTTACACAGCACCTGTGAATTCGTACCAAACTGTAAGGCATCCTAGCCCTCCCGTTCTCCCTGTTTCTGCCCATCGGAAGTATGTCCTCCCACCACATTTCCGCTCTCCCGTACTAAACTCTCCCGAGCTCCCTTCAATGTCTGCTCGCGCTCCGAAAGGATCGCCCGGTGGTCGGCCACTGCAGAATGCAGAGAGGCGTACAAGATCAGCTTGGAGCTGCAAAATTGGGGGCCGAAACGTAAGTGGCCACGGAACGGGACAATAGACGTTAACGTACTTCATATGGTCTTTGACCTGAAAACACGCACGTTAGCATTCGGAGAGGAATTATAAGATGACATACGAAATCAATCATCTTTGCAAACTTGCCCGCTATCTCTGTAAGCGCAGAAGTCCTCTAATCACGTCTGAAAAGGAAGATTGGGGGGACAAACCTTCAGCAGCGGCTTTCCAGTCATCCAAGGAGCATTCTGAATACTTCTTCTTCGCTTCTTCGTATGCTTCCACGTGAATTCTCAGATAAGCATCCAGTTCTTGTCCCAGGAGAGAACGCAGCGCGTGTCCTTGGCCATCTTGTTCCTGATGCGCGCCTTGCATCTCGCCTCCCCGCGAGTGCGCCGAAGACGGCGGTCGGTACTCGAGCGATGGCTGGGCATTCGGGGGCATACGAGCTTGAGGAACGTGCAGCACCACGGGACTGCTCATGCGAGAATAAGGTGCCGAAAGAATGCTCTATGAGTAAGAGAATACAATCAGTTGCGAATGGAGAGCCGCAGTCCGCCAACTGACGGCCGAATCAATCTTGTGTCGCTTCGTTGTGTTGTCGTAATCGGTCTCGTCTTCGTCTTCATCGGGTCGTTGTATGCGCTTGACAGTCCTTCTCAAGGTCTGGCCGTAGTGCTCTTCGCGGCCTTCCTGGGGCAGTCGTGCGGTGTAGTGCTTTGAATCGGATCCTTCGCTGTCGGCAGTGAGCCGCTCTCGTACACCGATGTCATCCAGACCTTCTTCTTCAACGCTTTCTTGGATCTTCTCGAGCGATGGATGGGATGCTGTGCGTGCGCGGCTTTGAGCAAGAGCAGGTCCATATGGCGGGGAGTACATAAAGTTCTCGGAAGTGGGCTGGCACTGCTTCTCTGCAACATGTTGTCCATCAGTGCCGTCGTAGAGAGTCGACTCGGTCTCTGAGTTGGGTATATGCGCTTGATTTGAGCCAAATTCCTCTGCAGAAGTCGTTGACTGAAGTTTCGAAGGAGCTGGGAGGGTCGGAGCCCTGAAACTGTTCATGTTGACAAAGCCGGACGAGCCGGCAAAGAAGGGTGACGATGGTCGAGGAGCGGTAAGCCGATGAGCTTGCTGAGCCGACAAGAAGGGCTTTGGCGAGGAAGTGCGAGTGGAAGTATTCTCGATAGACTTTCTGGTCCTCGACGGAAGACGGTTGGGTTGAATAGACGTTTTCTTCGCGAAATTGGAGATGTTAAGAGGCTTGTTTGTACCGAACATGTCAGAAAGTGCGTCGACTTCAGGCCGAACCACTTTGTCGGATAATTTCTGGGAGGCAGTTCGATCTTCAGAAGCATCAGAAGTGTGAGGCATGGAGCTGGATAAGAGACCGTTCGGACGGAAGGAGTCGTGTACAGACGAAGAAGAACTATTGGTCTGATTCGCCTGCTGCGGGGTCGCTCCCCCCGCCGCAAAGAATGGAGTACGAGCAGACATTACGAAATCAAAGTGTCAGGTGCAGAATCACTTAAGGGTACAGCGTACTCGAGTAGCTAGACACCAGCTGAACGGCCAACGGCCTTGCGGCCAGCTCTCCGCAAGAGACACACGAGGCGCAGATAGCCAGATAGAAGAAAAACAGAGCACCAGAGAGTCGAAGCGCAGAATAACAGGTCGGCCACGGCTAGCATGCGAATGCGCTTGGACTTGCAAAGTAAAGAGACGAGGAGAAAGATGTGAAAGTGCGAGCGACGAAACGCGCTATGTCACGATCACGTGTATGACCGCGTCACGTAAGCCCGAGGCTGAAAGTAGCCTGTCGACCGTAGACAGCTTTCGAGGTATGACCTTCAATTGAGTGTGGACGTATCACTTTCTAATGATCCCATAGCATGACTCGGGTCGACACATATATGCGGTCGTTTGCCTGAGCTGCGTAACGAGCAATGCGCAAAGACCTACAGGAGCGAAAACGCTCCGACTATGGCTTCTTCTTATCATACCGTACCCGCTGGTGAGCATTCAGTCTACTTGCGGTCGCCACTATTCACCCACGCTACAAAGGAGCGACAACGACCAATACGCCCATGTCAACAACTCCATCTACTACCACCTCTTCGACTCGATCATCAACACCTACCTCATCACCCACTGTCAGCTCTCCCCCACCCACTCTTCCCTCATAGGCCTCGTCATCTCCTCCTTCTCCGAATTCTTCTCGCCGATATCCTTCCCCGCGATAGTAGACCTCGGTCTCCGCGTGAACAAGCTCGGGACGAGCTCCGTCACGTACGAAGTCGGCGTCTTCGAGGAGGGAAAAGACTCGCCTAGTGCCGTCGGTGGATACACGCATGTGTTTGTGGACAATCAGAGCAGGAAGAGCACCCCTATAATCCCAGAGACTCGGGAGGGTCTTTCAAAGCTATGTTCGTCCCCACCTGTCCCTGCTAAGCTCTAATGGCTACATACCCCCTTTCTTGTCCACTCGCATACCTATCTAGCCTCGCACCTCATTTGCTACAGGTGTACGTACGTTCCTTTGCGACCGACCCGATTCATCTCTCTAAGAGGCGTGAGAGCCGCCCGCGGTAGTCTTCCCATACATGCCGTCCGTTGACATGACGAACAAATCACCGTCCACCTGACGACCGGTATCGATTGACCTTGTCCCGTCCTCGCATAGGCTACAAACTAAGTCCGGTGGATACCGACGATCGCCCTGTGCCTGCACCCACACGGGCACTTTCAAATTCTGCCCTTCCAATCTGTCGGGTCGCTCAAACGCCATGCGTTCACATCGCACCGTTTCATGCTGGTCAGTTCTGATTCTTCGGCGAAAGAGTTGTCGGTCTATTCATTCATGGATATATCATGCTCCGAGTCTATGTATATGGAGCATCGTACATTCGATCATCTACTATCAAGAACCAGCAGCCGTGCATCGTGATTTTATGGTACTGTCCGAGAGCAGTACGACTACGCGTAAAGAAAGGAGCAGGTGTGCACAGACCGAGCATGACATGAGAGGGGAAGAGGACGGCATTGGAGGAGGGAAGGTAGCACGCGTACTGCAACTAGGATCGGGCGGGTATCTCCAGCAGTCTATAACGATGTTCGAGTTCGTGGACGTCAATTGATGAACCTGCAAAGCACAACGCGATCGTCAGCACCGCATCGCAAACCAGACCGAGAGCGAAAAACACGCACATATACGACACGTGAAACTCCATCTTACACAAGAAAGCGTCACAACCATTCGTCACCGCAAAAAGAACCAGCCTGAAAGAAGATACGAGCACGTAGTGAAACAACTTGAATCGACTCGTCTCGAGCGCAAAGACGGCAGAAAGGCGACAGAAAAGAAGGAAAACCAGAAAGTAACACAGTCCAGGCAACTTGAAGTTCAGTCCAGTCCAGCCCACCCTAGCTAACACCAGCATCTCCCAACTTATATCCTCAAGTCCTCCTCGTGCAGCATGTGCTACCGCCTCGCAACGCTCCCAATGACGCGCCGCCAAACGCGCTTGAACCCGCCCGTCCTGTCCTTCTCCTTCTCCTTGTTCGAAGCACCCTTCACCTCCCCCCGCCTCCCACCCCCCATCCTCACCACCGCCTCCTCGCCCTTCAACTTCGACGACACCCGCGCACTGGGCAGGGGCACAACCTCCACCGCCACCCCATTCACCTGCACCTCCACCTGCGGCGCCGTCTCCGCGTCCGCGTCCGCATCCGCGCCCTTCTCGCCCTCGCCTTCCACGCCCGCGTACCGCACACTCGCGCTGACGCTCTCAGTGCTCACCGTCCGGCTCCGCGTAAGACTCGGCGTGCCCACCGGTGTCCCCGCGCTGCGCACCGTGCCCGCCTCCGCCTCCGCCTCCTGCACGAGATCAAGCGTGCTCGTGCTCCGCGCTGCCGCAGACGCGAGCGACGACGCGGATGCTTTTCTAGACATATCAGGCGTCGACGCGGAGGGTGTACCCGGATGCCGATGCTCCGCGAACGGCGGCGACGGCGGAGGGAGCGGCTCCTCGTCCTGCATCATCCTCCCCTGCTCTATCCGCTCGAGCTGATGCGCCTGCGCCTGCGCCTGTGTCTGCGCATGTTCCCGCGCCTGCCTTCTCGCAAACTCCGCGCTGACCCTCCTCTCCAAGCTCGCGAGCGGGCTCTCCGAGCGCACAAGCGCAGGCGTCATGCTCAGGCTCAGCGACACCGTGGACGCCGAGCCAGACGCCGAGACGGAGCGCGCTAGCGTCGACACGATGTGCACCGTCCCCGTCCCGCTTTCAGCACCGGGGGCGTTCAGCGAGACGTTCGAGGCCGAGGCGACGCACGCGAGCGGGGAGTGTGCGATCAGCGATAGCGAGACGTCCGAGCCTGACGGGGAGTCGTGCGCTGCGAACCCGCTGGGTATGGGCGCACCGAGGGATCCGAGCGAGCTTACGCTCGTGCCCGAGGACGAGCGGGTCGGTGCGAGCGGGCGCGGCGGCGGGATTAGGTCCTCCTCCTCCTCCCTCTCCTGTTCCTTGGCCTGTTCTCGTTCCTTCCCATCCCCATCCATCCCCCTCACCCCGCCCTCCCTCTCCTTCCCCTTCCACCTCCTCTCTCCCTCTCCCATCAGCGCTCTCGGCAATGGCGGCACAGGCGGTACGGCCCCCTGCATCCTCTCGCGCTCCATCATGCTCACCACACTCCGCCTCCTCGCCTCGCGCTTGCTTATGGGCATGACGACCCCGGCCTCGCGCAGGCCCTCGCGCGAGAACCGTGGCGGCTGCGCAGTCTTGCGCCACGTTGCCTCGGGTGTCTCTACCTCCTTCGCCCTCGCGCCCTCGCCTGGCGCCGTACGCGGTCTTGTCCTCACACCCGTGCTAGGGATGGCATGCAGCGTCCGCGAGCGAGCGGCGATGGGCACCGCGGTCACCCACTGCGTCGTGTAGTCGAGCTCCTCCTTCTGCGCCCTAGCGAAGGTGCTGCCCGAGTGCGCGGGCGGGAGGAGCGCCGAGCGCCGCCGCACTCGTGCCTGCTCCGGACGCGTGGGCTGGCTGCGCACGGACATGGCATAATCGGGCCCGTTCCTGGAAGGCGAATAGCTGTAGGTGGACGATGGGCGTGGGCTTGCGGGTGTCGAACGGCTCGTGGGGGGCGCGTGGGCGGATGACGTGGGTGATGGCGGGGGCGAGCTGAGAAAGGGCATGGAGCGCAGCCTGGCGAGGCTGAAGCGTTTGGAGAGGGACATGCGCCGGGGCGCCGCGGGCTCGAGGACGCCCATCTCCAAGTCGGTCTCTCCTTCTGGTTCCTCTGGCTCTATCGCCGCAGCTGTTGGGCTCCTCAACGACGCTGGCGCGCTATTCCTCCCTATCCGCTCCTCCTCGCCTGCAAACGGCGGACTGGGGCCCTCGACGTCGCACTCGCTCACGCTGGCCATGCTGACGACGGAGTAGCGGAACTTGGCGGCGGGGTGTGCGTGGTCGCTGAAGCTGCTGGGGGCGGTGCTGTAGCTGAAGCGGCTGAAGGAGCTGGCGTGGCTGCTGCTGTGGGCGGCGCTCCAGCCGTCGGCGTCGTGCGAGAGGATGGTGGCGGCGTCGTCTGGGGCGGGCGGGTGTTCGGGGGAGAGGACGCCGTCGGCGGAGAGGGCGAGGGCGGGCCCGGAGAGCGGGGAGGGGCGGAGAGGGAGGGGGCGCATGGTGTGTCGGCGGGAAGTGGCAGGGCGGAGCACGCTTGGGGTGGTGGTGGTGGGTGGGGAGGCGGCGAGGGAGGAGAGGGAGGTTGCGCGGTAGGGCGCGGGGGTGGGCGGGTTGAGCACGGCGGGGGTAGCCATGGGTGGTATCGGCTCGTGCATGACGGACAGGTATTGGATATTGATGTTGAGGCCTGAGGAATAGGGGTATGTGTGTGGCCCGTGGTGATACCTGTGCAGGGAGGGTATTAATATGGGGTGTGCGGAGGAGTGCAAGGAGCGGACGCGCGACGGAACGTGATAGAATCGTGAATGGTGTTGGTACAGAGAGGGACGAGATGGGGGTGGAGCTGCAGCTCGCGCGCGTCGGGCGGAGGAGAGGAGGAGGAGGGAGGCTGTAGGGCGAGGGCGGAAGAGAACGAAAGGAGGGGAGGGAGGGAAGCGGATAGCGCAGGCCGCATCGGGGTCGTGGTCGCGCGGCCGAGCACGAGGATGAGGATAAAGGACTTACCGAGTGATCGAGAGAGTGTGGTGGTCAGCACGAGAGGAGCATGGACGCCGGTCTAGGTGGTAGCGGTAGATGGAGATGCAGATGCGGGTTTGGGAGTGGACGGATGGGGAGGGGTGGCTGACGAGGAGCCGAGGAGGCGAGAAGATGATATAGGAAAGGGAGTGCTTTGATGGGAAGGAAGGAGGTCGGAGGAAAAAGATCTAGGGGGCGGCAGGCACGGACAGGTTGTGCGCGCCTCCTCCAATCGGCGGGAGCGTTAGATCTGCCTGCACTTGACCCTCCGCTCGCTGCGTGGAGCCAACGACGGCCGAGGCAGTGCACGCCGTGTATGACGTGATGCCATCCCCAGATCCAGTTCCAGACCCACAATGCAATACTTAGAAGCAAACCCGCACAGCGAACGCGGATACGTAATGGACAAACGTAGTGGCCCCGCTTGTGCGCTGCCGAAATTGATTCGCCGTCCTTCCCACCCACGTCCAAAATAGTCGTACCTGTTCCTCACGATCCGCAGGGCCGTCGCTATGCACGTCCCCGCCATCATCGTCCTCGGCAACCACTCCCGCTCGACGTCTACCGCCAAGTGTCGACCATGCCTCCGTCGTCCATGCCTCATGCATCAGCCGCCGGCCTATCAACGCGCTCATCACCGCCTAAAGCCTAGCTTCCTCCTCAGCACTGCACGTTCGCCTCCATCAATCAGCGTCTGTCGTGGCACCCGTTGAGTGACTCGATCCTCGGTGCCTTCATCTATCAACACGCTCGTGTACGTGTACCACATACCTGTGCGACGCTTATGGGCGTGATCCGAGGCTTGCTAAGCGTATTCCATTCACCTCCTCGCCGTCAGCATCTCTTCTCTGCAACGCAACACTGGAAACGCTCGCCATAACTCGTCCCACAACAGCTAGCGCGCCTCGTTCCACCTACCTGCCGTCCCTGCGCGGTAAACGGCGATCCGCATGTACGCGCCAGCGCCCGACTATAATCGACAGTCCTTCTCGTCGCCACCGCCATTTATCAAGCCTCAAGCCTTCAGGCCTCCCTAGGTCCAACGTTCGTCAGTCACTAGTCGCTATCTCGAGGCTCTGCACTACAGCCGCACCGCGCCCTGTCGTGTCGAACTCTACTCATAGTGTTATCGCGAGCGCCGTACACAGGTCCTCGCAGGCCGGATGCTCGTCTAACCCAAGGTGCAAACGAGCTTGCTCAATGTCCTTGCACTATCTTCTGAGGCTAGCGCAGCCTCCGCAGATATGAACAGGCCAACATCACACCGCTGCGCCTCCATAGTAGGTTCCCGCAGATCGTCGTCCCTTGCGAGGAAATATCACTACCAGCCCGATACCGCAGATTGTGGCCCGTCACGCTTCCCCGCCTAGAAACCAACGCTCTCGGGACGGACCCACCGGCACGGAACCGTTCGATCGTACGAGCTCTCACATGCACACAGAGCGCGCCTACCAACAGGATTGCGATCGCCATACTGGGTCGCTGACGTGCGACGGCAGAAGCTCGCGCTTGTCTCCAGGGCAGAATGGTCCGAATCCGAGGATCACAAAGTCGAAGTCGAAGGAGCCGCAGCACGCGAGCACGAAACGAAGGCGAAGGCGAAGACGAAGCCCGTCCCGCCTTTGCGACCGTATCCGTGATGCTCGCGTTTGGAAGCGCCCCAGTCAAGGCTGTTCTGTCGCGACGCAAAGCTCCTTATCATGTTTATACCATCTCTTTCAGGCTAGCGCAGCCTCGCAGATACGAACAGGCCAACATCACACCGCTGCGGCTCCATACTAACCCGTGAAAGGGTTCCCGCAGATCGTCGTCCTTTGCGAGGAAATATCACTACCAGCTCGATACCACAGGTTGTGGCCCGTCACGCTTCCCCGCCTAGAATCCAACGGCCCTGATCGTATGAGCTCTCACACAGAGCGCACCGACCAACGGGATCACAATCGCCATATTGGGCTGCTGACGTCCGACGGCAGAAGCTCACGCCTGTCTCCAGGGCAGAATGGTCCGAGCAGCACGCGAGCACGAGACGAAGGCGAAGCCTGTGCCTCATCCCTCCGTCAAGATGCAAACGAGCTTGATCAATGTCCTTGCACTATCTCTTTGAGGCTAACGCGGCCTCGCAGATCACGACCAGGCGAACATCGCACCGCTGTGCCTCCGTACTAGCACATGAAAAGATCCGAGGAAATATCACTACCAGCCCGATGCCACAGATTGTGGCCCGTCACGCTTCCCCGCCTAAAACCAACGGCCTCGGAACGGACCCACCGGCACGCTGAACCGTTTGACGTCTCGACTCTTCGAGCTTTTACGTAGAGCGCACCGACCAACAGGATCACAACCACCATACTGGGGTGCTGACGGTGCGAACCCCGGCGGCGGAAGCTCACGCTTGTCTCCAGGGCACAATAAGTAGTCCGAATCCGAGGATCACAAAGTCGAAGGAGGAGCAGCACGCGAGCACGAAACGAAGGCGAAGCCTGCCCTCGTTCCTCCGTCTTCGCGACCCTATTCGTGATGCTCGCGCTTGGAAGCGCCCCAGTCGAAGCCGTTCTGTCGCGACGCAAAGGTTCTTATCATATGTGCGCTGATACTCAGGACCACATTATATCATTAGAGCGCGCTCTTCGCTCGATCGGCCCCCGAGGCTCGCTCGCGTCGTCCTTCCACTTCCTGATGTTCCACACGTGTAAATGCATCGCAACGCCGTAAGCAGACGGCGATCCTCATGCAGAATCGCGATGGCAGAGGAGCTCGCGAAGACGAAGGCGAAGCCCGTCCATCTGTCTTCGCGCCCTTCGCATCCGTAATGTTCGCATCGCGAAAATGCCATACTTGATGTTTTTGTTCATCGCGTAACGAGGCAACGCGAAGCCTCTTACCAGGTTCGTACTCACACCCAGAGCCTGCCGCTCTGCCCTCTGACGTTTTCGCTCCCTCGCTAGCGACGTCGTAGCCGCACCCAATGCCGTGCGTGGAGACATGACGACGTAGAGGCTGTTATCGTGCCTAGGCTCAACGTTCAAGGCTGAAAGCCCGGTCTTTTGCGTGACCTATGGGTTCTTTCTGCACACATCCTTCTCTTCTGTCTCGTCATTCGACAATGGTGTCCGTTCATCCTCAGTAAGTATTCAACCCGCCCGCTCTTCCTTCGGATCGTACAAACCGCGCAAATGGTTATCGCGTACAGATGATCCCCTCTTCCTCCTGTATCGTCTTGATCTGACTCTGATATTTGCCTGTACGTAAATCCGCGTGTCGGCTCCTCCGTGTTGTTCAAGCTCAAGCTCAGATTTCCGTCCGCTTCTCGGGCCTCTCCTTTTCCTTTCTCTCGCTTCCTTCTCTTCTCGCGTCCCTTCGCATCTCAGGCCGGCCTGCGGATAATTGACCCGCGGTGGTGGTACGTCGCTCGCGAGCATCCCACCAATTGAAGGTGCGTCTAGATCTAGATGGTCCATGTACTATATAGTGCGCAGCGCACAGCATAACCAGCGAACGTTCCTTCGGACCCGGCTGGACATACATATGCACATCATCGCAGCACAAAACCCGGGGCTCAGCGCTCAACTCCGACTCCGACGTGCCCTTCCTCGCAGCACACGTCCACATCCACATCCTCGTCGAATATTCCCAGACTACGCCGCTCTGTCACCATTGCGTGATCCGCAGGCAAATATGAGTAGAGACGATGAGCCGGTTCCGTCTTCCTGCCGACGCTCCCCTTATCGATGATCCATTTCCATGGCCTTAGCTTTCGTCCGTCCGTCTGTCTATGTCTATGTATATAGGCTCTTCTTGCATGGATCCGATGTGGCCCGCAGCGCCGCAGCGTCTACCTCGTAGCTGGTCGGATGCCATCGGAAGGATGATGTGTCCGCCGCCCGGCCATCCAGATCATGGACCACGGAACGGATACGAGTATGACAAGCGCTGTGTGGCCCTTGGCAGCAGTTCGGTGTACATTTTTTCTCGAACTTCCAGTTCGATCCGTATGATCGAAATTGACGCCGACGACGAGGGGACGAGTTATCACATCGTGGACGCTCAGCGGCCGTTGCATCTGTTGCATCTATTGCATCTGTCAGCTCAAGCAAAAAATTGTGTATCCTCGGATACGATACGCTGCAGCAATAGTATTTCGCCGACAGCGACGTTATGGAAGCCTGTTTAATTCCTTCACATCATCCACGCAACCCAACGCGAACTTCACACAATTGAAACAACGATCCGTCCAGCACGGATGCTGACGAACCCGACCGTGGCGCCTCGCTCACAGCGTCATGCGTCTTGAACGGTAGCCGCATACCGCATCTTTCGTGCGTGTACAAGAGACTCACTCGAGTCCCATTCAATGATAGCATGGACGCGCCGGCAGTGCGGTGAGCATCTATAAGGTTCTAGATAATTATATCAGCGAACCCGAACCGCCGCTGCTGGAATCGACTGACCCCGGGTCGATGACGTTCGCACAGGGAGGCGGTGTTGCATCGACGAATACGGTTCAAATGCAGCCTGGAAGCGTGTTCTGTTCACGGCGGGTTCTAGCCCGTCATGCGCATTCCAGCGAGTGATCTGCAGCCGCGCTAGCGTATTCCTAAGGAGAGTATCGGTACGTTCTCGGTATACACTAAGTTCGCTGCAACAACGTGGTGCACTGCAGTGCAGATAATGAGGTTCTCGTCCCAAGACCACATTAGGTCCGCGACATGGACCACAGAAGCGAGCCCCTAATCTCAGCGTCTCAAAACACATATCGCAAAGAGAAAACACCGAAGCAGATAGAGAGGAAGAAAAAGGAAGACACCATCTACAACCAACGCTCATCGCTTTCTGCGTTATATGCATCGAGGATGATTCTTCGATCAGTCGAGAGGCGTGAATGCGGTTATTGAAGCTCTTGATACTTCACATACGCCGTGAAACTCGGAAGTCAGTAAGAATTTTAGCTCACCGATATCTTTAGATGATGTACGCCCGCTTTAACGCCCTCATGGAAGTCCATCCGATAATGGAGCGAGTTTTCCCTTGCATCCTCGTTTGAAGCGCTCAGCCACGCGGATTGACTGAAATTCACTCCATTGACCTAACCGAAATCTACTAGATTGGCGTTGTTTAAGCCCGATGCATTCATGCTGGCGCTTTCTTTGCTTACTGCAAGCCTCGCATGGTGCCTTTCTGTCAACGTTTCCACGATGACTTTTTCATTCGCCTCTTCAGGTAAGCCTTCATCTGCAGCCTTGATTGTGCTAAAATTCACTATATAGTACGATATAGCACAATATAGCCATTAATAGCGATAATAGCACAATATAGCCATTAATAGCGATAATAGCACGATTCTAACTTGCAGATGTTATGGCCTAACCTAACCCGGATGATAGAGCCTTCATGCGTCCCATTGAGTTGAATCTCAGGCAGCTGAACCCACTGAACTGAAATTGTCTTCCATCAGGCATAGCTCGGCGACACGCTGAGAATAGGTAGCACGGGTAGCAAGACAGCTTGCAGACGTCGATGCAAATATGAATCGGAAAGACCGATGGATATCGCGTGACGCACCCACCTGAGTCCACAGAGATCTACGGCTTGCGACGTCTTGGAGTAGGCTTTATCCGACTGTACCGAAAGGCACTCTCGGAATTTTTTCACGTCCGGTTCCTGATTCTCATACTGTGACAGGCGGAACAGCTGAACGAAATAGTGAATATATCCGCTGCAAACGTGTATTGGTGTCACTTCAAGCTCCCATTAAAACGTGGCTTTTCTGCGAGGCGATGAGAGAATCTGGGCGTGGTTATGGATGAAAGAATGGATCCTCACCATGAGACGTGAAAAATCGAAAGCGTTAGTGACTGATATCTCGTTTTTATATATCCGTGACATGCCCCGATTACAGATCACAGAAATAACCGCTTGATCTCAGCGTCACAAAACACATATCGCAAAGAGGAAACTGCGGAGCAGATAGAGAGGAAGACAAAGCAAGACACCATCTACAATCGATGCGTATCGCCGTTAATGCAAGATGCATCGAGGATGACTCTTCGATCAGTCGAGAGGCGTAAATGCCGTTATTGCAGCCCTCGATACTTCACATAGGCCGTGGAACACGAAAGTCCCAACAAAAATGTTAGCTCGCCGATATCTTTAAATAGTACACGCCTGCGTTAACGGCTCACGGATCTCCGTCCGATAATGGAGCGAATTTGACCTTGCATCGTTGCTTGAAGCGCTCAGCCACGCGGACTGACTGAAATTCACTCCGTTGGCCTAACCGAAATCTACTAGATTAGCGTCGTTTGAGCCCGATGCATTCATGCTGTCGGAAAACGCACGGGAACTTATTAGCTTCTGCAGGGCTCGCATGGTGCTTGCTGTCAACGTTACCACCATGACTTTCTCATTTGCCTCTTCAGATAACTCTTACAACCTAGCCCAATTCGCATAGAGCCTTCATACGTCCCCTTGAGGCGAAATTGCGTTCTGTCAAGTATAGTTTGGGATACGCTCCGAAGAATAGGTAGCATGGGAAACAAGAAACGTGCACGACTGCCGATACTGATGGCAATAAAGGTTCAGTAAAGGGGACGGTGATCACTATACGTCGTGGTAAGGCTTGTGGTAAGCGACCGCCCCATACCCGAGGTATTACTGCCGAGTCATCACAGGACTGTCGTCAAGGCGGGGTGAGAACGGGAGAAATGAAATACAGGACTGACGAGAAGAAGGGAGAAATGGAGACTAAGGAAGAATGAAGGGGTGAACGGGCAAAAGAATGAAGCAAGGAAATAACAACCCGTATGTCAGCACGATCGACTAGGAAGGGACGGGGATTCTCGGTGACCAGTCACCTCGCAGCAATTCTTTGCCGTACGACGTCGTCGATGAGCCAACGATGCCCGATGTCGTGTTGCAATTGCAACGGCATCTCATGCAAACAGGCAGGCACATTAAGTTATATTCCAAGACAGACACAAGAACAATCGAAAACATATCTGCAACAAGATCATCACATGGGTACAATCGGAGCGCTTCCCTTCTCCAGCGCCGTCCGCAAGCTGCAGCCGTTCACGGTCAACCACAATTCAACGACGGAAGTAGAAAGACAAAACACGTGCCTGTAGTCGTCGCCATTTTGCGTGATGTACCGCACCCAGGGCAGCGCTTGGTATCCGCTCTTCTCAACGATCTTCAGGTAGCGCACCTGAATGCCAGACACGGTGAAGTAGGGTATCTCGAACTTGACGGTGATGGGCGCCCGCTTGTCCATGCTGTCGTGCTCTTTTCACGCGACGCAATGCCGTAAATCAGTTTAGGCACGGATGTCGGCCAATGAAGAGCAATTTTTAGGGCGTGACGCGGGATGTTAATGAAACATAATGGACGGCATGCAGAAGTACGTACCTCCTCTCACGCTAGGCAGCCCGAAGTGCGCTCGCATCAAAAACTCGCGCCCTCCACCAAGTTGCTTGATTTTCCACACGAACGCGCTCTTGTCCGGCGCATACTGTACGGTGCCTGTTGAAGCCTATCTTACGACGTCAGGGATTCTCAGTCTGAACAGATGGCATAAACGCATACTCGAAATTTAGGCGTATCTGCATCATCAGGCACGGGCACATATATCTCCACATTGTTCGCGGTACTCCTCCGCTTGAACTGCGCTTTGCATTTGACCATATACTCCACCCGGCTACCCTTATGGTGCTCGACCTGTCACCGCTCAAATCAGCTCCAACCTCCAAGAGAATCCGGCATCCGGTTTACGCACGGCAGCCTCGACCCAGATCAGCGGCTTTACGGCCGTGGAAAGACGGTAGCTCATGAGCTCAAACTCGCCATCGGGCGGGATGAAAGAGATCGTCCGGTCGTTCTCGAATCGGGAGAGCCGGACGCACTGATGGAATTTGACGTCCTCCATCTCAATCGCCTTGCCGCGTGCGGCTGCGAAAAGAGAAATTCAGCAACGCACCCAGTATATAACAATGTCGGCTGTAGAGCGCAAGGAATGTAACGGTGGGGACGCTCCAGTAGTCAGAGACTGGCCGATTCCTCAGCATGTCGCAGATTGCTTGCCCCCCGTGTAAATGGAGAGCGAAGACTGTACTCACTCCGTCCTGTCGTCTCAAACATGACCTTGTCGTTCAATCCCAGCCGCAACTCCGGCATTCCCGAGAGATAGCACTTCATCTTGACGGAGCCCAAGATCTCCGACCTCACAACGTTTCCGTTCGAGTTGACCTACCCAAGCGCGGTCATAAGGGGGGAATTAAGTGTTGAATGGGTAGAGAGACGCACCAGGAGGTTCACGCTTTCAATCACATCCAAGAACACCTCATTCTTGCGGTAGCGGATGCCCTCCGACCTCCACGACACGGCGTTCGTCACCGCTATTGGTGGCCGTACCTGCACTTCCAGCTTGTACGATTCCTGCGTGATGTACCTGTGATGACATAAGAATGCAGAGAGCATCCTCGAAGTAAGGGACGCGTACTCCTGGAGTATCTTGCTCTCCGTCGTCTGCGGGTATCCAAAGTCCATCATCTCGTCCAGCAACTCGTAAATGATGACGAAGTTATCCCGAATGGACTCTTCCTCGAGCTCCTTGAAGTATTCGATGAGGACCGACACCAGCCGATGCAGGAAGAGGATGACTTCCGTAGCATTACTGTTCCGTTTCGACAATGCCAGCACTGCAGGATGCGCACCACAACCAGAACCACAGACATCAAGTCAGGGTTCGATCGAATAAATTCAGCAAGTAGGTCATATGAGAATGAACTGCGAACGCACGGTACAGATTCGAGTGCCGTATGTGCATGTAGTTGACTCCATCCTTCGTGAAGCACGGTGTCACCTGCTGGCCCTCCTCCTCCAGATCGAGCACGATGGGTAAGAAGCGTTCAATGCACGATGGGGGGACATCGTCGCGGTAGGACCGCTGGATGAGCGGCTTGCCCTTCAAGTCAAGAATCGCGACCAAGCTGGCCATAATGATCGAGGCAGGCAGAAGACAGACGACAGCTGCGCGCGCTCGACGTGACTATGAAGAAGAAAAATACACAGAAGAGATGAGGTTGGAAGCCCTTGCGATGGTGAGTAGAAGGCAAACGCTGCTATAGCGAACGTAAGAGTGCGTTGTAGTCGTAGTTACGGCTCTGCGTATAATTATCGATCATTATGTTTACGTGTACCGCTTAATCAGGGTCATACAGCTGCTGTAAGAACTTTTCTTTTGGTTCCCGCCCACATTAAACGTTCTTCCACAACAACTAAACAACCACATTGTTCCATTAACACAGAGTGTACAGCATACATATGACACAACTCGTAGATATCAAGTATGGAAGCATCACAACAGCATGATGTCATGTCCGGTGAGTTCAAATGCAAGCAAACCCTCACCCTCACCGCTTCAGCCTGCTGAACCACATACGCAACCCCTTCCAATCCTCCTCCATGACTCCCTTCCTCAACAACGGCGTGTCCTCGTTGGGTTCTCCCTCCATCCTCACGTCAGTCTCCACAGCGTCCTCCAGGGCCGCCTGCGTGGGCACGCCCTCCTCCGGGCCTTGGACGACCGAAACAGCGGAATCCTCCAGTGATTCAATCGCTGTTGCCCCAAGTGGGTTGCCAAAGTCGTCTATGCGCAATCTGTGCTGGCGGAATTTCCAAAGGATGCACATCACTAGGAGCGAGCCTTGCATTGCGCCTGCAACTGCATATGGAAGCCAAGCTAGAAGATCGTCAGACGAGAAAGATGCGATGTACGCTAAAGAGACGTACTTGTCCAGTTGGTGCCCGGCCTGCATTATGACATCAGCGAAGTCGCGCGAAGAACACAAAGCGAGTTGCTCACCTCAACGCGATACTGAGCACCATGAGCACTGCCCCAGGACTCTGCATCAGCATCATCGGGATGCTCAATGCGCCTACGAGCTTCGTGCGATATGTGTGCGCCAGCTGCGGAGCATATTGCACAGCAGCGAGCAGCGCGGCAGTCACACCCAGGAACGTTGCCCATAGAGACAGTTGTCTGGATTTATGCGTTGGATCTGACGATGCGTTCGTTCCAATCAAAAGGAAGGTGACGAAAGTGATGAAAATCCTACCAAGGAAGTGTTTCAGCAGGGAGACTATGACTTTCTGATACCAGAACGCACATATGAATCAGGACGACCCATGATAAGATTATCGACAGCCGCCATTCGTCACTTTTGACGGCAGTCTTGACATGGTGTGGTGGGCGATCGTCGTGCATGTCGACGTCAACCTGGGTATACTTCAAATGGGGTGGGTAGTATATCATGTACAAGACTAGGCTACAGGCAGGACATCTTCAGCCGAAGATTCTGGTAGTCTTCATTATCACTTACATGACGGTGAAGAGGAACCACTGAAGGAATAGCTGGAACACTCCAGCAATAGACTCTACGCAGTTGCCAACACTCTGTGAAAGGACCCGACATCAGCTTATACTAGCTGCACACTTCTCAGCAAGGGCAAGGATGGAAATAAGGCCACGTACGAAAACTCGGCAACACTTGATGAGTCCCCACTGCATGACGATGCTAAGAAGAGGCAAGTCAGCCCGACTGACGTCTGACGACCTCATATCGTGAATGATGACCGACATATTCAGCATGCCTGACGCAGAGGAAGTGCTGCCCAATAGCAGGAACCACGGGCTGAATCCTTCTGATGACTTGGCCAAAATAATACGCAGATGCTGAAGCAGACGAGACGTCGGTCGTCGACGGTGAGTTTCGTCGTGCAAAATATCATGACAACGTGAGTATGCACCTGTGGCAGATAGGAGATGACAAGTCCGACGCATAGAAAGGTCGTGAGCGCGTTCGCAGCATTGTCATGATGCTGATTGAAATAAATGCGATCAACGGCGCGTAACTTTGAGGTAGGGTCAACGCCTCACAGGAGTACATGTCTCAGGCATCTTGCCAGCTCGAAATGGGAGACGAAGGACAGCAGCCAGCAAGACGGGAAAGCGCTGAGCGCGTCGGGTCAGGTGACCGCCATAAATCTGTCTAAGAAAGGCAACATCGCGCGCATCGTCGCCTTCAACGTGAACAACGCGATTATTTGTCTCGAGCCCCATTGGCGGCCACCGCCATTCTATGTCGTGAAATGAAATCTTGCATTGCGCCGTTTAAATGGTGGGATGCGCGCCAAAGCACTGAAACGTGGGAATGAAGGTCATATGCTCTTGCTCACGTCGAAGCGATCAACAATCATCCGCAGTGGCCGCCGGATTACACGCCTCCCGTGCCCTCTCACTTTCTCCGATGGCGTGAGTGTTGTGTCGCGTTGCAAACACTGCTGAATAGACATTCCTCTGGAATTGACATGTTCATTAATGTCTCTGCAGCGGCCCAGAGATCTGGCAAAAGAGGGGGAGGTGTCTAAAGCCCAAGGCTATTAACTCAATTATTCACTGCTGTCAAGTGTTATCTGCGGTGAACCAATGGCAAGAGCGCAGTCCACCTCCTGATGATGTGCAGGATCTGCCAATCCGGTTTCGACCCATACAATCTCCGGAGTGAGCAAGCAAGCCACCTGACATTCACATAGGGCGAGCAGAGAATGTATCCACAGCAGGATGACTGGTCATTGATCATGTGTCCCTTGGGAAGCTTTCAAATACTCTCCCAGCCTCGAAGCATGCATCCGGCGAGCCAGCGACCTCGTTCCACTTTGCCATCTTGTCTATGCCGCTCACCGTAGAGCGCACATCACTTAACGTTGGGACCCTTTGCTCCAGCCATCATCACGTCAACCTGCGATAACCATGATTGGAGAATCGTCAAGCCCTCGTGCTAGACGGCCGCCCTTCAATGACCAAGACGCCGACCTCATCATTCGCTCCTCAGACCAGGTCCACTTCCACGTCCATAAACTCATCCTCGCAAAGGCATCGCCTGTCTTTCGAGACATGATGACTTTACCTCAATCCTCCACAGGCTCAGAAGGATTAGATCCGCCCGTCGTCGACGTCACAGAGCACAGCAAGACGCTTGACATGCTCCTCTGTCTTTCCTACCCAACGACCCCGCCCTTCCAGGGCCTTGACGGCCTATGGCAGGTACTCGAGGCTGCAAGTAAATACCAGATGGACAGCGCACGCGAGCACGTCCGCAACTATCTCTCCGGCTTCGTGCACGAGGCGCCCATGCGCGTCTACGCACTCGCATGCGGGTACGGTTTCGACGACCTCGCGCAGACAGTCGCAGCGCACACGCTATCCGCGCCCGACGCGCTCTTGCAGGAGGCGAACGTGGAAGAACTCGAGCTCATCAGCGCGCGCACGTACGACCGGCTCCTGCGCTACAGGCAGCGGTGCAGCGACGCTGCGAGCGCGGTGACGGACGTCCCGCGATGGTGCCGCACGCCGCATTGGATACCGAACTGCAACAATCCGGACATCTTCGCATTCTTCCAGTGCCAGGAGTGCGCGAACAGGCGGCATAAGCTCTGGATCTCCGGCTGCCATCGATATCCGACGTCTTACTGGTTGGAGTACATGGAACGCACGAAGGCTGCGCTGAAGACGCAGCCGCACGCGCCTGTAGTGTCGAGCTCGGCCATGCTGCTGCCCGTGGTGCAGCATGCGAGCAAGTGTAGCTTCTGCTCGGAGAGAATCATGGACGATTTAATGCGCTTTGCGGAGCTGCTTGAGCAAGAAGTGGCGAGAGTCGTATCAGAGGTCAACGTCCTATCCTATTTGAACGAGAGATGCGACTGACACACCAGCATGTGTACTCAACAGGTCAAGCTATCGCTGTAATCGCAGCTTTGACTGCCGAAGAGCGGCATGTGATTCTTCTGGATGCGTTTCCGAGAGAAGATTGGTCTCATGAACAGGCAGGACGCAGAGTTAGCCCCTTTCCTTACCATCCCTATGATTATTCTACCTTTGGAAGTCCATTCTATTTCTGGGACTGGCTATCCGTGAACTCTTACTTCCCGTTAGTTCTAATTGAGTTAGACTGTATTGTTGCTCACCTCGCTTTATCTCGGCAGGTTTGCCATACCCTTCTCGCATTAATATGAGCTTATCATTATTCATGAGCTCACTGTATTAATTGACATTACTTCCACCGGAGAGCTTCATGCTGGGAACACAATTATAGAAAGCTCCTCGAGTGCTAATATCGTCCACCTGTGAACGATTCTTGCGCAAAGATGCAAGGCTCCATCCAAAATGTGAGTATTCGCCTTTGAGCAATTCAGTGCACAGGTCAGCAAGCATCCGACGTCCATGGGTGCAGCGCAACCAACAAAGCACCATTGATCGCCCCATCTCCCCTTTTCTGTATCCATGACCCGACTCGCATCTCCTGCCCCACCCTGGCCACTAACAGCGTAGCCCTCGATGCATCGCGCTTCTTGCCATTTACTGCGGCGGCGTCTGTGGATGCCACCCCTCCGAAGGAGTTGCTCAAACTGGTAAACTGCAACGAGTTCACAAAACCAAATGCAGCAATACTTGCGATAAGGGAGAATGACTTGAGCTTAGAATCGAGCTTCCATAACGCGGATATCGTCGTCGCAGGAACCTGTGGTGCGTCGCTCAACATGCGTGGTAGAATGAGACGAATGGTAGACACACCGCAAGCGGAAGCGTCAGAATACCGCAACATCTTCGGTGTGAATGTCCTCCGAATGGCTCGCAAAGCAGGGCGCATATAGCCGGTATGTCTATTGTGTGTTATCGTGCTAGCACATCTCCGACCATGCCTAGAAACCGGGCAATATGCCTAGATCACGTTCTTCTTCAATGGTGGTCTTGAGAGACAATAATATCATATTGGGGAGCGGCATATGATCCCCTCGCCTAAGGTCGCGACATACGACAAGGACCCCAGATTAGCGTCCAGGCCGTCGCGAACAAAGTTGCGGAGCTCATACGCAAGGGCGACAAGGAGTTCGTGATCTGCAACTTCGCACCGCCGGATATAGTTGGCCTTACGTGCGTGTACGAGGCAGCCGTGGAAGCCATCTCTGCAACGGACAACGCCATCACGTCGCGGCGGTTCACAAGCCCTGTGAGGAAGCGGCGGGTAACATCAGGTTACATCCTGCTCATCACGGCGGACATGGGAACGCAGATCGGGGACCTGAAGAAACTCAACTTCACTGTCGACAAGAAGGACGGGGAGGAGGAAGGTGCGCTGTGCGATGTGGCGCCGACCGTGCTTGACATTACGGTGGGTGCATATGTGACTAGGATGTCTTCGCTACTCTCACGACGTTTTGTATGACTCAGGGATGGCCTAAGCCCGAAGGCAAGTGTCTGATTATATGCGAGTGTAGATTGTGAGACTGACTATTTGGTTGCAGAGAGGACAGGTCGCTCGTTCCTCCCGCACGCCTCGCGCACGATGAGGTGAACAAGGAAGCAAATTAGCTAGACTGCCTAGAACGCGTGCTTGACATAACTGTAAGAATTAGACGGAGGGATTTGAACTACGTACACTGCGAAGAGACGAAATGATGATGCTCGATTTGCTGGCCAGGGGCCGGATGACTTGAGAAATCTGTTTGGGGCTCTGCTAAAGGTATACGGACTTGCAGATGCTTTTGTTACGTTGGTCGGCTTAGCTTGCATTCCCTCTTAACACTGCAGACATTATGCCATTTATCACCATGAAATATGTTGCTTTGGTCCTTTGCCTTTAAAAACTGAATTTGTCACTGTGGCAAATGACATTGGATATTATGAATTTGAAGCTTGATTTGCAATGGCTTCAAATTATATTCACATATTTTGCCTAAGCCTCTTCTACAAATCCTGAACATTGCATACAAAATGTAGCATTGTTGCAAATGTACATCTATATGCTTTGTTCTGAGGGAAAATGCCAATTTGTGGTACTATTCTCAACCCTGTTATATTTTGTATGCAATATTTATAATCTCTGGCTTGAGGCCAAGGCAAAATATGTGGCGTCATTTGTAGCTATTTCAACTTGAGGCCTTAAGTAAGAATATGCAACACCATTTGTCACACCGGTAAATTTATTTCCTAAAGGCAAAGGATCAAATCAACATATTTCACAGTGGTAAATGGTATCATGCCTGCAGTGTAAATCGTCACCGCAATCACGATCGCAATGGAGAATTTCATGTTCGCGGCTGCTGCCGAGCTGTGCCTGAGCTTTCCAAACTCCGCAATGACCGATGGCATCTCCACTGTCCAGCCGCCGCTGTGTTCAAAGTGGTTTGTGAGACTGCGACGCTACTGCGACGCTCTGACGCTAGGCGACGCTTTACTTGCAATGGGTCTAAACATCTGCTATGCTGTAATATTGGTTTGGGGGCGTGCAATTGATTGACTGCTGCCACCAGCTCACTGACTTTTGTCTATGTCTCGGACAACATTCGACATTGCGGCAGCGGGATGCAGCTTTTGGTCTGGCGAATCTCCTTCTTGCTGTTTGTGTTATAATAATGGAACACGATCGCATGGCTGTAAGTACGATGACTATTGCACCCGCGCTAACTCGTCGATCTCACTGTCCACAGTGACACCCTGCTCGTCTTCCATGCTATTCTCGACATTCTCAAAAACAAGAGATGTGTGTTGGACCTCGACGCCCATGTTGCCAACCAGGCGAGAGGTAAAATCAGGCGTGTTCAAGGTGCTGTGAGAACCCGTATTCAAGCCCATGGTGCCGAGTGATACCTGTCGTAGATTAAGGATGAAGCGTGATACCAGGATTGATGAGATTCTGATTGACTCAGTAAGCATGGATTGAGCTGAATTGGGTATGATTGGTCGCTTACGGTGGCAGGAAAAGTGTGATGTAGGTTGCGTAATTCTGCTTGCACGTTGCGTTTGAGCGGCCATGCAATTGTATGGGTAGACTTGCCTTTGAATTCTCGTAGCGGAACTTTGATCACGATCTCGAGAACGTTGAGAAGCAAAAGGGCCCTGATGAACGGTGGAAGAACAGAGTCATGACAAGGTACTGTGACAGAGCCCGACGTACAGGAAGTAGAGCGTGCCTTAAATAGGACGCTTGTAAGGCGTTGCATGTACCAAGAGAACCACATACTCACCGTCTCTCATCAGCACCGTGGCGATCGATCCTCTCAATCGCAACCTCCGCGCTTCTATGGCGAGTCCGGACGTTTTGAACCAAGTGATAAGGACCACGATCAAGTCGGATATAGCCGGGCCGATGCGCGCGATGAGAACGACTGTAGGAATTGTGCGTGTCAATGCAACAACTCATAAGTCTTCTGCAAACTCACGTCTATGCAATCGAAGGTCAGTCATAGGAGTGCCGACATCAGAGAGGTTGATCATGACACTTACGTCTTCTGTATCGCGACGGACTCGCGGCTGTTATAGTCACAAACTGGATAACTGCCTACGTAAGTGACGAACGCGTATGAAATTCTTGTATATGCAAACTGCCCAGAGGTGCTCAGCAGACATGAGATGGCAGAGGACATATATACTCACGGCGTTGACGCCGACTGGCGCTAGCCCCAGTAGCAGAACTATCAATGCAGGGACGATCTGATGTTCGCTAATAGCATATGCGCGGAACGCGGAAAAGCCTAACAATTAATCGATCAATCTTTTCGTGAAATTTGAAGTTGAACAATCTCTGACTTGCTGTCACAGCCTCAAGAGCAATAATTGTCACATCCTCCAGTAAGAGCACAGCCTCGCAGCTGCCACAACCTATTAACTGCGCTGAACATACGGTGCGGTCGTCGCCGCTCACCTCTGCATGCGTGTAGATCGTGAGTGTTCGATTCACTCGCAACACGACACGAGTTGACTTACCAGTGGAGTATGCCACCAGAAGGCATTCAATATGAAACTAATGCCTTGTACCGTGAGCAGATAACGGTTCAGGGCAAAAATAACCGTGACGGCGGTCAATCTGGCTCCCCAGATGACGTGAACCTCTTCAGAGAGAGTCACAATGTACTCAAAGAAGATGAGGGCTGAATATGTCCAGTCTGTAAGCCAAGTCCGATCGCTTAGAATGGCCCGACCCGGGGACGTACCAGCAGTTGCGAGACAACAGTAGCTGTTGGCGTATCTGTGACAGTGATTGCAAACTCGTCGGTTGAACGCCTCGGAAAGTATCGTCGTCCTCACCCTTCCTGTAAGATGTATGCTTCTTTCTGAGCTAATATGCTTGCAACTGACGTGTTCGACATTGTAGAGGTGTCAACGTCGGTGACAATGGTCAATGCAAAACAGAACAGTTCTCGGAGGGACTTTAAGGATACCCATCGGCGCACGACTCGTCATTATGTCAATCCCTGATTAACCGGGCATAAACGCAGAGGGTAAGGCTCAGATGGGGGCTTGCGGAAATCACAGGTGTTGGAGATTGCCGAAAAGGCCATCTATCAAACAGAACAGCCGTATCAGAAAGGATACATCTGGTTCATCATTCGCGCGTGAGTACATTTGGGAATCCCTCGCTTCTAGTCGCAGAGAGAAACCAAGGAAGAAGTTGTAAGAGCAGTGCGATAGCAATCCATCAGCTCGCCGTGGCATCCCAAACCACCAGAACAGCGGTGCTGTAAGATTGTGCTCTTGATGAGCGTGCCGCTTCCCGTATAACGCAGATTTCCGGCGAGCAGGCAACTCATGCTCGACTTACGTATGCCAGGCCTGTCCGATAACACGATCGCTCTTCACCTGTACTTAGGGTGAAGGACGCCGTCACTGTCGAACTTGCAGACCTTCCGCCATGGACCTAAAGGATGGTCCCGTCCTGGAGCCTCCTAACCCGCCGCTCCAATCTCGCTCGACATCTACGGCACGATCGCATCCAAGCAGGAGAACCCACTGTTGCGGGCTCTGACCACCGCGCATCGCTTGGCATCAACTACCTGCCGTCCAAGTTGTGCTTCCGCGGTCAAACGAGGCGGTCAAACGTGAGGAATCCCGCTGCCGCCGAGATGTCGCGACGAGTTGCCTCCTCGTTCCAAAGCCAAGCGCAAGCCGTCAGCCGCGCGCCTCAGGCCTCAGGCCTCAAGCTCAAGACTCGACGACCCGGCCATCTCCTCTCCTTTCGCGAGAAACAGCAGCGGCGGACCTTGCTCTCATTGCTAGGCTACTGCAAATCTCAGATTGATCGTGCTCGGCATTATGCGGTCGCAGTGGTGGCCAACTTGTTCCGACTGGCTCTTGCTTTGCGTTCGACCTTGGAAAATTCGTGCTTGGAGATCTGAAGCTCGAATATTGGCTCGCTCTTCTTGCAAAGTGATGTAGCAGCTATCTATGGTCGTTTACGACGGAATTATGTGCTTTTGCGAAAAGATCGGTCTCATGACAACGCAGTTAGCCCTTTCCTTAACATCCTCACCACTGATTCTACGTTCGGAAGTCGATTTTACTTCTGGGACAGGCTGGCCATGAGCACTCACTTCCCGCTAGTTCTAATTGAGTCAAACTGTATTGTTGCTCGGGGCCTCGCTTGATCTCAGCAGTATCGTCTTACCTTCCACCTTCTCGCGTTGCATGACCTTATCAACATTCATGAGCTCGCCGTACTAATTGCCACTACTTCCATTGGAGAGCTTCATGGTGGGAACGCAGTTATAGGAAGTTCCTCGAGTGCTAAGCGAATGATTCTAGCGCAAAGATGCAAGGCTCCATCCAGAGCATCGGCAGTAATCGTGGTCGAAACAATTAGCGCACAGATCAGCAACCATCCAACGTCCGTGGGTGTAGTGCAACTAACAAAGCACCATTGATCACCCCATCACCCTTTTTCTGTACCCACCGCCCGAACCGCATCTCCTTCCCCACCCCGGCCACTAACACCACAGGAGCAGAGGCATCGCGCTTCTTGCCGTTCACTGCGGCAGCATCTGTGGACGCCTGTGGGCGTGACCACTCCGCGTGTTCGAAAAACTCTTTCGGAGGCGTGATAAACTGCAACGAGTTCACAACGCCAAGTGCAGCAATGCTTCCAATGAGAGAGAACGACTTGAGCTTAAATTCGAGCTTCCATAGGCGAATGTCGCCGTCCCAAGAACCTGTAGTGCGTCGTTCAGCATACATAATAGAACGACACGAACGGTAGACATACCAGAAGCGAAAGTGTCAGAATACCGCAAGCAACCGATGGCAGTCACCCAACGCGGTTTTCGCACGATGTCGACATCTTCGGTGTCCACCTGCGACTCGTCTATCCCATGAGCAAGCCCCTGCGTGAACACCGGCTTTTTCTTTTGTGTTGTCCATAAGCTGATGGACCTGTTCGCGAGGTCGTAGTCAGCCGCAGTGTGCACAGCAGAGAAATCTGCACAACGTACCCGCTGTCCCCTCCACTCACAAAGATACTCTCATCAATCATCGCCACGCATTCGATGCTTCCCTCGACGAATTTTGTCTCCGACCTGCCCTCTCCCTTTCGCTTCTTCCTTGGCTTCGCCCCGTCTTCCTCTCCGTCCTCCTCCTCCAGTCCCTCCAGGTCGTCAAACCACCGACTGCGACCGCCACCTCTGAACACGAGCTGCGTCTCCTCTGGGATCTTCCAATATCTCACCGTCTTGTCTCGTCCGCCTGCACTCACAGCCGTCTCGCCTCGCAATGCGTCGAGAGAAAGCACCGGCGCCTGGTGACCGAAGAGCGTCTCGACGTACCCCATAGAAGAGAGGTCGAAGAGCTTCAGCGTACGGTCAAAAGATCCCGAGTAGAGTTGTGTCGAGGTGGAAGCCGTTGATGGTGCTTTTCGGAACGCTAGAGCCTTTGAGTAGATGAATGATCAACTTGAAGGTACATATAACGTCAGAAGTGGAACATACGGATATATGATCTCGATGTCCGCTGAAACCTTTCACCCACTCGTTCTTCTCGACGTCCCACACACCCACGCGTCTATCCTTTCCTCCACTTGCGAGGTACTTCCCGTCCACGCTCAACGCAATAGTCCACACTTCGTCTGTATGCCCATTCACGTCAAACACCGCCTTTCCCTTCCCCTTATCTTTAGCTGGCTTGATTTTGTGGAAAACATGTGACTTCCGGCCCGTATATAGATCCCATTTGATGATGGATCCGTCCTTTCCTGAGGTGAAAAGCCACCGCCCGTCCGTGGACGCGACTGCTGCAGTCGCGGAGAAATGGTGTCCACGGGTGCGAAGTAACGGAGGGTTGGCGAGGTCGTACTAAGGAATACGGATTCAGAGTCTGGATGTAATGCTTGGATGGAACGGGACGTACGCTGTCTGCAACAAACAGATGGATCTTCCCAGAGTGCTCTAGGACGTCCTGCTTTAATCGTGAGGAAATGAGTTCTCTATCAATTTCTGCGGCATCAAATTCCCCATCCGCTGTACAGAATCAACAATTTAGAATTTTATGTAGATACTCGCGCAGTGAAAGCATCACATACCTAGACCCAATCCCTGCTTCACTCCATCAAGGTACATCTTCGCCAGTCGTAACCTCTTCTCTGCCGGAGTCTCATCCTCGTCCTCATCCCCACTTTCGTACGCAGCAGCATTAACATCCGGCGCCCTCAGGTCCATCTCGTCGATTCCTCCACCATCGTCCTCATCCTGTGTCTCGTCAGACAGCTCCTCATCCCGCTTCTTCTTCTGGCCTAGCGCAGCGCCGGCCCTCTGCTTGCCCTTCCCCACAACTTTTCCATTGACTGGCCGGCTCTTTTTGGAGGCTGACGAGCCGCGTTCTTGAGGAACAGACCGCTTGCGTTTCCGAGATTTTGGTGCGGAGAAGAAAGGGTCTGGCATATCGGAGCCGCGGTGTTAAATGAGATTGCCCTTTATTATCGCAAACCAGCAAAGACCAGGCCGTGTAAAGAGCGATAATGCTGAATCACAGAGGCCAATTGAGAGAAACAGACGTAACAGCCAGTCTGCTGAAGTGTGCAGCTGAGAATTTCTTGGGCGTTCGTGTAACTTTTTGCTACGGATTCACACGTGATCGAGATCACCGGGCGTCTGTTCAGCGTATCATATGTCACTGCCAGTGGCTCTCACAATATCCTGCCCTTACGATTCCGGTCTGTGGTAAGTGAAGATTTTAACATGCTATGTACACCGTGTGGATCAGTCATGTCTCTAACCCCAGCGGAGGTCGTGATGTGAGAGAACTTGCCTTGTAAATTCCTTGGAATTCAGACTCGGTTGTTGTGTGCGCTCAGCTATCCATACCGTATCCTAGCAGCAAGACGGACACTGAACAAAATGTGAAGTGCTGACTATTTACATGCGGGATTTGAGCGCCGCTTTTGAAAGGATGGGCTAGCTTGGACGGCCTCTAGCACCATGGACTGTTGCTCCAGATCTAGAGTCACTGTCGCAGCTGCAAGCATCTCGGAACGGAACCGCATGTATAGGTTATTCAAAGCAGGTGGGTTGTCCATTCTGTTATGACAGCTAAGATGCCGATAACTCAACAGGTGCTCATCCAGTGTTGTTTCTCAGACCAAATGCTCGGTAATTCTATGCAGAACATACATGAACTTCGTACGGTGATGCTTATCACATGGATGCATGTTAGTTTCCCCTTTGTGCGCCTTGCAGCGCGAGGGTACTTATCCCGGGACCACGTAAGGGTCCGTGCCGTGTCCCGGGTACAGACTGCAGAGGCATCACAAAACTTGGAATTCACAGATCAAACGGAAAGAAAGTAAAATGAAAATAAGAACAGAAAGGCCGTGGGCGACCAACGGTCGTCGCTGGCAGTGGCAAGAGCACACCGGGGGCGACGTTCGCCACCAGTGCGCGGCTGTGGGGGGCTACCCACCGGTGACGAGGAGCGGGCACGGAGACCGCCAAGACCACGGAAAACCGACGGTCGCAGACTGTAAGGGCGACATTGTCAGCAACGATGAGCGACAAGGGAAGGGTCACTCACAAGTAGCCAGAGTTCAAACACGAAGCAAGGTCAAAGGCTCGGAGGTAAGCGATGGTGGAGGGCGGGGAGAGATACTTACGGAGGTCGGGCAAGAGAGGATAGGTTTATACCCTCCCGTGCGTAGGCTGGCATCGACCGTTGAACATGTCAGTCACGCTACGCCTCCGTTATATTGTAGCTGCCCAATCCGGACGACCACAATTGCTCATTTTGGGGTGTTGCAGCATGCGAAGCTTGTGGGGTGGCCACAGCCGCATCACGGCTCTTTCCTCGCCGTGCATTTGGTCTAGGGCGACTCTGCTTTATCGACGACTCACTCAATAAAATCGAGGAATCATATTAGCGGAAAATGGCATGAAGAAGTCTCTCCCTCTCTCTCCCGGGCGTTGCTGAGAGTTATTGAAGAAGTATGTTTGTTAGGTTTATTACACAACAGTGCCACATACGATGCGCGTTGATTTCTCCTCCGTACACCAAAGCGCAGAAGGGACTTATCCCGAGGTCCGCGTCTTCCACCCCGGTACAAGGCCGCAGAGGTATCGCAGGCCTGTCAGCCTACATGAGCAACGAGGCACATGACGGACGAGATAAACGGAAATAGAGAGATAGAAGAAGCGAGATGGAAGGACAATACAGTTCAACAATGAAACAGAGAAGGGATCGAACCGTACAAAAACGACGAGAAGATACAGGATGAGGAAGGGACGAAATTACAGGTGCGGAGATGAATGATGCATATGGAGGGCGGAACATGTTAAATGCAACATGTTAAATACAAGCAATAGTGAGGACAAGAACAATGAAATGCTGAACCGAGTGAACCGTACATGGGCGAAGAACATATATTTTAAGGATGGAAGATGGAACCACAGAAGCGGAGGTGGTTGGTACGTGGGATTCGGGAAGGCCAAGGACGCGACGAGAGAGATGAACCTACTTAATGAGTGAGAGAACGAAGACGATATTAGGATATGAGACGAAAAGGGCAAGAGACTACATAGAGGACGAACCGGGCGACAGCAGGGGCGAACTTTCTACCTCGACGAGTAAGTCTGGCGTTGGGATTCTGACCGCGTCAGCCCGCAAATTGGAACTTGGCACTTCCAAGTAGAATCGGATCAGTTGCCACTGAAGACGGTAGCTCGTAGCAGGAGCGGCTGACCCTACAATTTCGAGAATACACCGTCGTTGGAGGATGGCGCGGAGTTTTGAGTATGTTGTACGTCGAGACTGCCTCATGCTTGCTTGAATGCGACCCCGCCACAGGCCGCGATTAATTTCTTAAGAATGCAAGAGACGTCTCTGCCGAATGAAAGCATGTCTACGTACGACCATAAATCAAGCTTATTTGTGCATACCAGCACATCTCATACGGTGCCTCTGTACGCATACCGCCCACATTGAGACTGTTCCCAGCAGAAGCAGGGTAACAGACCCTCTCATTGCTGTGCCAGAGAATACCAATCCTCGCATAAAGTCCCATTCAGCGGTTTGGTGAGAGATAGAGTACAATTGGCCGACTTCACAGACTTCCCTTTCATTTCAACATCGGCGTCGAAAACAAGTCATTCCCTCACATTCTCCTTCCACCCACCGCAACGACTACTGCTGGTTCTCCAGGAACCCAATCCCAACCATCCGCACCTTGCTCACAAACGCCTCATACCACCTTGCAATCACCGCTAGCGGTATCGGCGTCTCAGGCGTCATCAGTCCGCCCCCAGCAAACCCAGATACATAGTTGAACAGATGCTTGACTATCCGTTCCGCTAGCAGCGTCGTATCCGCCTGCGTGATCGCGGGACGCGTAATGGCAGACGGGATGGTGGCCACCTCGGCCTCGATCGTGGACAGCGGCTCGATGGCGATGCCGAGGTACGCGGGAGTCGTGTCGACGTCAGTGACCATGGCTGTCGTGGGCGTGGACGTCCCCGAGGCATCTCCGAAGAGCGTCGGCCGCGAGGACTGCGAGGAGAAGGTACCGCGGAGGCGGAAGATGGCGGAGGGTTTGTCATTTGAGAGCCTGCAGTGCTCAGGTGAGTGTGGCGTGTGTAGAGCAGGGGAAGACGCACATTCCGAGTAACTGAAATCCCTTGCCGGGCCAGTGGAGGTGAACAGTTGCGCCGTATCCATCAGGAAATGGCACTGCGTAGCGCGTCGGGAACGTCAGACGTGTCTGGACAGACGACCATGCCGACAGGGGCTCAGAGGGGGAAGAGACGCGCACCGCTGCCTAAGAGGAATACACATATGTGATTGATGGTGCTCGGTGCGGGAAGCTCGAAAATAGCATGGGTATCGTCGATTTGTTGGAGATTTGTCTGCAGCGGACGACCCGCGACACAGCACCCAAACATTGCGACAGATTGAGTTGACGAGAGATAAACGTCAGAATCAGGTAACGATCAGAGGCTTGCTAGCTGGCAGTATACAAGTACAGTAGTTCGCAGGACGAGTAAATTGGGGGCGTTGAATAGCAAAGAACACGTTGGAGCAGCAAGGAGAAGGCTGGAGTAGTAGCTGGAATAGGCGAGGTTCGAGGAGGTTCTCGTGCGTTGTTCCTAGTGCCATTACAACAAAGGCTGGCCGCAGAGTCCACGCTCGTCTATCCGCATGACTATCGAAACGGCCAACTCGTCTTGGATTATCTGCGCAATGCTCGCGCTCGACTTTCGACATGCCTACGTAGGCTCCGGGGAATTTGAAAGACGATGACAGGGGACCGCGCTCAGGGGACCAGAACACATGTATGATGGGAAGATGCGAAAAACACTCGCCGGCCTGCGGCATTATTGTCGGTTTCTCCGTCTCCTTCGATGCGCTCGATGGGCCACTCGCTGTTGTATCGCTGCTCCTCGCATGGACTGGCTGCCGATATTCCCGGAGGGGATCATCGACGAGATCCACGCAGGGGGAGGCGGGTATATACCCCCGCGCCTAACTGCCAGTTGTTGACTCGGCTCTCGGTCTGCAAAAGTCAGAAGACTGCTCAGGGATCCTCAAAAGCCGCGTCTGATGCTTAGGCTTGCCCGCACGCCTCTCCATCTTTCCTTTGCCCCTCACAGCTCGCGCAGCATATATCCAGCGCTCTCTCAGCGAAATTCTCATCGTTCCGCACGCAAAATGCGCACATTGACACCTGCCGACCTCAATCCCGCCATCCTTAATGTGCAATACGCTGTACGCGGCGAGCTTGCCATCAAGGCGGATGAGCTGCACGACAAGCTCAAGTCCGAAGATTACAAGGATACGCTTCCCTTCACGAAGGTCATCTCCAGCAACATTGGCAACCCTCAGCAGAAGGGACTCGACCAGCCGCCCATTACTTTCACTAGACAAGTGAGTGTGTCGGCTCATATGTCCTTTGAATGCTCGTGAGGTGGCACGTACGTCACCATGTGCGGCGTCAAGCTACCCATGTTCCATTTTCTTACCTCAGGAGCCTTGCTGTGGAACGGCGTGAGGCACATATAGAAAGCCCCGTTACTTGAAGAAACGTGCCGTGGGAAGGCTACTTGTCCGATGAGGGGCAATCAATGCCTTACTGTCGTCGGGGTTCTGTCGGGCAATTTTGCGTTATTTTTCCCCGGCACTTCTTCAGCAGTTTCAGCAGTAGTCCACTTACCGCGCAAGGCTGTCCGTTAATGCTGACTCCCACACCTCACAGTGGTCGCATATAGTCACGATATATTGATCATCGACAATGCTGACATTCACCGTCTAGGTTGCGGCGTTAATGGAGTACCCGCCGCTGGTCGAGATCGTCAAGGACAAGTGGCCCGCAGACGTGATCGCGCGCGCACAGGAACTGCAGGAGGAGATCGGTTCCGTCGGCGCATACTCACACAGCAAGGGCATTCCGCTCATCCGCAAACACGTCGCGCAGTTCATCACTGGTGCGTCTTTTTATAGCTCTTTTCTCATGCGCCCGCAAACAATATTTCGACAGAGCGCGACGGCTACCCCAGTGACCCGGAAGACATTTTCCTCACCGCCGGCGCATCTGCAGGCGTATCGCTTCTGCTCAACGTGCTCATCACCCCACACAAAACCGGCATCCTCATCCCAATCCCGCAGTACCCGCTCTATACCGCGACGCTCGCGCAGTACAACGGGACCCCGCTCCCGTACCACCTCTCCGAGCCAGACGGATGGAAGACGTCACTCGACGAGATAAGAGCCGCGCTCGCGCGCTCCGAGGACGCTAAATCTGACGTAACGCCCCGCGCACTCGTCGTCATCAACCCGGGGAACCCGACCGGCGCGCTACTCGACGTGCCAACGATGGAGGCGCTCGTGCGGCTGTGCGAGGAACACTCGCTCGTGCTGCTCGCGGACGAGGTCTACCAGGAGAACCTGCACCGCCGGGACGCCCACCCGTTCCACTCATTCAAGCAGGTCGTTCGCCGCCTCGGATCGCCCATCGCGCTCGTCTCGTTCCACTCCATTTCCAAGGGCGTGTTCGGCGAGTGCGGCCGGCGCGGGGGCTACTTCGAATGCTGCAACATTCCTGCGGATATCCGCGCGCTGCTGTACAAAATGGTCAGCGTCGGCCTATGCCCGCCGCTCTCCGGCCAGATCGGCGTTGACTGCCTCGTGCGCCCGCCCAAACCCGGCGACGCGTCCTACCCGCTGTGGAAGCAGGAGACAGACTCGATTCACGCCGTGCTCGCGAGCCGCACGCAGCTCATGTCCGACCGCCTCAACGCGCTCCCCGGCGTGTCATGCGTGAACTCTCCCGGAGCACTCTACCTATACCCCAAGCTCGAGCTCCCGCAAAAAGCGATCGATGCGGCACATAAGGTGGGCAAGGAGGCGGACACGCTGTATGCGCTCGAGTTGCTCGAGGAGACGGGCATTTGCGTTGTTCCTGGATCAGGATTCGGTCAAAAGGACGGCGAACACCACTACCGTTTGACATGCCTGTGCCCCGGCGTGGAGGAGTACGTGGATATGCTGGAAAAGTTCCACAAGCAGTTCCTGCAGAAGTACGCCGCGACGATTGCATGAGTGTAGGCATGCACGGCTGTTCACGTCAGTAGGCACTCTTGGTTATACCAGGTCGAACTCAATCACTAGCATTTTATATCTAATTTACTTCGTTGAATTCATTCGTGTTCAGACATCTGCAGCATGACGTACATCTTCGGTCTCGACGACTAAGCAATAGATACTACTACCTACTAAAGGCGGGCAAGCATTCGCGGAACACAAAGGCGAAGACAAAAAGCCAATCAAAAACTGGTGTCGTCGGTAAAGAAGAAATGTAAAGTAGGAACAGACATAATCTGTATGTAGAGGCAAGTACACGAAAGAATTCATTTAAACAACAGGATGTGCAGTAAAGATACATTCTGACAAGGGTGCAAGATCTTGTCGTTAGTAACGTAATATCAACCATTCATATTCGTATTCATGGGGACTCTCGAGGAGCAACATGACTCGACGTGCAAGCTCTGTGTCGCAACAGCCAGCGCCGAAACAAGCGAGGAAGAATTGGACGACAGCGAGCGACGAGAGGACTGCGAGGAGAACGACGATGCACGGCTGAGCGACGTCCGCGGTACGGTAAGCGACTGTGTGCTCCAGTTCGATTCCTGGTACGTGCTCTCCGCCACGGCCATCTCCCAAGACGCAGACTCCGGTAAGGAAGGAGGTGCACTATTGCTCTGATGCCGACTGCCACCGCCGCAACATGACGCGCGCTCGCCCGATGTAGCAAAGGTGAGCGGACCACTCGGATCCTCGTGCTCGCAGCCCGGACAACTGCATCCATGACAGCAGCCACAGCAGTCCGCGGCACATGCACACAAGCCTGTGGGACACTTGCAGCGTCCACCGCAGCACTCTTCCGGTGCGGCCTGAACAGGACGTGCGTCACCGAGATTGTTCCATAGCGCGTAGGTCTGCAGCATGGAGGGGTCAAAATGCATGTCGGCGTGAGACGCTGCTTGACTTTGAGCGTCTACCTGTCCAGAGCCTGGGGGCGTTACCGGCGGGAAGGGGGACAGGGGTTGAGAGGTAGGGGGCGTGACCATAGAGGACATCTGACGGAGCCATTCATCTATGTTCGACATTTGGGGAGCACTGTAGGCCGCCGACGGAGAGCCAGGTGGAAGGGATACGGGAAGCGAAAGCATGGCACAATCCAAACAACTCATGCATGTGCTAGGGTCGGTGCATGACGCAGTGGGATCAACGTTTGGACCGCGATGCTCTAGACAACCAGGACAAGCGCACGAGGGCCCGCAGCCACATAGAACGGATGATATTGGCGGAGGATTTGGCGGAGGGAAGTCAAGCATGCTATACCAATTTTGCGCAACGGGAGGATCTGCTTCGGATTGAGAGGCACCAGGTGTCTGCGTCGAGGATGAGGAGGAGGAGTCTTGAAATTCCATAGGGACATCCGGGGTTGCACCATGTTCAGAGCCGTGGACATAGTCGTACGCACGACCATAGGGGCTGAAGAACGACTGACCATGATGAGGGTGATGGCGGTGCACAGAAATGGACGATGAATCGTGCACAGTTCCTGTGGGGGAGGGCTGGCGCTGGGAGGGAGGTCTCGGTAGAACTGGGCGATAATCGCCAGCATGGGCGTTGACGACGAGCCCTGCAGGCTGAGTAATCTGTTGCTCCTCAGCATGCGTCGACGACACTCTGCTTGCTGTGCTTCCACGGCGGTCTCGAGCGCTCTCCTTATGCCTGGGACGCTGAACACGAGTAGTCCAACAGTTGCATACGCCGCTTTCGTCGCATTTGCAAGGCGCGGGCGACGCATTGCCTATGCGACATTACGACACATGTCACATTACGGACACACTGCACTCACCGCTGTATTCAGAGTCAGACGCGTCATTAATAGCTTGCAGAGCAACCGACGCTTCCAGCGCTTCTGGCAAGCCACTGGGAAACGCGGCGCTGGCCGGAACCTTCACACTAGCTAGAGAGACAGCAAACCAGAACGCCTTGAAAGTCAGCCAGACGCTCATTTAGAGATCGGTGTATCGACAAATCACCTTTTCTTGATCCACCGTCGCTATCGTCCTTCACGGCGCACATACACTTCACATGGACCTGCTTCGTCTTGCGCAGCTCTCTGCAGTGCTCGCACTGTGTAACAGGACGACCCTTCTTCTTGATTTCATATAGAGGTCGATCGGTGTGCTTGCAGGTCGATGATCGATGACCTTTTATGCATGTTTCACTGTGGCACGTCGTCAACGACGATCCGACGCGCCCAACGCGTAGAACTCACCATGCGTACTTCTTGTCGCCAACGAAAACCTGTATGCAAGTGAGAAGGACTGACGTGACAAGTGCACAAAAGATGCGCACCATGGTTGTTGCGGATAAGCGGGAGTCGATGCTGAGGGTTATGGGTCGATGAATCGGTGGAGAGGGTGAAATTTCAAGGTGAAAGGACAAAGAGCGTCGCCCCAGACGGAGAGTGAGAGCACTCTCGTGCGCCCGTGACGCTCGAAACGTCCGTTATTGGGACACAGATGCGGCCAACGACTGCTGTTTGGTTATAATCAACGACATAAGCAACAGGTGGGTTGAGGAATGCAGGAAAGGTGCAAAGGCTGTCCATGCCCTCATATATGCATCCCCCGGCGCCACCGCGTCACAACACAACCAAACCGCGGACTCCGGGATCGGAATCGTCACGCTGTCACATCAGTCACGGCCAGCAGCTCGTGGTCCAGCAAGCGCTCGAGTGGCGAATTGAGCGCTGTCGCCGTGCCTCGCCGCGCTGCGTTCCGAGTATGTGCAGTTGCACTGATACGCCGTAAACGCCCCTGATACGCATTGCATCGAACTCTGATATAACAATCGAAGTAAGCAAAGGCTGTGCGTAGAACATTCCTAGCTCGATACCCCGTAGCCTCATGTCCGTCAGAAGCCTCCCGGAGCCCAGCACAGCCGTGGGATGTCCCAGAGGAGGTACGGCGAGCATCGTGAGTGCAGAATGAGAATTATGTGCAGCTATTATGACATGCATGCTATCGCGGCCGGATCCTACTTACGTGCATCCAAGTCGGGTGCCACCACTAGTCGGAACTCGTTGATGAGACGGTATTTGGTCGCTGATCGATCTTCCACGATGATATACCATTTTCGTGTTCTTGCCAAAGCTACGGAGCGTTTGTACGGAACGACGGCCCTGCTTCTTTCTTTCGAGCTGCCCTCTACGAAACTGCAGTTGAACTACGCTCTCGGTCGTAATTCGGATGTGACATACAGAATCTCCGGCGAGCGATTGAATTGCGAAGCATGCCAACAGGCACAGTTCTATCCACACGAAGGCTCGATATTTCAATCCGAGGACATGTCTTCTTTTGTTCCGTCCGCAGGGTCTGCATGTAAGCGCTCGCGAACTCACGGCGACCTTGCCTGATTCCGCAGCAGCTAATCAGCCGTGTTCTTGAGAAACTTTGCCCCCGTTGACTTAACCTACGCCCACGTCGTCTGCTATGTCTCTGGTAGCCCAACTCCTGTAACGAACGGATGGTGCAGCAACGGATTAATAGATGGTTGATATTGTGCGTGTATCATCGTCGGCCATCGCGATAGCGTGAGCGGGCAAGACCGGTTGGGATGAGACAGGCTGAAGCTGGATTGCTTGCTTCCCTTTCCCCCGATGCTTCTGCTCTCGAAGAAGACGCAGTGTTAGCATTGTGATCGATGGCAGACCTATCGCTCGTCGTCCTTCAATCCCAGTCCCAACACGCGTCCAGGGTTCAAGCATATTCTGGAAGAGCCGTTCGTGGTTTCACATATTAGACAATGTAAGACGGTAGGTTGGTGCGTGTAATCATTTTGCGATGTATCTCACTGCTTAGCTTTCACGATCATCTCCAGGACATTCAAACCTCATTTGATTGTGTTCGCATCGAAACCTCCTGTGAGTGTAGGTGTTACGTTGTCCAGAAAATCTACAGCTTCCTAATGTTGTGCTCGCACCTGCTCTTTCCTTGTACAATGGATATCATGGTTATGTTGACGACTTTGTACAGTGTGTGATCACGCCGAGATGCATACTCCACCGTGCAAGCTAGGCTTGGCTGCGATCTCAAGCGATCACCATAGAACGGTTGAGGCACGTCTGTGCCACGTTCAGTGTGAATACGATCCATCGAGGACAGGCCAAGGCTGTTCCAGGTGAGCTCCGGACTGCGCCACGGGGCTCTCCATGCCTGTCGGGTGTCTAATTAATGTCTGTAAACTCAGCAAATGAGATTCGCGGTCCATATCCAGATTCTCATCTTCGATCCAATCTCCACCGAGCATGCCCACCCCGATCGAGTACTACTCATCGACATCCCATCGCAGACTCTTCTTCAGGCGCGCCCGCAACCGACACTTCAGGACCATTGCGCTTCCTCATCGCCCAAACTATCCGAGTCGGTATGTAGTCCAGATTAACCCTAGCGCTAGATATGCTCTCGATCAGCATGGTCAGCGCAAGTTTCTCTCTTACGATCCCTGCATTGCGGGCCCTGGTGTACGCCGGCCCCCTCGCTGTCTCCACCATACGTTCTTTGAGACTAGATGTGCAAAATGGCGATACGATTGACCAGTCGATGCATACGACAAGCTCGGACAGAGGCGTATTGGCGAAGACTTCTCTCGCCAATCTGCTCAGGAGGGGGATCTGCTTTCGTACATCGCCTGTGGTGACTGTGATGAGGAAGATGACATTCTTTACCCGGACCCTTCCTGCTATTTTTATCCCACTGCCGTATGTGGTCCAAGAATGCAAACTTAACGTGCGCACTGACGTTCTTCGGATGCCTACAATATCTTGACGACACCTTCGTCCTGTAGGATAGACGGTACTTCGTGACGTTCGAGGCCGCGAACCTATTTGATTGCGGCGTATCGTCCGCTGTCTGTTCACGTCGGGCCCTAGAGCCTAACCAAGCTGGACACAATCGGCATTGCAGGCTTCCTGCATGACTACGGCGCCTACAGAGTATGTGTTTATTCATTGCCGAATGTGTCGATGCGTTAATGGGCGCTCAGACCGATGTCGACGCAAAAAAGAAAATCCTAGAGCCATCCTCCTCAATCCTTGTGAAGGCACCCTTCACCGCTCGTCTAGCTCATTGAGCGCTAGATGAAAAGACCGGGCATTCGCCAACGGGGCATTCGAAGGTTCGAGGAGAGCGGATATACTCGAGGGCGTGATGGAGAACCAGACTACCTTTCAATTGGTGCGTATTCGTTCTAACTTGGGCTCATGCAAGCGGTGGTGAATGGGTCCGGGTATAGTGCATAATCGAATCAAGGCACAGCAATTTCTCTCTGTGACTGTCTGGAGGGAATTATAACCTCGCGAGTCCGTTTCCGGTTCCTGTACTACATACAAACAATAACAACCTCGTGCTATCAGTAAATAAAATCGTAAAACGTGCCGGTGTGCGACAACGTCCAGAGGGCCAACGAAACACCGATCCATCCACGATACCCACAATACCCCACTAGATCTAGTCGTTCCATCAACACTTCCCGTGCAAATCTCCCGCTATCCTGACGTCAAACCCACGAGATGTGCAGTGATGCCTCATCGAGCCCAGTGAGCTTTGCAAGCAGCTCGGCGTCCAGCGCAAGCTACGTGAGCAGTTCGTACACTTCGTGAGGTACCGACTCGACGCAGGAACAGCTAGTACATGTGCTCGCGTACCTCGATGTGGATATCCAGTAGATGCTGTGATTGCATCCCAAAGTCGCCGAACACGCTGTGGCCCGCCGTCGTAAACCTCGTCGAACGTTCGCGCGAATTCACCTTTCACATCCACATAGTTCTCGATAGGACATCGAGGACACCGTCACACCGCTTTCCATGTCTGTGCATCGACAACGTCTCCATCTGTGGTAGGCCAGATCCATGCCGTCCCTGTCCGTTTCGTGAACGCATCCCGCAAGCTGTGGAGGTTCTGATATCAGGGAATGCCAGCTGGAGCGCTGAATGGAGAAGAATAGATTCCGCTGCGTGCGTAGGAGTTCTAGGGCCGATGGCATGCACTGACGTTCATGCAAATGGACGGATCGTGCATCTGTCTTAGCACAGATTCGCGCTCGTGCAGATCATGATGAGCGGGTTACATGTCATCATATAAGGAGTGTGCTGACGGGATGGCTGGCGCTGGTGGTCATGCCGTCAACAAATACGCGGTCGAGTTGGGGATGGAAAAGCGATGAGGATCGAGGTCGCCTGGAGGGAGGGGGTCACAGCGCAACCGCGGGTTGCTGAGAAGGAGGATATGAGAGTTCATTTGCGCGTTCGGACGTTGAAAGATACTTGTTGCGAAGACTATCGTTTGGAATTCGACTTGCGCTGTCTGATAGCCGTCGTATTGCCACGGTTCATTGCATGATACGGCATCTTGACATTGTACATTCCAACCATGGCGGATATGTGGGTGTCACGGCATGCATCGCAGCGCGAAATTGAATAGGTTAGTTCGATGTGTCCGTGTCATCCTCGAATGGGAGGCCGTCCCGCAAGCTGGGATTAGCCCCATCAAATTGATTGTCACCACCGTCACCGTGAAGACGACGAAATTGGCTGGATAGGTGTCGCGTGGAGGATTCCGACCAAGATCGTTTGGCCACTACCGAGACCTTGTGGGTGTGCATATTGAACAGCATATGAATCGGGAATGCAGCGGTGTTGGGATGAGCGATTGCTGGCGGAGCGTACCGTTTGGAAGAGGTGGAGACAAGGTGGGGAAAAAAGATTTCTGAGTGTCCGGATGGCAACGGCGCTGTGCGGGGACTGGGTGCAGATATGCTATGTAACAGCCGTGTGATGTATGGATATGGAGTAACGGATTGTGGAAGGAACCGCGGTGCGTAACCGAGAATGCGCAGTACCGTACGACCTTCGAAAAGCTGGAGAGATGAGGATAGAAGCCTTCGCGATCCACTTGAGCGTACACTTCATCGTTTCCAGCGTGGAGACAAGACCACGAATTCGAGAAGCATCTGCTGAAGATACAACGGCCGCGATGATCAAAAGTTCTTTTCATACCCGCCTCCTCTCAGCGTGGCGCTGCAGTTCCAATATCGCAATGCAGATGAATGTCTGAGTTTACATGTAAAATGTGGGATACTCACCGGAAGATACCTCGCTTGGTCAGTTGTGGGAATAAAGATGCAAGTTGTTGCTTCCACTGCTCCTCAGCCACTGTAGCTGCCTCAACGAGTTTGAGATGGTAACATTCAAGTGCAAATTCAACTTTGATCAGTGTCTTGAATGAGACGGATGAAAGATAATTATCAATCTCTTTATGGCGAGCAGACTCGTCGATTTGGAGCAACTTCTTCACTTCCCGCTTTACTTTATTGGCTCCTCTAGCGTCGGCAAACCACTTGAATAATATCACAATTTCTCGCAGCTGGCCTGATGTGATTGAAAGTAAGACCTGACACAATGCATCCAGGTCAAAAACTCCCAACTTATCGGGAAAGGCTAGCCATAGTCTCTGCAGCGAGGTATTGTGAGTGAAGGATGACACCGAATCTGGAGAAACTGTGGTCAGCAGGAATGCTTAGAGGAAAACAGAGTGCACACCTGCAGCAGACACGTCTATATGTGTCAATTGTCCAAAGTATATAAGACTCAATCGCAATTCTGAGAGTGAGCCAGATGCAGCATTTAATAGTCGCTGACATTTCCATTTGGGTTGGGATTCAGCCACATGAAATAAATCATCGATGACGAGTCTCTGCAAGCGACTCGAGAAGCAAGGAAGAGCAAGGAAGTCAATGAGTTTCTCAGGTCTCCTGAGATAATCTCCCTCGAGTGACAAGGACCTGATGTTGACGCGGTTGTGATATAGACCAAATGTCTCGCGATGGAAGTAGTCATCTTTGAATTTCAGATTGAAGCATTTGAGCTCGACCAGGCCTGGCAGGGCGCAGACGAGACGCCCGAAGACGGTGATCGACGGGAATGTAACATACCAGAGATCGAGGCGAGTGACGGAGAAGCCAGAGAGATGCAGGAAGACATCTCTGTGCATCGTCCACGGCTTCCATTCTGAATGTTGGATTGTGAGCTGCTCCAGCCGGGGCAGCTTGCGAGCAAGCATGATCGCCGCCGTCGACAGTGCTGACAGATCTGAGGCCTTCTCCCAAGCGTCCCCTATGGACATATTGTGTGCCCACTTCGACAGCTCGGGTGTCTGCTTCAACATCTTCGCATAGGCCTTCACACCGGTAGCACTCTTGATCTCAATCAGCCTGTGCAAGTGGACGCGACTGGGAGGGTTCCACACTCGACAGACGAGCCTGCACTCCAACAAAGCATGCTGGTCGTCCCACAGATGGTCGATTACGTTCTCCCACACCTTGATTGGAAGCTGCGGCAGAGTTCTTGTCGCTACTGGTTTCGCCTCGGGTTCAACCTTGGATGGGGCTATACGACCTGTTGCCTTACCCTTCCTCCTGACCTAACGCAGCGCAGCACGTAAATGGTCAGGAGCACATACACAGAGTTTGCCCACTCACGATTCGAACAGACTGTTGTGAGTTGATGATGCTCCATCTTTTCGTCCCGTCCGCCAGACGTTCCAGCTTCCATTTGATGGAGTCCATATCGTTGAGAGTAGACGGGAGGCGGAGAATGCTCACAGGTGTGAGTTTCCAAGCTGGCTCTTGCAATATATGTATCCATCTCATCGCATTGCAACGTGGTTCGTGGTTCTCTATATAATAACTTCCGGCAAATCCACACACCGCCCGCATGACTGCGTGCATTGCCCCGCACTGCAGGCGCTGCACAGCTATGTTCAGATCACACACACACCTCCATTCAATCGGGATGCTATCTGCAGGCGCTGTACGCACGCGGTCTGTTTGAGTCATTGATAACGCATGCACAGCCCAGCGGTATGATTAGCGCTCGACAAAGCAGAACCATGTGTATCTGGGCGGCTTCAGACACGGGCAAAAGGTGGGGCATAACATGCATAGCACGAACAGTCTATTGTCTAAAAGTCAGTATGTGTGTCCTTAACTGCGTGCTTGTGGCCCACGCACATTAAACGGTGCAGTGCGTGCAAGTGAGAATCGGGTCTTGATGGTATTTTGATGGAGAAGCTTGAGGCTATACCAGAACCAGATGACTCACGATAAGCTTCATCGAATGCATGGACGCGAGGCCGCAAGAAGCGGGTAAGCGACACAAACCTGCCAGGATGTCTCCACAGCATCTGCACTACCCGTGTACCGCCCATGATAAGTTTGATAGCAGCGTCTGCTGACACACAACTTTCATGATCCATTCGAGGGGCCTGTGAAGGCGTGGAAGAGGAAGACCATCTGCAGTGCTCATCATGCAGACGGTAATAATGGACTCGGACAAAGCGATCCTTTCCTCGAGCTGTCAGCCAGGAAAGGTTCCTTCGAGCCAGATGCCGTGGCGGCATACTCGGTGTTATATCCTGATAATAACAAATCCTAGTCGATGACGGTCAGAGTGAAGGATAAGTATGTATTTTGGACTGGTCGGCCATTCATCTGGCATATTACAAGCGAGCGTGGACCGCATGCCTAGTGTAGTTGCCTGAGGCGGAGCTCCACCACGAGCATGGTGTGCGAAAGCGAGGACGACGGAGAATGATGAGGAAAGCCGTGCTCGAAAGCAAAGTCACGGTCAGGGGGAGATGCGAGAGTTACACGATCGGCAGAGTCAGTTTGATGGCATCACTGACCCGTAAGCTCGTGTCGAATGAACTTCATTCCACCATGTCTGCAACGCATCCAGCCTTTTGACGAGGTATGCTTCGTGTGCTTTTCCTCTTCCTCCTCTCTATTTCATAGCTAATTCTTGATGGACGATGATCGACCCGTCATGAACATGGTGGACTGCGAAGTCTTCGCCCCACTCTGCCATCGGCGCTCTCAGAAAGCACTTTGCTCGCGCCGCTGGTCAACAGCTTTTCAGCATGCAAACGACGAGAACATCTCTACGCCAAATTTTCGCGCACTGATTCCGATCACTGCAAACACAAAGGATGATGCAAACCATCAATGCGTTCGCCGCCATCCTGCCCAGAACTGCTCCCGTGCTGGCCACAAAACGCGGCTATCTGCACTCATAGTGTACAAGACTGACATCGCTGAGATGTCGCGCATGGAGCAGGAGTACCGTGCTCTAACTTGGGATGTTTGTGCATCCTGCCGAAGGGCATTCGTGTGGTTTCTGACTGTCGCAGCACGGACGGGCAGCGGTTCGGCCTTATCATGGGAAGAGGTATGCTAGGATGGAGATACTCGTGGTGCGTACCGGGTCGTATCTATGGCTGGCTTGTGCTGACTTCTCTCGCTCATCGGTCGATATCATTGATTGTCTTGTAGCGTTTTCCTTCGCGACCTGATCTCACCTCACCAATGCGCTCTGCCTTCGTGGTCACCGACATCGCACTTCATGATTCCTACGCTACTCATTTCACCTTCATGGTCGGCCCTGCAATATTCCTCCTGCTTGGTAATTCCTGGTACACTTCTCGATAGCGGATCGAGCATGCGACGTCTGCTATCAATACGAAGACGTCGAGCCTGTTGATTTTGCTCAACATGTGGTCGGTTTCGCTATTGGCTACTCTGCACGCGACATGACTACCGAGTGTTTGCGTAGCTAATAGAGTCACTCGCATCTGGAGACATATGCCGTGTTGCTTGTGCGAGGTCCAGCTTTTGCAGGAAGCGCACGCATTTATCACGAGGCTCCTCAATCGAGGCATACGATTTTGGCAGCGTGCAGAGCAAGTGTTCCTCCATCGCGGACTGTTTGTATTCCCTCAGGAACGTCAATTTGGGTTACAGATTCATATTATCACAGTGGTCGTATCTGCGCTCGGCCTCATCGCGCTTCCGGCTGTTCGAAAAGCTCGACGAGAATATGGAGGAGATCGCCAACGGATCTTCCGGTGGGTTGTGGAATATGGAGCAAGTCGACAGCGTCCAGGGGAAAGGTGCAGACATCATCACATTGCTGTGTGTGGTTCGACAGTGCAAACTGAATGTGCGCACTCACGTTCTTCGAATGAGTTCGAGGAACAAATGTTTTTCGCGATCCGCACCAGATAACACTTTAGTCGGGTATGTTTCTGTCCACTCTCATACCTGGAGCATAAAACAAGTATCCGCTCAGTTTTCCAACTGTGGATGCATGTGGCGTACTTGCATGGACGATGTACACCTACTAGTGAGCATTGTGTGTCTCGCAGGTCCTCCTCTTGTTATCCCATTGCTGGGATCCTATCTGTGGCTGTCAGTGGACATGATGACGGCTTGAGACGCGTCTCGTAAATGTCGCGTGTTGCAGAGTAAGTATGCAACCAAAGAGGTTGCAGAACGACTGTGACGTTCCGCGGTTTTGAAGGTACCGGCATAGTAAGGCGCGCCTACTTCTCATCGTTGAGCTCAAGGTGCCGCGCATCGCTTCAATGGCTGTGCAGTGAAAACATTGCCGCAAATGGCCGTGGAATGCCTCGCTGGAACAATGTTCATGAACAATCACGCTTTGCATATGACTAATTTATCGAAGGTCCGTCATCATGCTCCACGGTGAGGTCACCGTATTATGTACTGACGATTGAACTTGGGACCGAACAGCCCAAATTGTCTATCTTGATGATCTCGAACCGAACGAGTCCATATATTCAAGCTCCTTTTGTGGTTCCAAGATTTGTGGTTCCAAGGAGCTCTGGGAATCAATTTTAAGCGACACAAAATCACAAGATTATCGGTCTGTACAGCATCTTGCTTCCCCACGAGATAGTAACTGTCATAGACTCTCCAACCCCTCCTCGGTGGAACCATGACTTTATGATTGTGCGGGACTTGACAAAGTGCTTTGCCAAGCTCCAATAATTCCGTAAATTTGCTGTAGCCGTAGATTTTATCATATATGGGCAGGGTAATCTATGTAAAGCACTGCCAGTTGCAGAAAGGGGACAAAAATGTTACACTGTTGGTGGGGTTTCATCAGCCCCATCTGATGAATGTATGTCTTTGCTGTGTTGGCTCCATGGCTTCATGAAGGTATCTAATCAAATCATGTGCGAAATAGCTGGGCGCTAGCTTTGCCGCCCATTCCAGACTACCTCCAAGCGGATCAAGTGACCGCACCTACGAAATTATTTATAACATTTCTTTTAGCTGTGCGAACGCGCTTATCATACTCGGATACCGCCAACACCGCCAACACCGTCGACCACGAAAACCGTCGGTGGTTGTCGACAGCAACAGCGACGACAACAGCGGGACAGCCAGGATGCCTTCCAGACCGTCGCCCATGGCGCTCCAGCGGTCCTCGCCGCAACCGTCCATCTTTAAGAAAAAGCCGTCGACGACAATGCCAACAGCGGCGTCGTATCTGTCTGCTGTCTCCGAGGCAGACGCGAGAGCGCGTGCGCTCGGTGCGACGGTCAACGCGCACGGTGGGACGCCCAACTCGACCCCCGCGCTATCGTTGTCGTCGTCCGTCACGACCACGTCCGAGGACACGGTGCTTAATGACCCGGTGTCCGATTACAACGATGGGCTCACTTATCCGCGCATGCCCCCAACGTCTGAGCAGGTCTTCACGACCGTGCACACGGAATTTGGCCACTGCGCGAACGAGAAGTTCCGTTTCACCTCACAGCATCACGCGGGCGCGCCGTACAAGAGCTACCCGGAGCAGGACCCTCCATATTACATCCTCCTCACGACATATATCAGTTACTTGTTGGTCATATGTCTCGGTCACCTGCGCGACTTCTTCGGTAAACGTTTCCGTCGGTCTGCCTATAGACATCTGATGGCCCAGGACGTGAGCTGTCACGTATTCGGACTGTACTTCGTAGCGTGCTGACCTATGAACAGGGGTATGCGGCACTCAACTCGGACTTTGACTCGTTCTACACACGGCGGCTCAAGACGCGCCTCGATGACTGTTTCTCGCAGCCTACCACCGGTGTGCCTGGGCGTACGATTGTGCTGCTCGACCGGTACTCGCCTGACCACAACAAGACAATGATTGCGCTGGGCACGCGCACTCGTGGCTTGAACGTCTCATCTTACAACTATCTCGGTTTCGCTCAGGCACGCGGCGCGTGCGCTGACGCCGTTGAGGCCGGAGTACAGCGTTATGGCGTGTCCGCGTGTGGCGCCAGGCTCGAAGGCGGCACCCTGGACCTGCACCAGCAGGCAGAGGCCCTGGTCGCGCGCTTTGTCGGCATGGAAGACTCACTGATCAGTTCGATGGGTTTCGCGACGAACTCGACCATAATCCCCGCGTTGGTGAGCAAGGGCTGCCTGGTCATCTCGGACGAGTACAACCATGCGTCAATTCGGTTCGGCGTACGTCTGAGCGGGGCGAACGTGCGGATGTTCAAGCACAACGACATGAAGGCGCTGGAGGATTTGTTGCGCGAAGTTATCAGCCAGGGCCAACCGAAGACGCATCGCCCGTGGAAGAAAATTCTGCTCATCGTCGAGGGCTTGTTCTCTATGGAGGGCACGATGGCTAATTTGCCCGTCATTATGGAGCTGAAGAAGAAGTACAAGGTAATCTTTACAGAGAATTGTTTCACCCGCGCGGCTAACATCTCCGGTCGCAGTTCTATCTCTTTGTGGACGAAGCACACTCTGTTGGTGCTTTGGGCCCTCATGGTCGTGGTGTCGCTGACTACTTCGGCATCAACCCTCGCAACTTCGACATCCTCATGGGCACGTTCACCAAGTCCTTCGGCGCGGCTGGCGGATACATCTCAGGCAGCAAGGCGCTAATTGACCGGCTCCGCGTTCACGGACATTCCGGTTGCTATGCGGAGGCGATGCCGCCGCCCGTGCTAGTGCAGGTTATCGCAAGTATGGCCGGTATCATGGGCGTGTCGCCCGGTCCATCATCAAGCGCTTTAACGATCAAGGCGGATGATATCGCTGAACAGGAGCGCTACCCCGGTAAGGCACCCGCGGCGATACTGCCCTCGTGGATGCCCCTGTCGCCATCAATGTGCGACGGTTCCGACGGACTCGTGCGCCTGCGCAGACTCACATTCAACGCGCGCTACCTAAACCGAGGTCTGCGCAAGTTAGGTTTCATCACGTATGGGTGCGACAATTCGCCGGTGGTGCCTGTGCTACTGTTCAACCCGGGCAAAATGGCGGTGTTCAGCCGAATGATGCGCACGTGGTCGACGCCAATCGTGGTTGTCGTGGTTGCGTATCCCGCGACGCCGCTCGTAACGTCGCGCGTGCGCTTCTGCGTCAGCGCAGCGCACACGAAGGAGGACATCGACACGGTGCTCACTGCGTGCGACGAGATTGGCGACTTGCTTGATTTGAAGCAGAGCACGGGCGAGCGTTGGCCACTCAAGGAGGTCATAGATAGGGCGGTCGAGCTCGTCAGCATGCCTGAGATGGAATAAACGATTCGAGGGTGTGTCTGCTGCTCACAGAAGATAATAGAGGTCGGAGGTAACATACAGACGATTATCTTTTAAGGTCGCGAAAGAAGACCTTGCACTAATGGATGCAACGACACGCTCACATGAATTGAGCTACACTCAGCCAGTTTTCATCCCCCTCCTTACTATTTATCTTACATCGTCTTATGCTCGTGCTGCGCTCCGTCATTCATAAGCAGCGTGAACTGTTTTTTCATGCATCTTCGAACAGTACATATATACCCTTCCGACGTTACCTTACAGCGATGTGTGTAGTTCATGCCGTGGCATACTGAACCAGGCCGCCATGTTAGGTGGTTATGTAGTAATAGAGTGTGCCTTGGACTGCGAGCCCAGAAACGTGAGCATGGTGACAGAAACGAGGTAAGTACTGTCTTTCTCTGCGCTGGGTGACCATGATGAGCGTTGAGAGGAAGAAGAGAGTCTGGCGCAGGCAAAGGCGCTAAACGCGAGAAATGAACACACGGTTCACGGTTCGCAGTTCGCGTCTGGAACTTCCGTTTTGCGGCCACGCATTCCGATGATGCTTCTTGTTGCCGTGCTTCCGCCGCGCCGGCTGCGTGGGTCTGGATGATGTGTGAGTCTGGATGATGAATGGTGCTCTCCTGGAACATTGACCCATGTCCTTAGCGTAGGTGATGGTATGCCATGCTCCTGATTTGTTTTAATTGAAAACGCTGTGAGTACGGTAAGTGGTCGAGTCCTTGCTTATGATAGCGTGATTCCATAAGTTTGCAGTGTGTCACTGCCCGTCGAAGGACTCCAAGAATATCACAGTGCAAGCCCCAGCCAATATTACTGGGAAATCGTTGCGAGGACTGCATCCGAACCTCTAATCGTGTCATGTCGATTGGTACGAAGCATCTCGAGTGCATTCTTATCGTTCTCATGTGCTGGCTGCAGTCTGAGTCTATGATGCGGCTCGCTTGGAGACTGCTACTTTTGCGCAGTGGCTTACAGTGCAAAAGGCCAGTTTTTCTCACGCGTCGAAATTCAGCCTTCCGAGCGACCTTCAGATCAGACCCCCCAGTATAAAAGAAGCATATTTTCTTTTATCACACTGTTGAAGAACCATGCTTGACGTCACACGCAGACGCTCCTGAGGTAAACCATATGAGCACCTGTCTATGTCCGCGATGTGATAGTAACAGCGGCGATGAACCATTTCGTCACCTAGCGTACGTCTCACGTCTCACCTTCCATTTGTCCTACCTAACTAATACCGCATTTGAGTCATAGTCTCTAATGACGAAGTGCAAGCCTGAGTATAAACTTGTAGCCATGGATGTGCTGAAGCAAACATGCATCTTGCGGGAAAGTGCGCTACTGTCAGAATCGAAGGCCAATAACCGGCAACATGCAACTGTCTTCCTCGGCAAGACAGTCCTTAGTGAACTCATCGACGGGCGGAATTACGGGCACGCTTTCTTTAATTTCATGCTGACATGACAGGCATGGTACGTCTGAGAAAGAAGTCCGACGCACTAGAGTTCGCGTATATGAGGTGGAACGATACTCCATTTCATACGGCTTCCCTGATAAAATGCGTCTTTGTCTGCAGAATCGACGCTCAAGCTCCACTCGTTCGACGACCAACACCCATGGAGTTACAAAGTCGGCCTTTGCTGCGCTTCGTGCCTTTCGTCATTCTGCAGCATGTTCTGCTAGCTTGTCTCATTGCCATCCGCATGCAACGGCGTGCACGGATAGTGGCATTCCTCTCCTACTTCTGCGTCCTCGTTCCCGTGTTCCTGTTCACCACTGGGGACATTCATAGAAATCATTCGACGGGCTGTATGGTCACGGGGCAAATCTTCACAGCATTCCATCTCCTCTGCCTGTCTGATCCCTTGAACGACTTTCGACACGAACGCGAGGAAATATCACCGAGTAAGATGCCCTACTTACGTCGCGTATACTGGGCCCTTTGCGTCATATGCAGTCCTCGCGGAGTCGGCTGGAACTATCAGGTGCGGTCGTGGCGATTCGTATGACAAAGGCGTACTGAACAGCCGATGCACCACACAGGTCGCCAACGTTCCTTCACGTTCAAATGATGCAAAATGGACGTTCGTGCGCCTGAAGCTGTTGAGCGCGCTCCGATGGTTCCTGCTCATCGACTTCGCGCAATCGCTCCAACGTTCCCGCCCTCTGCTTCCTGGAGGAGAAATGGACGTGCTTATTGTTGCAATGCATGGATGCATCCAGCGCTTCATCACCATTGCGCTTATCGATATGCAATATGCTCTATGTGCCGCGGCGTTTGTAGCGCTGGGAATATCGGAGCCCAAGGATTGGCCGGATTTATATGGGCAGTGGTCTGATGCGTGTACAGTCAGGCGATTCTGGGGGTGAGCGGACTCTTTACTTCTCGCATTCTATTCTCACAGATTAATATGCCATAGGCGCGCATACCATCAAATGATCAGACAGGTACGTTGACACGTTCATCGTTTATATTGAGCGGAATGGCTCATTCTGGATCTGCAGTACACGACGTCAATTGGGAAGCTGGTCTGTCACCTCTTTCGCCTGCAGCCGGGCTCATGGATGTCGTCGCGTACGCAGCTCTACGCCGGCTTTGCCGTCTCCGGCCTCATGCACAGCGGCGGGGACCTCATGGTGAGCCCATCGCTGCTGGGCGCGTCGTTCCCGTTCTATTTCTCCCAAGCATTCGCAATCTCGTTTGAGGATGCCGTCATCAGCGCCGCGCGCAGAAGCAAGTTGGTGATGAGATGCCCACAGACGCTGCTGCGTTGCGTTGGGTATGCCTGGGTGCTCACATGGACGGTCATTTCGGCTCCCTTGTACCTAACTTGGACAGTGAGAGCGGGAATCAGCAATGAGAACCGTGTTTCATTTTCGTTACTTAGTTTTGTCGTGTCTGCTTTCGAGAATTCTTGATTTAGTGCCTTGATACTTCCATGCAGTGAAGTTGGAGATGTAAACGCTCGCTACTAGCTATTCTTGGGGACGGATCTGCGAAATATTATGTATGTTATCACGAGACGTTCTTTGTGCCTCTGCATATATTTCTATTCACGATAGAGGCCATCCTGTGTTTATGGAGGTGTCGTCGTTCAAGTGATCGTGCATACAAGGCCGTGTGTCAGCTTGTCTCCAGTGTGTACACCGTGGATACCGTTTCTGGCAAACAGTTGGAAGGGATTGTGCAACTTTTTTCAAGGGGTAGCAGCTAGTGGCCGATACGGGCAGTCAGAGGCCCCGTAGCTGAGAGCATCATTCTAGCTTCAGGCGCACGAATGTTCAAAACGCCGTCTCACAATCACCTCAATGCTCACAAGGAGAGTCTTCATTACTCACGTCGTTCATCCTTTCGAAGGGGCCGAGATAATAATAATCGTGCTACCGGTACAGTTCTAGAATACGATACGAGCCGACCACAAACACATCTGCTTGCTGCAGACGACCGAGTGTGATGACGGGAATACAAATACCACGATGATGTACGCTAATTAGGACAGTATAAACATTTCGAGCTCGTCATCGCATCTACTCGCTGTCGCCGCGCCCGATGACTTTCACCTGCGTACCCATCGCAATCAGACCACAGATGAAGCAAGAATAAGGGACAGAGCAGAGACACACCTTGAAGCCGATCTCCCGCAGCGCATCCGCGTCGACAAGCATGCGCCCATCAAACACGAACGCGGGCTTGGCCATGTGCGCGTACACCGTCTTCCAGTCAATCTCGCGGAACTCCTTCCACTCGGTCGCGATCACAATCGCCTCCTTGTTCTTGCACGCCTCGAGCGCCGAGGGCGCGATCGTCACTTGCTTCTTGACTGGGAAAATTGAGACAATCTGAGCTAAAGAGGGGATGATGAAAGCGGGAACGCACTAATCTCAAGCGGGATGCTGGGGCAGGCCTCCGCGAGGTCGAGCCAGATCTGCGCCTCCTCAACCTTGGGGTCGTAGATGTTGATGAATGCGCGCTCGGCGAGGAAGTCGCGCACGAGTGTGATGGCGGGCGATTCACGAGTGTCGCCAGTATCGGCCTTGAACGCGAACCCGAGAAGTGCGATGTGCTACGAGTGCATATATGCGCGTCAGAAAACCCTATCCAGCTCGCAACTTTGCAGCAACTTACCTTCCCGGTGATCGTATTGAACAGCGTGTCCACCACGGTCTTCGAGAAACGTGCCTTCTGGTACTCGTTCATTTCGACAACCTGGCGCCAGTACGCAGCAACCTGCGGCAAGTGCAGGCTCTCGCTCAAGTACACAAGGTTGAGGATGTCCTTCTGGAAACAAGACCCGCCAAAGCCGACGGACGCGCGAAGGAACTTGGGCCCAATGCGCGAGTCAAAGCCAACCGCATGCGCGACCTCGTCGATATTCGCGCCCGTCGCCTCGCAGATTGCACTGAGCGCGTTGATTGACGAGATACGCTGCGCCAACATCGCGTTCGCAGCGAGCTTCGATAGTTCGGAGGACCACAGGCCAACAGTCAGGATACGCTCCTGCGGCACCCAATTTGCATACACGGCGGCGAGCGCCGCGGACGCGTTCTTGCCCTCGGGCGTCTGCAACGAGCCGATGAGCACGCGGTCGGGCGAGAAGAGGTCGGTGATGGCAGTGCCCTCGGCGAGGAACTCGGGGTTCGAGAGGATGTCGAAGCGGCATCCCTGACGCGAGTTGGCCTCGAGGATAGTGCGCATCGACTCGGCCGTCCGGCACGGCACGGTGGATTTCTCGACGACGATCTTGGACGAGTGCGCGACGGCGGCAATGCGGCGCGTCGCCAGCTCGACATAGCTGCTGGCATGAGCGCGAGCGTACGCGTGGATGATAGACACTCACTTGAGATCAGCCGCGAAGCCCGCACCGACACCGCTCTTCTTGGTGGGCGTGTTGACGCTCACGAAGATGAGGTCTGCTTCGTTGATGGCCTTGTCGACATTGGTGGAGAAGAAAAGGTTGCGCCCGCGCGCCTGCTTGACGACGTCGACGAGGCCAGGCTCGTAAATGGGCAGCTCATAGTCGGCGCTATTCCAGGCGTCGATACGCTCCTGATTGAGGTCGACGATGGTGACCTCAATCTGCGGGCACTTTAGCGCAATGACCGCGCACGTCGGGCCACCTGAGGGGGAGTTAACAGTGGATCTCTGTGTTGTGTTGGTCGCACTTGCCGACGTATCCAGCGCCGACTACGCGAATCAGTTAGACGGTGGCGAACGCTGCAGGCGACGAGCACGTACTGCAGCAGATTTTCTTAACGTTGACGGCAACCATGGCGAACGGCGTATGGGGGGGAGGAGTGCGTAAGGAACGGATTGAAGTAGGGGAGATATATCAAGTTGAAGACGGCAGCCCGGACGCGGCGAAGAGAAACCAGCGCGGAAGCTGGCGCGTCTTTGCTCGGCGTCATCATCCCATCGCGGATGTCTGTCCCTTGCCGTCATCGCCCGCCCTGCTCTCGCCTCTGCCTCGGTCTTCTGCTCGGCTCTCTTTCGCCTCCGCTCTCCCCGCGCCGGCCAGGAGTCGCCTTTCCTGAAGCATTCATAACGTTTTGGCTCCGCGATTAGACTGTTTGTCGGAATCAAAGACAGGGGTGGGATAGTAAAGGAGGCATCTAGAGACTCATCAAGGAGCATTCAGGATGAAACGGGAGGCATTTGATTCATGAGAGAAACAGCTCCTGGAGGAGAGGACGAATGTTGGCGAGATGGAACGGCGTCAGATTCACGCGCGAGTGACGGTGAGAAAGGTACCGAGCCGGTCAAATAGAATCGACCCCCGTGGGCATAATTCATGACCTGGCAGCGCGCGTGCGAGAAAACATGCCATCAGAATAGGACAGGTCAACATGTACATCTAGTCATTAAACGGAACGGAGACCCTGTTATAAGGCTTGTTGTTGAGAGTGTTATGGAAGGAAAAAACTTCGGAGCCATGGCGGGAGAGCAAAGGAACAAATGAAGACGTTCCGACGGAGGTTTTTTTCCCCTAACCTGTACCTTGAGGGTGCTGCCTTTGGGACTTCTGCTGTGGCCGCATCTCCAACAAAATTACTGCATCAGGATAAACAGACACCATAAAAGGAAATACGGGGACGCCAATACTTGACGATCGTCCTGCGGATCATCATGTGACACACTATCAATATTGGAGGAGGAGCAGACCTGGCTTTACCTTGCAGAGGTCTGCCCTGTTGTCTCTCTTGAGCTCAGTTTATATACGTTCCTCTGTTGTGCCCGCTAGCGCTTGATTTCTTCCCATCAAGAAGCAGGTGACACACTGACAATTGCGCCCTCAGCACTCGAGGCATGCAAGAATAAAGAGGCGATCGTGTTCGCGACTGACTGGAAGGAATTTTGCGAGTTGACTTGAAGACGGGGCACACGTACATGGCCCAGTCGGTGTTCGTATTTGATGGGCGCATGCTGGTCGATGCGGATGCACTGGTGTTTAGAAAGGTCATTCTTTCCCGCTTATGCTCATGTTGCACGTTTCTCATTACATTTCGTGCAGGTGAAAGTCGCTGGCCGTGGAGCCAGCATCTGATCTTGAAGACGACCGCCAAAGGTTGATGCCTGCGACTGTTCTTACTATCGTACACTCCCCGGTATTATATCGGTCGCCTCACGATTGAACGAAGAGTTATAGTAACATCTCATGCGCAACGTGATTATCGGCACCATATTAGCGAGTAAGAAAGATAAGTCCACGGTCCCACTGAATTCTCAAATGGCAGAGCAGTGAATACCAACATCAATCTGCCTACTAGGTCCACACAGCTGCGTCACGTGTTTGAGTGAAGTGCTCGCATGGATACTATAGAGTGTCTTTTGGAGAGTTTGTGCTCGGTGTCCAACAACATGATGCAACGCATCCAGATCCTTCTTCCAAATGATCAAGCGTGACAATGGCTCCGCACTTTGCGATCCGATAGGCGACGGTCAACCCAGGAATACACAAGCAGCTCCGTCAGCAGGTTAACGAGTGACCGATCTGTTAGTACCTAGCATCACTTCTGACAGCTCGTACCACTCATTTCCTATATTGGCTTATTCACGGCTAGCGAAACTGTATCAGAAAAGGAGGCTTTACCTTTCATTTGGGCTCTTCGTTTTGTGGAGACTGATGAAAGTGCTCGCAGAAATACAACAAGCTTGCAGGCAATCCGATTGATGCCGCCTGGTACTTTGGAGATCGATGATCCCAACGCGAGGTCTCGCAAGTTGTCCACAGGCTGTTCACCAAACGTTGAAGTTCGCCGGCCGACGCACAATGCGAGCACAGTGCCGGCGCTCGTGCGAGTACGTATCAAGCGGATCGAACGACTGAGTAGCCTGTCATCTTTGATTCTCTAGCCTGTATGTAGTGGTGTTAAATGTTGTCAATGTACTACACAGACTATGGCACACTCCCACAGGCGAACTTCGCGCAGGTATGTACTAGTACAGGTGGCTATAAACCCCACCAGTGGGGCTACGATTCCTCCTGATGAAATCTTCTCTTTACTATGAGGGTGTCACCGAAAGCTCTACGCTCGGAGAGCGGCCTTCAAGCTTGTTAGTCCTGGGGTAGTACATCGACAGGCATGCTTAAAATGATCCTTTGCTCACCATTGATGGCCCTCGCAGTAGCATTCCTTGCATTACCGGCGGACTGGAGCTCTGCTTTTTCTGCCTGGAGTTTCTTCAATCTGTCCTCCAAATTCGAGATTTCCTGCTCAAATGATTTCTTCAGGTCCGCCAAGAGCTCCGCAGTCTATATCGTCATTTCATCTCTAGCCCTTTGCAACTCCTTTCGATACACTTCCTCTAGTCTGCTGAGCAGATCCCCGAGTTCCCTCCCTGCCTCCGTCTGCGGGATTGTCCGACGGAGTTCGATCAACTCTCTTTGAATCTGGAGCACTAGCGGCGCATTGAACAGCAACTCCCGCACAATGGCTTCAGCGGAAGATACACCGTTGTCGTGACGAAGCAAACGTGCACCGGGGCCGAGTATTCCTTGAAGCTGTTCCTCCGATTGCACACCGATCGTAGTATCGCTAACCTCCGACCACATAGTAGTAGCGATCATGGTGTTATCTATCTTCTCATCTTTGCAGAGGACCTGGAAGGAGCGAATGTTTTCTATGGCAGTCCGTCCTATCCGTCGGTCGGAAATCCGGTGGAAGTAAACAGCTCCGCATACTGGCTTGCCCTCTTCACGCCTGGCAATAGCACGTCAAACAACTATTTAAGACTAAAGCATGTTGTCAACCCACAAGGTTTTAACATGTTTCTTTATTATCTCCATCACTCGGCTTTGCGACAGCTTCAAGTTGTCAAAGCCCGGCGTGTCAATCAGCACAACTTCCTGGTCTGATAACGTCAAACGTCCTGATTGTACCGTTCCAGTGCAAGGCTGTACGCCTCGACCGATGTCGAAGTGAGATTGGCTCGTCAAGTTAGTGAACTGAAGAAAAGTGAGTCAGCAAATGTCCAGAGATATAATAAGCTACACACGGCTGTTTTCCCACAACCGGTAGGCCCTACTAGTCTGAAATGGAAATATGCATTCACATTCACCCGGGTACTCAATGAACAAAGGCACCCACAAAATATACCTCGGTTCGCGAACGAGTGCGCCTCGGTGAGGGTTGGGTTCCGTGTGAGCATAACCGTCCGATGGTTCCCTTGAGAGCAAGCTTTGCACGATCTCCCTCGCAGAGGCAATGGTATTGTCATGACGGAACATTCTTGCGCCGTTGGCTAGAATATCTTGGAAGAATTTGTTCCTCAGCTCTGTCTCTCTTCCCGCTTCTCTTTCATTGTTACCCTCTGTCCACATGTTGGTCACAATTGCAACGTTCTTCATCGCCTCCGTGCCACATATTTTCTTAAATAGGTCCAGACTGTGGGACACAGCACCGCTCATCCGGATGTCGGAAATTCGATGAAGGTATATTATTCCGACAACGTTCCTGTGATTTTCGCGTCTGGACCCCCCATTAGGTCAGTCCTTTGCACTTGTTCGATTACTCATCGCAAACTCACATCTTCTTCAAGTACTTCGCGAGCTGGTTGAGAACGGCAACCTGTGGCCTTTCCGTGTCGTCGAATCCAGGCGTATCGATGATGATAACATCATGAGTGGATAGAGAGAATGAAACTTCGTGAATTTCTCGAGTGCAAGATGACAGTTCGTGGCCGATCAAAAGGTCTGCCCCGCTAACGAGATTTATGAACTGTGTTCGAGGTTCCTTGAGGTGAGCAACTACTTATGCATTGCTCCAGGTACCCCTCACCGTCGTCTTCCCACATCCTGTGGTACCAATGACCCTGACCATGAGAGGTCAGTGTTCGTATCAGAGTTAAGGGCGTACATGAGCATGAGCACGTACAGGATACGCCTCGGCTGTGTCGTATGTGCGTGGGTACAAGGTGACATGTTGTCCGCGGGGAAAGCCAACAGATACGAGCAATCGAGGCAGGAAGATGACCGTATCGACTGAAAATGACCAGACCTACATAAGATTGACATGTGTTGGGAATTTCTGTCATCACCGGGAATGTGCGATGAACTCAATCAGGTGGCTCAAGCCACGTACTTGACGTGCGTAAAAGGCATGAGCACTCTTCGCCGCTTCTACCAATAGTCGAAGATGGGTTTGGACCCGGATACTATGCGGCATTACGAGATTTCAAAGTCTTCTTGCCGTCATGCTCTGTGGCCGGTGAACATGTGTATGTGAAATAATGATATAGGCCTAACAGGAGCGATACGGCAAGCCTTGCCTCAAGGTTGGGGCGTTTTGGCAGATATCGTAATCCAATTTTGGGAGACATTCATAATCTGATATATTCGAGACCGCTCCGATCAAGACATCCATCCGCGCTACCGACATCAGCATGGACATTATGAAGAGATTCTTCTCGCGTAGCTCTAAGGTCATTCTGTGAGTGCAATGTCATGGCTGCAATGCTGAATGGCTGACCAGGCGTGCAAGAGTGATGGGACTGAGCGGAGCAGGGAAGACGACCGTGAGTCCTCGATGACATGACACGAAAACATGCGGTTGATCAAGAGCAGTTCATCGAGCTAGCAAAAGGCTCGGAAGGATGCCAAAGCGTCGCGCTACAGTCAGAACAAAGGAGCTTACATATTTCAGAGCCATTCTTGGTAGGAGAAACTTTGGTGCAGTTGGTCGAGATACCCGGGTTCGATGACGCTGCAAATGACGATACGGACGTTCTCGACCTCATAGCGAAGTGCTTGAGAACACGGTGGTAAGTGGACGTGAATGTGTAAATCCTGCCCACTCGCTCACCAGTCACCATTTGTCTCGATGCAGTCTCAAGAAGGGAGTAACCGGGATCATATATCTCCACCCCATTACCGATAACAGGATGGGGAGGGCTGCACTACGCTACTTCAACACATTTACCGCGCTATGCGGTCCGGGAGCACTCTCGAATGCTGCTATTGCCTTCAATATGTGGAATGAAGTGGATGAGGACGTTGCGGAGAGAAGAAGTAGAGAGTTGTCCGATACAGAACTCCTCTTCAAGCCTGCTCTTGATGCAGGCGCAAAGACCTTCCGCCACAACAATACGCGAGAGTCAGCGCGTATTATCCTAGGCTATCTCGCGGGTCTATCGACGACACGGCTTGCTTTCCAGAAGGAAGTGCCAGTGTCCAAACGACACTGGGATGTGTGCGATTCCAGCGCTGGCCGCGTTCTTTCGAGATATACGGAGACTTGGGGGACGAGTTAGTGAGGTCCCGGTTTGAGCATTAGGTTTGTCTGCAGTTAGGAGACAGTAGCTGAATAAAGTGCGTTGGCATGCTATGTCAAGAACAGTTGCTGACGCTCAGCTCTCAGGCCTTCGAATCGTTGGCTGTCAGAGGGATTCTTCGAAACGAGCGCCTTCGCTGTAGGAGTACTTAGGCCTACGTCTACGATAAATCAGTTTCAATCGTCGCGTACTATAGCACTTCGTAAGTACTGTCAGTGCTAGAGACAACAAAGACTCGCCTTGTGTTGTCAATGATCATGAAGAGCATTTCATAATCCAGTCGACTGGTAGTGTGGTTTCAGATGGGTTATGGTGATTCTCTCCCACGCGAAGCAGGAAATTCATGATTGATGTCACAGCATGCATAGCAACATTTTTCCATTGGAAAACAGTAGAGAAACTCTGAAAACATATTAAGCTTTGGATTGGAAAAACGGTGAAGAAATTGAAGCTTTCTCCATCAGTGAATTGCTATATATGGGCATATGCTATTTAAATATGGAATTTACATAAAGTTTCTTAACATTTTTCCAAGACAGGGCTTTATATTCTTTTACTGTATTTTCATGGTTTCTTCAGTGGAAAAATATTGGTATGCATGCTGTGCATGTGTGTCTGTAGGGCGTCATCATCGTTGGATAGAAAATGGCAGGTGTTCAGCATCTCCAGGCTGCAAGTCGCGTTTTCAGTATATGAATTCCGCACGCCTGCAACGTGTTTTCGATGATGCCAAGCTGCGCCATTCCAATCGCGTCTTATCACTGGATATCGCGCTTGCATTCGAGAGCTAGAGTTCAGACCAGTGGCAACGCGTGCAATTATGACAGGTCATTGGCTCATCACGCGCGATGGGAGCACGCCTGCAACAGCGATTCCAGACTCTTCACTCCCAAGATATCTATAGCATTTAACGGTTCGGCCTTTGAGGCCCACAATGCTGGAACAAAGCATTCACCGGCAGGACCAAGTCCAAGCGTCAGAATCGCCCAGCTGGTGATTCTCGTTGATGCACATGTATAAGGTGCGGCATGCAGGGATCAACGGACTGCCTTCTTCATTCTACTACCAGGAGCCATGGATGATATTATCTTAACATGCCAGCGTTGCAAATGCATCGCCTTCAAATACACGCCTTCATGACTCGAGGATGGACAGTCCCCTTCGCTGCCTCGAACTATTGCAATCCTTCTAGCCGAGGACGATGAGCCAAAACGCATCGACCAGCATCGATGACTTGAGCTCTAGCTCGACTCTGATTGCGTGCGTATGACAGCGCATCTACACATATTACAACGTTGACGTTACATGTAGCGTGACCGGCCCAACAGGAGTTGGGAAAACAGCAGTCAGCGGCATGCTATGATTCAGAATCCTCATCCCTTACCGCCATCTCTGTCTAGTTCATCAACTCACTATGTAATACTACGCTGCAAGTCAGCAAGCAGCTAGAGTCGTGCACAGACAAGATACAAGTGGCGCATTGTTCTTTTAACGACATAAACATTGCACTGATCGACACACCTGGATTCGACGACACATATAAGTCACATGTGGCCACATTCGAAGTGATCGCGGAATTCCTTGAGAAGTTGTGAGTGTTCCTACCATAGACAGTGATAGTCAGGTGATGATACCGTCGTCCCCATCCCTGGTAGGAGCCGGAAAGGAATTAAACTGACTGGTTTGTTATACATGCATCGCATATCCGACGTCCGAGTAGGTGGGACCGCTCGGCATAGCTTCCGAGTCTTCACTAAAATCTGCGGAGCTGATGCCCTCAAGAACGTGACGATTGTTACCACAATGTGGGAGGACGTCAAGGAGGATGTTGGCGAAGGCAGGGAGCGAGAGCTTGCTGAAAAGCCGATTTTCTTCAAAGACGCTATCGACGGAGGAGCAGAGATGATGCGATATTACAACAACATTGGCTCAGCTCAGAGACTCATGGAAGCGGTCCTCAAACGGTCGCCGGTAGAACTCCAGATTCAACGAGAACTCGTCATAGAGGGAAAGACTCTGCCTCAAACGGCGGCTGGAGTGGAACTACAAACTGAGCTGGAGCGACAAGTTCACGATCGGTTGACGGAGGTGGAAGAGCTGCGGCGGCATCTGGCCGAACTCAAGACGACAGGACTGAGTGATCAAACAGTGCAGGGCATGGAAAGGGAGCTTGAAGAGGCGTGGGAGAGAGTAACTGCAATCCAAGGAGAGATACAGCAGCTGCGGAGCCTTGCCGCGAGGACACTCCCACATGCGGGAGGGCGCGAGCTTGCTCAAGCGGCCACGGATGCTCATACGGCACAAAGATCATTCTGGAGACCGAACCACAACAACCCTCTTCGCCATATCGCCAGATTGGTGAAAGGTTTGAAACAAATTCAAATCAGCCTCACGAGTCTGAAGGACAGAATAATGCGGAAACGCGCGGCACACGCAGGCGGGGATAAATTATCTTTGTGGCAACGCCTTCGCAGGGCTACAAGTTGAACGTTCACGTGGTTGAGCCTGGACACAAAGGTCAGAACCCATTTCTCATAGATTAAAGATGAAAGTCTTACAAGGCTCCAGGAGTAGGTGGATTTGCTGTTGTTGCGGTCCTTGGGATATTCGCATCACGCACAGGGTATCATGATCACTTCACGCACACCGCTTTACTCCACGGAGTGGCAGACTCTTCCAGCCTCAGTTAGATCACGCATGCATCTTCACAGGTTTTCTTGTCAATATGTATTCTCCATTTTCGAGGCGTTGCATGCTCAGAAACTTCTTTATACATCGGTCGGTCTTATGGGGTACCAATTGTCTATATTCATCTACCGTCGGATCGTCCTATACCCTCCTATACCTATATTACACAACGCGGCGCGCCTACACACGGTGGCGCAGGGTGACATACCGCATATTGCAGCAGCAACTTTGTGTGCCAACTTTGTGCTTCGCATTGAGTTGTTGAGCGGCAGTGTTCAGTCTCAAACTTCCTTGTCCATTTCCAGCTGCGTAGGAAGCCTCGTGTCACACAGCAAAGCTATTGGCCCGATTGCTGTACAATTGACCCCACAGTGGCGTGGCCCTCCAACATGCTATGCGCTGCATTAAGCTATAATTAGACCGTACATATCTGTCAAAGTCCATGTGGGTCGCGTGCTTGTATACATAAACGTGTGACTGTGTGACTTGCTATACCTGTCTTGCAAACGAAGATGTCAGCCCTTGGAAGTTGAAGCGACGTATTAAATTCCTCGCCCTCATGTGCTGAACAGATGGTGAAACTGAGCGTAAGCCAGTGAACAAAGGTCTCCTTGACGACGCGTGCCATCAATTTTTGAGCTGAACCAGCAGCACGCTGCGACGTCCATTTCTGAGTCTGACAACATTTCGCTCTTCGTAATCGAAAAAGCCATCAGTGGTGGAAGGCCACATATGACCAATTTTTCTCCTCATTCACAGAACTGAGAAAGCACCACCACTGAGACGAGGATGACAACCATCAAACAAGACATATCACCATATATGAAGCTCGAGCTCCATACGTTGCATCATGTAATTCATATGCCGGACATCTTTACGCATTCTGCTGAATTCTATTGATCAATCCCGATGGTTTAATATTCAAATTTCGCAAAGGCGGATACGAATACCATTAACATCTCACAGCTTGCTCTTCTCCCAAGCAGGTGCAGGTTCTCCTGTCAGAATTGCCCATATCCCATCTGCCAATCCCTTCGATTGTGTCTGCACAACCTATTCGCAAGCAGAAGCGAGCAGGGAACCAATATTCCGAGCGTGAGTACAAGCAAACAGAATGCCGTGAGGGAAACACTAACCAGATGCCCCGAGTTTCTCACACGCCATGCAGAAGCATGTTTGCCCTTTGTTCCATCAGACAAGAGGTAGTCCTTCACTTGGCTCGGACTATAAATGTGAAGAGATCAGCAATCGTCGAATGACATGAACGCAAAACGTACATGTAATCATCGACAGCGCCGTACAAAATGTGCACAGGATAAGTGGCGCACAGAGTAGACAAGTAGTTGTAGGCGCGCACACGACCCGTGTTCGTGTGGTCGCGATAGCAAGCTGCTTCCTGCGCCCTGGTGCATTTCAGCGTCACGCCCTCGGTCTTATCTGGGTAGTCAGCTGTGGGAAGGTCTCGCATTCCATGGTCCTGAACGCGATCCTACGGTCAACGAAAGTTGATTAAAAATGAATGAACCTAGTACATACAACAAAGGCACGAAGGACCTTGGGGTCCCAGACCTTGAAGCCCGCCCGGGACTGCAGCCACGCGAGTGCCTCCTCACGCGAGGGGAATATGTCGCGGCGTTTCTCGGCGCCCGAGGTTAGGACGGTTGTGAACTTACCACCGAGGCCATGCGGTTCGGGCGGGAAGCACATAGGCTCTGCGAAGATGAACGACTGAAATAGTGGGTTAGGTCGGAAAGTCCCGCAGAGAATCCTGTTATATTGTCCATGAGTGATTGCAGGCGAGTAGATTGCAAGTGCGTACAGGCCAACAGCACCCATGGAATGCCCGACGCCAACTAGGTTGCGCTTGCTGAAGTCGACATCCACGCCTGTGCCCAACCCGGACAGGAATATATGCACAGCACGCGCATACTCCTCCCAATTGACTGCAAGAGATCGGTCATCGTCATCATGATCCACATATGAGCCCAAGTACAACATAGCTCACAGATATGGTATCCCCATTGCAACGTCTTCTCATTCAAGACCGCCGCATCTCCATGGTTCGGGCAGTCGATGCTCCAGATGTCACGAATGCGCACAGCTTTGTTGCCCGCTCGCGCCAAATGCTCGTACAGGTACTCGAAAGTCGGCTCCCACTGCTCCTTGTGATATCCGGTCCCATGTGTCACGATGAGCGTGAGTGCATCAGGCGCATCAGAGGCGAGCTCCGGGACCCAGTAGCACTTTGCGGTGATCAGCAGCGGGTAGTCCGGACGCGGGTCGCAGACGTAAGATTGGCTGCTGAGGACGGGCATGGTTGCAGTCAGCAACTCAGCGTCGAGGTGGTGGTCGTGGACGAAACAGCATACGGAGGGCTCGCGACTAATTACTCACCATCATCAGATGATATCCCCAATCACAGGTCAACTCCGGGTGATGATCTCGGAGAAATGGGGCATGGCCGACGTTCACGGGAAGGAGTCGGGAGCCTATTCTGTTCTTGTTCGGTTCTTTTTGTCTTTCATATGAGGCTGCATTATTTGACGCGGCACAGGACCTGTAGCACCAGAAGCGACACAAACGAGTGCAGAAATAGAGATTGCAAACGAACGGACTTGGGATGGGTACTGATAAATGGGGAGAGACCCGAGTACGACCAACCCAATTGATCTAATCTTATCGTTTTGAGCGCTCAATCCAATTTGACCTGCTTTGATCTAATCTAAATTTATTGGGTCAGTCACCGTCTCCTCTGGGTTTCTCTTGTTGCGCTGTCCGGATTGCACATTCACTGGTCTCCTCTATACGAACCAAAAACTCCTTGACGATTGAGAAATCCGTGGTCTAGGATTGCTGAAAACCAAAAATGGCGACGGCATCATTTCCTCTGGGAACGGCTCCGATCAAGTCAGAGTGCGTGTTTGATCTGTTGTCTTTGTTTCCTCGACCTAACTGTATCCAGATTTCTGATCTCAATCGTTCCTCGCGACGTGCCTGACGACGACGCGGCTGAAGGCAGCACCAATCACATCAACGGTCGACAGAACGAGAACTCAAACGGCTCTGCGCAGGACGCAGAAGAGGGCAAGAAACTCAGCGGCGCCCAGCGTAGGAAGCTCTCGAAGGAGGAAAGGAAAGCCAAGCGTGGTGCGAACAAAGGCCGTCGCTTCCAGAAAGTGCGGGACGAAGTTGAACTCTGCTGGAAAATCGCAAATGGGAAGACTTGCGAGTTTGGCTCAGAGTGCGTTCACAGTGATCTTGAACGGTGCATCATAATCATGCGCGTATTGCAGATGTCGTTTTACGCATGATGCCTCTGCGTACCTAGCTGCGAAGCCTCGCGATGTTCGCTTTCCCTCTGCTTCGGACCTGATCAATGAACCGCCGTTCGTCCAGTCGCCATCGCCCGACGTAGAGATGGCTGATGCAAAGCATCCCTCAGTCGATTTTAAAACAAGTTGCCCTGTATTCGAGAAGACAGGCGAGTGCAAGCATGGCCTTAAGTGCCGCTTCCTCGGCGGCCACGTCCGCGAAGGCGAGGATGGCATCCTCGAGCTCGTCGTAGACGAGGAAAAAAAAGGACGCGCTGCTGTTGCGGAGGCAGAAGTTAATTTCATTGATGCGAATACGCTGAAGATGCTCCGCACGAAAAAGGTTCGGCGGTCATTCCTCAGACGACAATTTGTGCATCTGAACCCTCGCCCACAGTACCTGCATCCGGTTTCGGACGCATATCTGAAAGAATTGCAGGCCAAAGGTGGCGATGAGGGTAAGGACACCAAGGCGTCAAAAACGGATGCGCAGCTCGCTCTTGAGCCAGATGCAGAGGCGTCAATCGCACCACAGCTCGCTTTTGATGCAGAAGCGAAGCAAGAAACGCCGCAGGAAGAAACGCCGCAGGAAGATACGCCTGACGTTCCGTTCCGCGCCATTGAAAAGAAGAGACTGCATTGGTCTGGGAAGACGTGTGAGTTGCTCTCCAGCTTCTTCATTCGTCCTGATCGCAAATGGGTGTTGCTCGAATCTTTCAACAGATCTTGCCCCTCTTACCACTGTCGGCAACTTAGTGTGTAGCGGTTTCCGCATCTAACGTGGTCCTTTCTTCTGATGCGTTCCACAGCCGTTCCGTCGTCTCTGTGTGGACTACGGTGCAGATATCACCTGCGGTGAAAGTACGCATGCCGATCACTTGAATAGCTTTGTTCCTCGCTCAGCATGAATCCTGTTTAGTGGGCCTTGCGATGTCCTTCCTTCAGGGCTCCAAGGAAGAATGGTCTCTCGTGCGTCGTCACCCGTCAGAGTCTATTTTCGGGATGCAGCTCGCAGGAAGCAAACCATCTCTCCTTGTCCCCGCAGCAGAGATCATCGGACGAGAATGCGCTGGTAACCTAGACTTCGTCGATGTCAACTGCGGCTGTCCGATCGACTTGGTGTACAGGACTGGCAGTGGCTCCGCTCGTACGTTTATCTCCTTTATCTTAGGCTGCTTGCTCATTGCGCTCAATCCGATCTCAGTGCTGGATGCTGCTGGAAAACTCGGGAAGATCGTTGTGGGGATGAACAAGGCACTCGGAGATATACCTGTCACCGTCAAGCTTCGCACGGGGGTCAAAGATGGGCGCAATACCGCCCATAAGCTGATGCCGCGCCTTGGCTCCGAGTTCGGCGCATCTGCCCTGACAGTGAGTGGAGGGTGCTCAGCTCGCTGTGCGTGCTTCTTGCTAAACGCTGAGCAGCTGCATGGACGAACACGGCAGCAGCGGTACACTAAGCTCGCGGATTGGGATTACATCAAGCTCTGCGTCGATGCTGTGCGTGCTAGGGAAGCTGAAGAGGATTGTGTGTCACTTTTTCGATCTCATCTGCTCTTGCCGAACAAGCTGCCTTTCAGTGCCTCCGGTTCCAATATTTGGCGGCGGAGACTGCTTTTCGTCTGAAGATTATTGGCGGAGAATGGAGAGCAGTGCGGTCGATGGGATCATGATTGGGCGTGGTGCATTGATTAAACCGTGGATATTCACCGAAATCAAGGAGCGGAGTGAATGGGATATCAGTTCAAGAGAGCGCCTTGAACTGATCAGGAAGGTTGGTGCCCTCGTCTTCTCCATCGCTGTCATCTGACACTGAGAGCCTGCGTTTCCTAGTATGCTGAATATGGGTTGAAGTAAGTATCTGATTTGTCTTGAATTGAACATATGCTAACAATACTGTAGTCACTTTGGTTCGGATACTGCAGGAGTGAACACGACCCGTCGGTACCTCTGCGAAGCGCTATCCTTCCAGTACCGCTATATTCCCATCGGTCTGCTCGAGACACTACCAGGACGTATCAATGATCGAGCGCCCGCCTTCCGAGGCCGGGATGAGCTAGGTACGTCCCGTGCATGCTTCCAACGTGGTAACGACTGAGAAGTCGCTATACGCACAGAAACATTGCTAGCGAGTGCAGACAGCAGAGATTGGGTGAGAGTCTCAGAGATGTTCCTCGGTCCCGCTCCAGAATCATGGACGTTCACGCCGAAGCACAAGAGTAACGCTTACGGTAGCGAAGAAAGTCAGGGGTGAAGACGTAGATACATTGCCTTGTAGCGTGTAGTAATAGGATATCTGAATTGAAATTCTTCTTGGTGCTGGATCCCCAGAATTTTCAGTTGGGGACAGATCACTTTCTGTTGTTTTATACAAGTTTAAGTAATTTATCCTTCGTGTTCACATTTAGAAAGGACACGTGCAGCCAATAGCAGATCTACTTCAGATCTAGTGATGCCACTCAAGCATCTTCAAGTTCCTGCAACCATGTCTCTCGCAAGCACAAGCTCTTCCACCGATGCCTGGGACCAACCTCCCGTAAGAAGGTCATCTGCTTGTTGACTTGCGAATACTGGACCGCAGTGTTAGACAGCTTCGTACGTCCCTCGGCGCCCTGTACAGCCAGAATCGGTTCCGGATGATTGGGACGAGGATTCGGAAGACGAGGAGGACCAGCAGAAGCTGTGGGAGGCAGCGTTAGTGTTTTACAGCGTTTATGTGTTGAATTTGACTCAGATGATAGGTGTCATCTAGGAACAACAAAGCCCCCATGCCTGAGTTGGTCATCTCCGCGTCTAGTACCGCCCCCGTAGTCTCTCCTCCGCCAGCCGCGTTCCAGCCCGCGCTACGCATTTTGAAACGGCCGACATCGTCAGCATCCTCGTCCGCCTCAGCAACACCACCACCACCATTGACAGAGTCGCAGAAGTCATATGCGGAGCGGGAAGCGCAGTACCAAGCTGCCCGCCAACGTATCTTCCGACCAGGAAACACACAGGGAGATAACTACAGCTGGTCCAGGCAGGAAGAAAGTATCGCTGCTTCAAATGCTGCCTTTGGGGACTCCAGCCCCCGTGGTGCACCCGGAGTCAAAGTTATACGTAATCCCAAAGGACCGAACGCCTCGGCGAATACCGATGATGGCGGAAGTGCCTCAGGTTCGCGCACTGCACGAGGATTTGCGTTGCGGGGAGGAAGGGGGACACTGCGAAGGTAGTATGCTGGGCGTCGATATGCGGTGGCGTACTATTATCGTTGACCCGCTTCTTTATTCCATTCATGACCATGTCTTTGCTGTGCGGTAGGATCTCAGGCAATTCCCGACAGAAATCCCGTCCTAGCGCGAACCCAAGCAAGGAAGACATTTGTTTCTACGCAGGAAACGGCTTACAGATGATCGGGTTATTTTGAGCCCGTGTTCTAGCTGAGAACCAGCAAATCCGTAACATATATTCGGAATCTCGGTGAATCCCGTCGGCTCCGAGAGCATTCTCCGAAGATGTTCACTGCTCAAGCCGAATGAGAAAGTGGTATGAGGTTAGCGTCTATACATTGTGAGCAAGACAAAGCCAAGCATAGGCGGCTTCCAAGATCAGTCTTCCGTCACCGCTGGAGTAACTCCTGTCCTCGGACTCAAAAACTCTGATTCTCCTCGCTGCCTGTGAAAGAATTGTTCAAAGTACATATACTCCACGGCGCACGAGTCAACAGTAGGCGGAGATAGTGCGCACACCGAAGGCCAAGTTCCTCCCTCTCCTTCGCCGATGGGTGTCCATCGAACCCCGTGGCAATCATGCGCCGCGCCTTAACGCAGGTATAACGCAGGTAGCAAGGTTTCAAACCCAACGCGTTTCGGCCTCTGTGCCAAGACGACTAGCAGACGCTAGAAGAAGCGGGTCTAGTATCCATACATAGCCAACTCATGGTAGACTTCCCTCTACTAATCCGGCGGGCAGTTCCTCGCCATCGTGGGTTATCGCTACGCAGCGCAGCTGCGAGTGGGCTTTCATCGCGCATGGGGCCAATTCTTCCGAGGTCCGTTCTGCCTCGGAATCTCTAACACGTCCGCTCTCACCCGCCAAGTCGATCCCGCAGCGCCGTGTCGCCCTCGGTATATTCGCGCCAGAGTCGGCGACGGGCAAACCTCGCATTTCGGATTTCCCTCAGCATGGAAATGGTTCTGCTGCTAACGCATTTTTGTAGGCATGCTTGGTACTGCTGCTAGCGAGCGAGAGGGGCTCTAAATATGGGGCTAACTGAGCTCGGTCTCGTCGCGTCTATTCTGTCAATTCTCGGCAGATGTGATGTATGCGAGTCCTGCGTATACACGCGGCCCCTCCTCCGTGCACCCCTATGTTATCTGGCGCTGGTGGCCGTCCTGCGCATTGAATATTGCGCTACAGAGCCATCCGGCCGGATCTTACCCTTTATTACGGACCCTTTTTTCCTCCCGAAGCAAATTTGCACTGGCGGGCAGTGCGAACCTAAATATTGCTGACCTGCTGTCTTCCCCTGGACGAGCAGCCGCCCAGGCTGGCTCTCGGCTATGGGGTGTCAAGGGGTGCGTTTGGTATGTTCAATGTGATTACGGTTGGGGAGATACTAGGATGAGGGAATGCACTGACAGTTGTGGCAGCCGCAGGACACATTCGCCCCCTTTACCACGCTGCCTCTTTTCTCAAACAAAGGTGAGCATGGTCGCTCGCACACCACACCGTTGCGCTGTCACCACTGTACAAGGTGCGATGCACAGCCACGGCCTAATTGCAAACCGCCCGGTGCTTCTGCCCTATTCGGGCCCGCTTTCCTTGCGCGCTGCAAAATGCGGACCTCCGGGTGGTGTATCATTTGAGCACTGGTGTGTGCGTCTGTCAGGGTGGTGACGAGGGCGTGGCGCAACTGATTGACGGCAATTGTACCATGTGGTGTTTGGCGCAGTCCGAATGTTTTTTTTTGTATGTGGCGTTGGGGGACAGGCGCGTTTGTCAGGATGAGGTTCGTCAACGTGAACCGGAAATTTTCTCGGTGGCTGTCGCGCTTGTTGGTGGAGTGTCTACTGCTGCGTGGATGAGGCTCTGGGGACTGGTTACTGTGCTTGAAGCGCATGCCTTCGCCTGATCTCAATTCATCTACTAAGTCGGACTCGTCGAGAGGCCATGTCGCGATTTCTGCACCATATGCATCTCCCAGATTTATTATTATGGAGCCGTTCACTGTTTCACGTCAATGTTCAATTCTAGAGAGCGTCATCCGCCATTCCGACAGGTCCGGATCATATAAGTAATCCATGCCATTGAGCGCGCGGCGCTGCATCAGGACATGCTCGCAGTGGTGTCTATGCGCGTGCGTGCGTGCATTCGATTTCCATTGCACGCTCGGATGTTGGCTTATGAATCGGCTGCTCGAGCGACCATGTGCTTCCGGTCTTGGAGTAATTTATGCACGTCGTGCAGCCGTTAATCCTTACCACAGATTGAATTGTGGGACGTGTGCTCAATGGAAAAGACTCATCTCCAACTTCGGAGGGAAAAAACCTTTTCTGTCATATGACGTTCACATGTGGCGTGGACTACAGTTGCAAGAGTCAAGAAGACGTATTGCGTTGACACCAACAATGGATCGCTAAGCTGTGCTGCTGCACACATGCCGCTAGCGGCCTAACCTCGTGAAAAAAGTGGATATCTTTGATGGCTAGTTAGTAAACTAGTGGCGGCACAATTTCCGAGTCAGGATGTTCCGGGAATCGGCGGTCTGCAAACAGCCAGACCTCAGCTAAGCATTTTGCGCCGAGAAGTATACATGAGTGCATTTATAAACCAAATTCGCAACGACCTTCTTTGCGAAGTTGCAACAGGATTGTGTTACTTTCAATCACCAGGGTCCTGCGACGGTACATACGGTGACAGCCGTTCTATTCATTCTCCGCCTCACGTAATGGGGGACACAACCTGGCACATTCCCGGAAGTTTGCAATGGAGCGGGAAGGCGGGGCGTGGCCACTTCCGTGACGAGCGTGGGTACACGCTCCCACGACCAAACAACTGACGAGATTTAGCATGCGGCTTCCTGATTCCATGGCCACAACCGAATTGTGGCTATCACCCAGGAGACGTTTCCTTTCCTCAGGGCCGGCCCGCTGCGTTCCTGGGCCACCCACATGCCACTGATAACCTTACGTCAAGCTCCGCCAAGCGGCCGGGTCCCAGAGGGGGGCGGACCGCTGTGCGGAGGCGGCCGGAAGGGGCATAGCGCGCGCCGTCGCCGTCGTGGATCTTTATCGAGATTCTGGATTCGGTGTCCCACGGTGATCGCCCGGCTGCGGGTGCGATCTGGATACGGAGACATCCGAGGTTGCGTCATTGCTGGGTCTTCCTCGAAGAGGCGTGTGATGCGCAGAAGGAGTCGTGCTGGGCTAACAATGTACGACGCGAAAATTCTTTGTTTCTGGCGTCGGAAGAGTCATGATGCGTGATAGTCTAATTTTCTAACACATTAATGTATATGCACTCCAAGGTACGCGGGAGTCCCTGCCTGCGGACGGGCGAACCGCCCTCAGGGATCGCAGTAACCGTGAGAGCTGTTCAGGGTGGTATCGCCTAATGGGGATACATCTGCATCCGTGATTCCATGCTGACTGTAGCAGCAGCGACTCAAACTTGGCGCTGGTTACCGATGCACTCGGGACGGGTATTCAGAGAGGCCGGTGCGCCCGATGCTGGAGAACGGATTCGACCTGAGCAACGCGATCGTATGCGCCTACGCGATGTCGGCCGGGGTCATTTAGATGCGAGGCGTCGGCTGGCTGGCTAGAGCGGGACCTTGTCCTCTCGTGCGGCATGCTGGGGTCCTTGTTGTGTGACAGGCCAAGCATGCAAGTGCCACGTCGGTCCGCTCGGCCGAGTCCCAAATGCGGTAGCGTCGTATCCCGATTGGGCGATGTGGCTGGTGGAACTTGTGAAGCCAGGTGCTGTTTCTACTGCACTGGAAGCAAATAAAATGCCAGATGTGCCGCAAAGATGCTAGGTTCCCTCGATTCATGAAATCTTGCGAGACCTACCTTTTGTTTTGGTGCAAAGAGACTGCCGGGCATCTAGGCATGCATGTCACATGAAAAGAAGTGGCAACAAGTCGTCTAGAAAGAGCTGAGTCTGTTTGCGGAGCGCATTGATGCAAGAGAAGCGGAGCATCAGTGAGAGCGTTCCGACACGAATGGGGAATTATCTCGGGTCAGGCGTGCAGAAACTCGAGCATGAGGCTCGAGAAGGTACGAGAGAGCCACCTCTGAGGGGAGGAAGTGAGAGCAACGAGGCCAGCCGAGCGAAGCACCGCAGAGCGCGGAGGTGTTGTAATTGTCGAAAGAAGCTTCGATAACTGCATGGACGCCTGATGGGGAGAGACGCGCCTGTTTGCGGGGCTGATCGTCCTAGATGGTTCCACGAGGGGTGCTCGCTCGGATGCGCAGCAGACCAACGGAGTCTAGTCTGGCGTCCGTAGTCCCTGTTTACGTTACGCGTACGCGTGCTGCGAGACGAGAGGCGTGCCAGCTCGGAGCCGACCCTTCCTGGCAATGGCAGCGCGCGTAGCAGCGCGTGCGCATACGATCGACAGGCAGTGCGCGCCTGCGAAGCGATGGGCACTGATCATTGTCGACACGTCCGAAATGATGGTGGTAGCTTGGAGGCGAGGGCGTGCCGCTGAGTGGAACTCTATCACGCTTAGCTCTAGCCGCGACGCTTTCAGATCCGTGTGTGGACGCAGGATCTCTCGAGGCGGCGGCGAGCAGCCAATGGGAGAAGGGGCGCGGGCGGGCGGTCCTCCTAGGAAACCGGGAGCCGGCGGGAGGAGCGCGCGCAAATCCGGGACGCGCCGCTGGATCGCACCGTGGGATCTTGCACGGCCGCGGCCAGGCTCCGTGAAACCCCGAGATGGGAGCGTGCCATGCGGGCACTGGCGGCTTCTAGCGCTCTTGACAGGCGACGTCGCCAGTGAGTGATTGGCGCGTTGCTGCATCTGTGACGCAGGTCACGAGTAAGGAGGACAGGGGGCGGCGGTGGACAGCGGCGGCGTCAGGGCTGCGTGCGTCGCTGAGCGGGCCGTGAGGCACATGGCAGGCCGATGCGAGCGCGGGGGATGGCACGTGAAGGATCTATGCGGAGAAACGGCCCTGCTTCTGAATTTCTTTGAGCACCGCTGACAAAAGACGGAGTGGAGAGGCGCTGGAGCGTGTCTTCTGAACCATTGAGCGTTCTTGTCGCTGTTGCGAGCTCCGTGCCCCCAGTCTGCCCGCCGCCGACGACGACTGAGAGCCGCGCGCCACCGCGACCGAGCGGAAGAGTAAACTCCGACGCGGCAGGAGATCGGAGTATCTCGATTGGGAGCGTCGGGCGAGAGCGAGAGTTGTGCGCGCGTGAGCGACGCAGCCGCCGTGCACGACGACGGGGGCGATCAGAATCTAGTGCTACCGCGCCGCCGCTTTTGCATAGGACCTCCCCGCCACCGCCCCGGAAGTCCGCGCCAGACCCCGGTCTCCGTAAATTTTTTCTGTCTCGCCCTGGTCCGTGCTTTCTCCTTCTCGCCCCTCCGTGTTTCTGACTTGTCTCGGGTGTCTTCGTCCCCTCCTCCCCCAACTCATCGTACGTTTCGCCTAATAACTCAACACGCCATCTGCCCGGTCGTCCCTCGCTTCATCAACATTCACCATGACCTACCCCGCCTCTACCTCCTTCCCATCCTACTCTGTACGGTATGCCTTCAATGATCAGTACACAAAGAACACTCCGTATCCGCCTGCTCCCTCCAGCAGCCACCACGCCAGTCACCATCTCCACATCCCCGTCAAGGTCGAGGATTCGCCCGAGCTACCACCCGCATCCTCCTCGCAGCAGCAGCATCACAGCAGTCACCACCACTCGCTTTCACAGTACCACGACCACCGGCCGCATCACAAGACTCAGGAAGCTCCTATTTTCCGGTTCGGATCAGAATTTGCATCGTCTCCGGGAACACCGTCAACGCCGTTCACGTTCATGTCTCAACACTGGCCCGGGCCCAGCGCGGGCTCCTCGGCATCTGCATCCTCGTATGCACACCAGCAGCAGTACTCCGTCGACCGCTCGCACGGCTACCCGCTGTCGTCCTCCCTGAACGGCCATGGTCATGCACACACTATGGCCCTGCACGACGACTATGACGACGGTGAGGCGGACGAGCTTGGCGACCTGCCGGGATCTGCGATGGGCGGTCTTGGGCTGCCATCGTACTCGAGCTCCGTGGCCGGAGTGGCAGGCGCGAGTGGCAGCGCAGCGATGAAGAACGAGAAGACGGTTCGACGGCGGAGCAGCAAGGCGTGCGACCAGTGCCGCAAGTCTAAATGCAAGTGCGAGCGCAACAGTCCGCAAGACCCGTGTCGCAACTGTGTGATGCTCGGAACCGGTGAGTGATTTTCAATTTCCCGTTATGGCAGGGCTCGCTCCTTTTCGATCGCGTGTCGCGCATCGTGCATTTTGACACCGCGCGGGAAGTGCTGCGTGTGGCCCTGGCGCGCTCTGCCTGCCTATTTCGGAGTGAGGGCGAGTGCTGACCGCACGTGCCCTAGCATGTACCTTCCTCGGGCCATCACGCAAACGCGGTCCTCCGAAGGGATACATCGACGCCATCGAGGCGCGGCTTCATCAAACAGAAGCCCTGATAGGCATCCTCCTCGGCAGCAAGGACAGTCGTGCGAGGACCGTGCTCGACGATCTCAGCGAGGTGTGTTCCGTCTTTCTCTCCTTCCGTTCGCTTCGGCTAGCTCCGATGGGGTGGTGAGTCCATCAGAAGCGTGAAGCGTGCGCGTGATCGCGATGTCGTCTAGAAGACACTGGCGGACAATTCTCGTATAGGAGCATTTGTCCGTCACTAGCGCGAGGGCGGCGGATGTGGCCCTTGTGATGCTCACCTCTGACAGGCACAGCGTCTAGTCACCGTGAGCGCAGCGCAAGCGAGCCGCATGGGATGCGCGATAGTGATCCGCTAGCGTCCACTTTGGCGAAATTGGTTCGTGGCCGCAGGCTTGCGCTGCAATTGTCGCCCTCCGCGTTCGCGTACTCGCTCATGACGAAAGGTTCATAGGCTCTTTTGTCTTTTGCTCATTTCACTTCTCCACAGGACCCGCTTGCCAAGGATATCATCACACGCGTGGACAATTCTGCTTACGGTCACAAAGGCCGTTCACGCGGTTCTGAAGCTCCAACGACAGGGCGGAGCAGACCCCCACCAGAACCGCGCGACGAATCGGTCCTCCACTCTACTCAGTACGTAACTCATTCCGCGCTAACGTCATGATTGGCCGCGATAACTTACCGCTGCCCTGTTTCACTCACTGACTAGCCCCTCAAACGAGTGGCAAGATACAGTGATCGCACGCCTCAATGCCTTAGCTGCGACGCGCAACACGCTTCTCGACGATAAGACCGCAGAGGGCGAAGACAGCGACGGACGTCCGTCGTCGTCGGACACAAGCCGGCAACTTGATGCGCAGCCGACGCGGCCGACCCTGAATTTGACGGAGCAGCCCAGTTCCTCGTCCCTCGTCGGGCCGCCCTCCGCAGTGCTCAGCTCCGCGTCGGAGCCCCCGGGCAGCGAGCCCCCCTTCCGACGCCAGCGGCGGCGCCTTGACGGGGAGATGGGCGATGGGGACTTTGCACGGTCGCCGTCGTCCGCGTCCGCGTCGGCGTCGCGATCGCGATCACCCGCGATTGTGGGACAGAACCAGCCGCGTGGGTCGGTGGTTTCGCTGGTGGACCGGCACTCGCCATTGATGCACGACGATGAGAGTGTGAAGGATGAAGATGAGGGCGCGGGCGAGGACGAGCTGGCGATTGAGGTGGGCCAGTTGAGTTTGAACGAGGACGAGCAATTGCGGTTCCACGGCAAGGCGAGCGGGCTGCATTTGTTGGGTGTAAAGGACAGGGAAGATGCGAGGCATGAGAGTGGTATTTGGTGAGTATATGCGCTGGATTTGAGGGATCGCTGGTTGCTCAATGCGTTCCAGGCGATTCCCAAAGGCGAGAGTGTGGCCACCGTTGCCGCCATCTGCGACGGCGAAGGCGAAGGGCCTGGAGAACTTTGCACCGCGCATGCCGGACCAGGCCACGCAGGAGTTGCTTTTGGAGTTGTATTGGACATACGTGCATCCGGCACTGCCGATCGTGCACAAGCGTGCGTTCATGGAGGACTTCCGTAACAGGTACGGGTGATCCGTCTAAACTGTGCAAGGCATTTCTTTACTCGTTTCTAGCAATACGTCATCTGCGGATTCTCCATACTCCGAGATGTCTGAAGGTGCGTCTCCGGGAACGTCGTCTCCGGCTTCACGCAGAAGTCGGCGAGTGCCTACTCTCCTCCTACTCGCCATGTTTTCCATCGCTGCGCGCTACTCCTCTGAGACGAGCCGTGATGAGCCGCCGCCACAAGACGGCTCGATCTGGACGGCGGGCGAGAACTACCTCGAGGACGCGAAGGTTATCCTCGACAGCTCGTACGCTGCGTCGCGCCCGAGTACCTGCCAGGCACTGCTCTTACTGGGCTACCGTGAGGTAGGCATCGGCGCGATGGCGCAGGCATGGCTATATGTCGGGATGGCGGTGCGAATGGCGCAGGATTTGGGTCTCCATAAGAGCGCCGACAAGTGGAGCAGCGTCGGGCGTGCTCTGTTCACAGCGACCGAGCTGCAGGAACGGCGGCGCATCTGGTACGGGTGCGTTATCATGGATAAATATGTTTCCGCGTATATTGGTGGGTGTCTTCTCGCGCCGTGTGTTCTGCGTGGATCTGGATCTGGGAATGCTGACTGCTGTGCGATAGGTCGGCCAGTAGCGATCTGCGAACGGGACTTCGATACGGAGCTTCCCAGTATCGAGGAGGTGGGTGGAGGATGTATGGTTGATGATGATCGATCTGGCTCAATAGATGTGGCTCAGCCGGATGAACATGAACTGTGGCAGCCACACCCGTCCGAACCACTGAGGGATGGCACCGTTGACCCCGAGTTCCCCGAGGTTGTGCCCGTTCCTGGACGGGTCATCTCGTGCTTCACCGAGTCTGCAAAATTATGTGCGTTTACTCTGTTTCGCTCTCACCAATCGTGTGCTCATGCGATAGCGGCTTTGCAGCGATCATCCTGAGCATGATCATGCAGTGTCTGTATGCTATTAAGCTGCCGCCTAACCGTCAGGCGGAGTTTTCTCGGTTGGAGAAGTTGCTGTCGAAGTGGTATCTCGATCTTCCTGGCCATTTGCGGTTTGACCCCGCTGCGCCGAAAACTCCTGTGCCGTTGCCGCATATCCTGACTCTGCATATGCAGTATTGGTGCACGGTGTTGCTATTACACCGGCCATTGTGAGTTCCTCTTTCATAGTGAGGTAAACACGTGAAGCTCAACAAGGTGTTGTAGCATTCGGCATATGCCTGATTCGTCCGCAAGACCGTGAGTGACTATTTACCCTATCCGTCTCCAAGTCTCATGCTGGTTCAGTTTGTCTTCATCGTCGAAGGACTCCGACGGTCGCGCAAATTCAAGAAAAAATCACGATATCTGTGTGCAAGCTGCTAATCATATTACATCTATCGGTGCGTGGTGTGTCCAAAGTTGCGCCCCTCGTGATTCTCATGCGCCGACTACAGTTTCAGTCTATGTGGAAAATTACACCGCGAAACGCGCACCAGTCTATCTCTGTTATTACGTCTTCACGGCTGCCATCATGCATGTGGCTACTCGTACGTCATACTCTTTCTTCCATTCATTGTGGTTAGCTCTAAACGCTCGATGTCCTAAAATAGTCATGAGCTACCCTGACGATACACAGGGACGATTGGGGCTGAACAAATGCATGGATGTGCTGAAGCAAATGCGCATTCTCTGGGGAAGCGCATGGCGTGCGCTGGAGCTGCTGCACGGATCGAAGGTTAACAGCCCGCCGAGCACACAAGACCCGCAGATCTTCAGAGCGCGCATGCCTGAGCGTCCGAAGCGCTCTGCAGAGCAGCCACTCGACCACGAAGCGGACGCTGGCACTCGGCTAATGACCAGCGACCAGCTGTACCGCCAGTCGCATGCATACCCACCAGTCAGCACGCCCAGCCCGGTCCACCAAGGGTTTTCCATGAACAACTTGCATATACCCTCCGCGGACTCGTCGACGTACCATTCGTATGATCGGTGGTCATCGGATACGTCCATACCCGGCTATGGGGGGAGCCTGACGACGTCCGTCTTGCCGCAGCAATACAGCACTGGAATCGTCGATGAGCGACTGCCGTCCGGCATGAGCCGCCACCCGGAGCGCCAGAGCCAGCGGTACCCGCAGTACTGGAGCGACTATTCTGCACTCGCGCAGATGGACACGCCGTATGGCGTGCCGGTCATCGGCGAGATGGTTCCGCAGCACGGAGGCTCGCAAAGCGACCAGCCCATGTACGTGCCGGAATATCCATTGTTCGGTGGGTACACTCGATGATCTCGCTGCTATAGGTGGACCGGTGCTCATCGCATCGTAGGTAACTCGCTCCCATCCAACCATCCATGACGAGGGATAATGGGACTTTGAATGTGTTTCTCACCGCTCCGCTACGCTCGACTCGCTCTCTCGCACCTCTCCGTTTTTACACACTAACGCCAATGCTCGCCTATGAACTCTCTGTATCCGTTGGTTCTGGGTGTATGTAGTCGCACAAGTATCTTTCGTTACATAATAGCCTTTGTCGCTCCTGTACAGTTGCTGTATCCCGTAGTCTCGATGGTGTTTGCCGTCCGGGTGTACGATCCCTCGCGTGCCGAAAGTCCGTGTCCGTATCGCACATAGACTGGTCGACTCTGACGCGTTTGTAGGAGTATAATGAATGACATCCGGTTTGGGTTTGACTGCTGGAGACTTTGATGGCCGTGGTGATTCCTTCGGGATGTCGATGAGTTGTTTCCGATTTCCACCAACGATCGTTGGGTGAAGAAGTGCATCGCAAACGTGTTCCATTTGCCGTCGAGACATTTTGAGCTTGCATCTGCAATGATTGTCGTTGTGGCAGCGGCAAACTGTCCGAACATGTTTGTCACGGACAATATGCTGAGATGCTATACGTGCCGAAAGGGCGAATTGACCGAATATCGGGTATCATATGTCAGCTGTCGCAGAGAAAAGACAAACTGTGCCAGGGAGGTGATAATGAGTCAGATAGGTGGCAGATGTTGAAGTAGAATCTGATAACTGGCGGCTATGGATGAACTTCAAGTGATTCGGCAGGGCAAGGAGCCAGCCCAGAAATGTGCGATACTCTTCAGGACGTGACGAAGACGTTCGTAGAGTTCCGACGTTCTCTTGCATGAACACAGCTCTGTGAATTATGCAATGTCGAGTGTTGAGCGATGGTCATCAAGTCCCTAAGTGAGATTCAACGAAGCAACTTTGCACTGGTGCCGCAATTCGCCATGGGCTGCCCATAGCGTGAGGCATCCCTACCGCTAGATATGGAGAGCGACTTTCTAGCGATTGCCATGAACTGGATGGCGAAATGAGGTCCATAAGTGAGATTCAACGAACCAGCGTTGCAGTGCCACTATTCGCGATGGCTTGCACGTAGCCTAAGACGAGTCCCTACCGTTAGATACCGAGAGCGACTTGATAGTGGTTCCGCGAGCTGGATAGCACAGTGACGACTGGAGCTGCCCAGTCATCCGGCCGGTAGGCCCGTTTTGCCCGTCCCAAGTGACCATGTCAAATTATTCGCAGACGCTGTGGATAGAATGCATTCAGATGAGCAACGCGGACGCTAAATCGCAACAGGAAAGACCCGGCGTTCCGATGAGTGGATACGAGCCTGAGGTTGATTGACAGTTAGAGCAGTAGCTTGCTGGAATGGTGTCCTGTATAGATCCGAGAGTCCCGAAGAAGACATGGACATGCGTTCCCATGGCGCGCGATAGCATGAATGTCACGAGAGTTCCTTCACGCCCGAATGCTTCTGAAGCCGGATGCTTCTGAAGGTGCAGAGCAGAGCGTCTGAAGGAGACATAGATCCGCTGCGGAAGAGCTCTCCACACATACCGCAGCACCCAGTGTAATGTACCCAAGTTTGAGCTGGCTATGCCCTAGAAGTCCGCAGAGCGAGGTTGCAGACTTGCTATGTAGGTGTGCAGGGTGCCACCCCTTCTAACTATAGAGCCTGATTGTGGCGCGCGTGCGGGTCATCCAGGGAACGCCCGCGATGGGTACCTAGTATCTACAGATAGTTTGAACAGCGTGCGAGCGCAGTTGAGTCATTGCGAGCGATATGCTCGCGTCATATTGGCGAGTATTCTCGTTTGTCACGAGAGTTGTGTCGATGAAAGTATGCGCGAGCTTGGGCGAGTGGATCCTTGTGCCAAAACCACCGAGCATGCTACTTGAGCTTGAATAGCGATCCGCGCGAGATGTTAGAGGCATCTGAGTCTCCTGCACACAGATGCAGCTGATATGGGAGTATAAGAATGAAGAGAACACACGTAAGCAATGTGGCTTGTTGATTCAAAACGGGAATGTCCGTACTAAAAGGGAGTCACCCATGCATGCATCACGCATCGACGCTCAATCAACACGTTCCCCGAACCTCAACAACCACTCGGCTCCAGACCGTTCAGCATCGCGGCCGTACGGGCCATATGCATGCCTTGCCGCCGCTGTCGTACCATGTCATCTTATCAAGTGGACCAATGTTGGATCCGTTTTAGCCCATACTTCCCAAAATCCGGTGAGCCTGAACCAAATGAACGTTCGCTGCGCCATCTCATTTACATTTACACTTCCCCGCGGAAATACATTTTCGCATCCAGGCAGACTGATTAGCTCAGAGCTTGAAGCTTACTACTTAATTGACTGGGTGCCGTCCTATCCGTGTGCACAAATACAGCATCAGGAAAACTCATAGGACACTTTTACTTTTATCCGCTTGCCGTCACCAAAAAGACAGTAAGCTCGAGAAAGTCTCAGGACCTTCTTGTTTTGAACTTTTTTTCTGGGTTGGAAGCTTCTTATTGTGTACTTATTCGCTTGTACAAGCCAATACCAGCAAGAACAAGTCAAAAAGGAGGTTCTCGAGCCACAAGTCGGTTTGAGTTTTCCTGATGAGCATCACTAAATGCTACAACGTACCCGCTTGCCATTCTCACACTGTAAGTCGGTCCGCACCGTCACTGTTCATATGACAATATGTCCCAGACCGGTACTTCATGACACCAAATGCTGGCTCGTACTTAAAAACGCGCCTGCTGCAGGAGTCGACGCTTCAAACTCGCTCCCCAGTCGACCCCAGCATACATGCAGGTTAACGTCGATAACCGGCCCTTGTTGCCCTTTGTGCCCTATGTATTGCTGCAATATGGCCTTCTAGCTTGTCTTGTCGCCATGCGCCTGCAGTCGCGCGGGCGAGTGATCGCCTTCCTTACATACGCCTCCATCCTCAGTTCTGTTTTCCTGTACACCACCGGAGACGCACAAATGAACTATGCAACTGGCTGTACAGCAATGGGGCACATCTTGATAGCATTCCATCTCCTCTGCCTATCCGACCCCTTGAACGACTTCCGCCACGAACACGACAAGATCCCTCCAAGGGAGATGTCCTACGCACGTCGGGTGTATTGGGCTTTTTGCGTCATCTTCAATTCTCGCGGAGTTGGCTCGACCTGTCAGGTGCGTTTGCGCCCATCTTCCGCGGCGATCAGTGGCGCCGAACGTAGAATGATATGCGTAGATTGCCAACGTCCCTCCGCGCTCGAGCGAGGGCAAGTGGACGTTCGTGCGCCAAAAGCTGCTGACCGCGTTCCGGTGGTTCCTCGTCGTCGACCTCACGCAGACATACCACCGCGCCCACCCCCTGTTCTCTCGGCAAGCAGAGGACATCTTCTCGCTTGCGACACAAGGCCACGTCCAGCGCTGCATCAACATCTTTGTGTGCCTCAGCAGCCTCGTCGCGCATATCGGCCTGCTATACGCGCTGCCCGCCGCAATTATCGTCGCGCTGGGAATCTCGGAGCCCAGGGACTGGCCGGACATGTATGGACGGTGGTCCGATGCATACACAGTGCGCCGCTTTTGGGGGTGAGCAGATCCGTCCTCGCTACCATGCCTCGCTTCTCACGTCTTCCATTTCCTCGGTGTGCCGCAGACGCACTTATCACCAGTTGATCAGACGGGTGCGCTCACACGTACCTGCCATTGACATGTTACAGATAAGCTCACTTGTTGCGTGCAGTACACGGCGTCCATCGGGAAGGCTGTCTGCCGCCTGCTCGGCCTGCGAACGGGCTCGCGCGCGTCGTCGAACACGCAGCTCTACGTCGGCTTTGCCGTCTCCGGGATCATGCACTGCGGCGGGGACCTCATGGTGAGCCGCGCGCTGCCCGGGTTGTCGTTCCCGTTCTTCTTCGCGCAGGCCGTTGCGATCTCACTCGAAGATGCGGTCATTCACGCGGGGAAGGGCATTTTCGCGCCGAAGACGAAGGGCGCGCGAGCGGCGCTGCGGTGGGTGGGCTATGCGTGGGTGTTTGCGTGGCTGAGCGTGTCGGCGCCGTTGCTTCTTAACTGGTGGATACGCGCGGGTGTCATCGATGCGAGCAGCGTGCCGTTCTCGCTTATCGGTGTCGTGGTGCCTGGGTTTGAGAAGGTGTTGGTGCGATGGCTTGGTGGTAGTGCCAGCGTGTAATGATGGAAGGCGGCGAATCGAGAAGGCACCAGCCAGGGAGGTGGCAATGAATTAGGTAGTAGGGGGCAGATGTTGAAGTAGAATCTGACGACTGGCAGCTATGGATGAGAATGTCGGAACTCTACGAACGTCATCATCAACACAGCTCTGCGAGTTAGGCAATGTCAAGTAGTAAGCAATGATTAATGATCATTAGGTCTGGAAGTGAGATTCAATGAACCAACTTTGCAGTGCCACAATTCATGATGGCCTGACACGCAGCCATGAGGCGTCCCTACCGCTAGATACCGAGAGCGACTTTCTAGTGCTTGCCACGAGCTGCATAGCACAGTGACAACCGGAGCTGCCCAGTCATCCGGCCGGTAGGCCCGATTTGCCCGTCCCAAGCGATCATGCCAGACTACTCGCAGACGCTGTGAACAGAATGCATTCAACTGGACAACGCGCACTGCTAAATCGCAACAGGAAAGGGTGACCCGGCGTTCCGACGAGCGGATACGAGGTTGATTGACAGTTCATGCGATAGCTTGCAGGAATGACGTCCTGTATAGATCCGATGGTCCCGTTCCCGTGGCGCCCGATAGCATGAATGTCACAAGAGTTCTTCGGGCCAGGGTACTCCTGAAGGTGCAAAGCAGAGCATCTGATTAGCACACAGATCCGCTGCGGAAGATCCCTCCATACATTACATACCGCTGCAGCACCCTGCGTGTATTGTACCCAAGTTTCAATATGGAGCTGGATGCATGGCTCATCGAACTGACTGGAGACTTCCGCAGCGGGGCGCGAGTAACAGCGCGCTTGCAGGTCGGTGCCATCAAACTGATGCGCATGCACAATGTTGTACGCCTGCGTATTCTTGAGGCGCGCTATACTTCACTGACTCCGAGTCGGTGAGCCTAACTCTTTGGTGTGTCTAATCTCAATACGCTCGTGTCCCTTTTTCTCGCAGATGGTGCACTCGTAGTGGATGCCCTCTGGCTGACACGTTTGAACGTCGGATACTGCGTGTGAAGTGAGTAATCAAGTGTGCTGTCGTAAGTACTTTATCTTCTCCATTAATGCGTGTCAATGGGGTTGATTAATTGATTCTCCATCGTACATTTTCACTGCTCCACATTTGCTCGGCTTCGCTCTGATTATCTCGCAAAAGAACCCCTCCCCTTGACATAGCCCCAGAAATGTCGACCGTCGCAATCTGCAGCACGAGCTCGATGACGCTCCCCTGACTAGCAGCTCGGGGAATTGACCCCCTTGTGGACTTGGACGTTCCGCGCGTGAGATGGTTGTCCTTGTCTGCATACGACCCTCGGACGTGGCACGAACGCGGTGCGTCAGCTCACACTTCCATTCAAACCTTGGGCTGTGACTATGGAACTAGCAGGGCACAGCTCCTACGTATTGAGGCACCCGGACGGCTATGCATTTTCCATGTACATCTTGCAAACCCACGTGCGCGCTTGTGCGCAGACTGCAGCGTTGAATATAGTGAACCACATACCAGAAGCAACTTTCAGAAGGCCCTCATGACCGCACTCGTGGTGTTCGCGCCAGTGCGGCGATGTGGTCAACTTGATGAAGAACGGGTAAATTTACGTTCAGTGGTCTGATACCATTGATCCGATGCCATATTCTGACAAGAGGTATGCAGCAATGCACAGCGCCCTGAAGGTCCTGCAGCTATACCCTTTGCCTTCCCTCTGTCCCGTGGCAGTGTGCAGAGCTGCGATATTCGCTGAAGTGCAGCTCATCTATAATGCTGAACAGAATAATAGTCATTCCATTCCCAGAATCGTCACTAAATTCGAAGTGGTGCAGCAACGTGCGCATAGCCTTCTCGTCAGGTGCTGTACAACGGAATTTAGATGGATTACTCGGATGTGTATTCGTCTAGCAATGCACGTAGAATCCTGAGTCTATGCGCTGTAGGGACGCGTTGAAGGACGCACATCCTGACTTGGAGAAAAGGAGGTGATCGCAGTACCCGTGTTGTGCGTCATCTTTTGCCCGTGTCCGCAGCTGCTCAGATACACATGGTTCTGGTTCGTCGGTTACTGATTATATCGCTAGGCTTGCGTGCATTATCCATGAACAGGCGGCGTGCGTCCATTATCTGCAGACAGCATCCCGATTGAATGGTTGCGCGTCTGCGTGGTTTGAATATGGCTGTGTAGCGCCTGCATTGCAGGGAAATGCACGCAATCATGTGGGCGGTGTGTGAATACCTGGAAGAAATGGTATCAGAACCACGTTGTGATGCGATAAGTTGGATACATATATACATGTATTGCAAGAGCTGGCTTGGAAACTCGCACCTGTGACCATCCTCTACAACTGTCTATTCAAACGATATGGACTTCACTGAATGGAAGCTGGAACTTCTCGCGGACGGGACCAAAAGATGGAGACAACGGCTTGTACGAATTGTAAGTGGGAAGACCCTGCGTGTGTGTTCCTGACCATTTACGTGCTGCGCTGCGTCAGGTTGAGGGCGAGGGCAAGGCAGGCCGTAAGGCTTCATCCGAGGTGGAACCCGAGGCGAAACCAGTAGCGACAAGAACTCTGCCGCAGCTTCCGATCGAGGTGTGGGAAAATGTGATCGACCATCTGTGGAACCACCGGTTCGCTTTGAGGCCGTGCAGTCTCGTCTGTCGAGCATGGAACCCTCCGAGTTGCTTCCACTTGCACAGGCCGATCGAGATCTATAGTGTCAAGGGTGTGATGGCAGGCCCGAGCTGTCGAAGCGGGCGCACGATATGTCCATATCGGGTCTCCCGTTCTGCAGGCCAGAGTCATCTCGGCTAGATCTGTCAGCGCTGTCGACGGCGGTGATCATGCTCGCTCACAAGCTGCCTCGGCTGGAGACGCTCGCAATCCGGTGGTCAGAGTGGAAGCCCGGGATGATGCACAGCGACATCTTCCTGCTCCTCCCCGCCTTCTCCTCTGTCACTCACCTCGATCTCTGTGATGTCACATTCCCGTCGATCACTGTCCTTGGGCGCCTCGTTTGTGCCCTGCCCCGCCTGGTCGAGCTCGAATGCGAAAATCTGAAATTCATACATGACCACTTTCGCCGCGATACGCTCGATTTATATCACAACCGGGGTCAACATCAGGTCCCTGTCACTCCGGGGGGATTTAGATGTGAGACCTGGGAAACACATCGACTTCCTTGCTCATCCTTGCATCTCGAGTCGCTTGCAGAGACTAATCATCAATGATTCATCATTTCACGTGGCCGAATCACAACACCAATGGAAATATCAGCGACTATTGGATGCTGCATCTCACTCACTCACAGAACTGCGATTAGTTCTGATATACTCAGGACGACAGACACATACAGGGATGTCTGCTGCAGGTGTGCACTCTAGTTTCATGTAAGCATTTCTGCTAACCGGAGTCTCTCCAGATCCAGTGCTATCCTTCACTCGCAATACGTCACTGCGGAGACTATGTCTGAAGCTTATGCATTTTCATCGAGTTGCTGACCTGGATGCATTATGTCAAGTCTTACTTTCCATCAAGTCAGGCCAGCTTCGAGAAATAGTGATAGTTTTCCAACCATATTCACTGTACCCAGGAATCGATGTAACGGAGGCAGTGAAAACCACGCTCAAATTTCACGAGTCTGCTCGCTACGAAGAGATTGACAATTATCTCTCATCCGATTCATTCAGGATGCTGAGCAAAGTAGAATTCGCAAACTCCACCCAGCGTTATGGGAACCCACCCGAAGATATCATTCCGGTGAACACAGTGGCCGAGGAGCTGTGGAGGCAGCAACTTGCGCCTTTATTCCCACGACTGCTCAAGCGAGGCATCTTCCGGTGAGTATCCTATAATGTTACGCCTAGACTCTCACATTCATCTGCATCGCGATATTGGAGCTGCAGCGCCACAGTGAAGAAAGCTCTGGATGCAGACGGCTTTTGATCATTGCGGCCGTTGTACCTGCTGTAGATACTTCTCGAATTCGCGGTATCGTCCCACTCTGGCAACGGTGAAGGGCACACTTAAGTGGACCGAGATGCCTTCTACCCTCGTCTCTCCGGCTATCCGAAATGTCATTAACATACCCTAGCATCCACTTTCCCGCAAACCGCCATTGCCATCGCGAAACTCAGACATTCTTCTTCTCCATTTCGTCTCCACCTCTTCCAAACCACCTGCTCTGCCAGCGATCGCTCATATCACGACTGCTACATTCCCCACTCATGCTCTCTCAAGTACACGCGATCCGCCCGAATCAGCGCACAAGGTCTTAGTAGCGGCCGGGCGATGTTGGCCGGAATCTCCCCAGAGACACCTATCCAGCCATTTCATCGTCTTCACGGTAACGGTGGTGACACTCAATTCGATGGGGCTAATTTGAGGTCACGGGATGACCTCCGACTCGAGGATGATATGGACACATCGGGCTAATCAGAAGCATCTCCACCGAGAGACTCCTCGAGGCGAAGGGGCTCGATGCTCAATTTCGCGCTGCGATGCATGTGGCGACACCTACATATCCGCCATGGCTGGAAGGTACAATGTCAAGGTGCCGTATCATGCAATGAATCGTGGCGATACGACAGCTATCAGACAGCACAAGTCGGATTCAAACCGATAGTTTTCGCATATAACTACCTTTCGACCGCCGAACACGCGAATGAACTCTCACATCCTCCTTCCCTGCAACCCGCGGTTGCTCATCACCCTTCCTCCAGGCGACCTCGACGCTCATCTTTCTTCCATCCTGAACTCGACCGCATAATTGCTAAACAGCGCACAGCCCGACTACCAGCGCCAGCCATCCTATCAGCACAGCCCTCAATCGACGACGCAAATTTGCTCACCTTGATCATCATGAGCACGCACTCGTGCCTGAAATGTGCCTGAGACATATTTGCGGAATGCCCATACGCGTGAACGTGAACACATGCGAGTGGCCCCCTAGATCTCGTACGCGCGCAGCGGCATCTGCCCGCTCTAGCGGGAACTCCTCGCATCAAAGCCTTCAGAGCGCGCGGATGGACGTTCACATGAAGCGGACCGGGACGGTGACAATCTGGCCTGCGCAGATGGAGACGATGTCGACGCATGGGCATGGAACGCCGCTCGCACGGAACATGGAAAGCGGAGTGACGATGCCTTCGATGGCCTATCGGGCACCTTGTGAATGTAAGGAGCGGAGTCACGCGAACGTAGGGAGCGGAATCCAAGGGCGGACCACGGCGTGTTCAACGACCTCGGAGATGCAATCGCAGCAACTGCGCCAAGGCACGCGCGCGCGTGCGCAAGCTATTCCCACATCGATTCGGTACCTCATTGAATGCACGAATCGCTCACGTAGCTTGCGCTGGACGCCAAGCTGCTTGCAAGACTGAATGAGCTCGATGAGGTATCCATGCGTATATGCGGGTTTGACGACGGGAGGCGTTGCAGGAACGAGTGGATCAGGTGGGGTATTGGAAGTGTCGCGGATGGGTCAGAGTCGCATTGGCTCACTGGAGGTTGTCACACACCGGCACGTTTCAGGACTTAATCTACTGATAGCACGAGATTGCCATTCTCCCATGGGTTGTACGTATTACAGGAACCGGAAACGGACTTGCGAGGTTATAGCTTCCTTCAGACAGTCGCAGAGAGAACTTGTTGCGACTTGATTCGATTATGCACTGTACCTGACCCGTTCATCACCGCTTGCATCAGCCCAGGTCAGAACACGCACGCACCAATTGATAGGTGGTCGGATTCTCTATCATGCCCTCGACTATATCCGCTCTCCTTGAACCTTCCAATGACCCGTCGGCAATATACTTGATCTTTTCATCCAGCGTTCGATGAGCTAGACCAGCAGTGAAGGGCACCTTCACGAGGATTGAGGAGGCTAATCCTAGGATTCCCTTCGCTACCTCGATATCGGTATGAGCGCCCATGAACGCATCGAAGCACTCGGCGACGGAGAACACTCACTCTGCAGGGTGCCGTGGACGGCATCGAGGCAGGAGAGCACATGCATTGGCTGCTCCAATGCCGGTCACTGCTGGCATTACACTGCTCACCAGTGGACATCGAGCAGCTTTTCTAAGAAAGAATCAACAGGAGTCTTCGTATTGCTAGGGACGTCCCATGCTCGATCTGCTATTGAGGTCAGGAGGAGAAATCAGACAGAGTCGCGGAGGAAAACGCGACAAGACCGCCCATGAAATCGACTGATGAGCACGACGGGTCAGCAGAAGCCCACCATCAACATGACCCAGCACGCATCGCGAGTATCTCCGTCCTAGCATACCTCTTCCCGTCAGAACGCTGCACTTCCGCCCTTCTATACTGCGACGGCGGGATTCCAGACGAACGCCCTCCGGCGGGATGCGCAAGTACCTCAAATTGCAGACCCTTCTCGTCCTCCATATGCGACGACTCAGCGATCTCGGTCTTGTGCATTACGAGCGCAGACATGTGCATTCCTGCGGCTGGCATGGGAGCTGTCCAGTACTGCTCCGCGGAGAGGATAGTGGCGAACGAATTGACGGCTTGCGCCGTCTTCGTGCTTGCAGTGATCGGCAGCAGTGCGCGAGAATCGAGCGTCGTGAGGTTCGCGAAGTCGGACGCAGAGCAGGTGGTTGAGGTAAAGACTTGGAAAGAGTGCTCTCTGAGGGTGCGGCAGAGTAAGGCGAAGACAAGATTTCAGCTTCAGTTGATCGAGTGTTCACAAGCAGTAAGCATTATTTAGTCACAGAGGTGTGAGAGAGGGTAAGCACGAACTTCATGTCTCGTCGAATGACTGGAATCCGCCGCAGACAGACATGGTGAAACACTCAGGCACGGACTTGCGCACATTAGCGCGGGTTGACGCCACCAAACTGATGCACAACCACGTTGTGCGCGATATAATTGACTGACTAGTCTGACTTTAACCCTCGAGCAGGCCGAGTTCTGACAAGCCCGTGTAGTCTCGATATTCTTTGTTATTCTCGCTTCCGTATACTAGTTCGTCGTGGAGCTCCGGTTCAGGTGTAAGTACAGGATGCACATGCGGTCATGATGTGAATGAACGCTTTCTCCGTTCAAAAAAAATGTACGTCCTTATTTTTCATGCACTTCACTGCGACTGGCGTCCACTACCATCTATTAATTATCGACAGGTCGAGGAGATGATCTCTCTGTCGAATACCACCGTCTGGATGGCGAGCACCGTGAATGGCCTTTATCTCCTTCATCCGCCCCTCAAATCACGGATGTCGCATGAAAGCGGTGTGTCAGAGGTGCCACTGGTCATCGCAAAGACAGAGCATGCAGGATATGTGAGATCAGACACATTATCCTGAAGACGAACGCTACTACAATGCCCCAAGGAATTCACTGACGAATGAGGCAGGCCAGAAGGAATCCGCCGTCGGTACGAGAAACTGCAGCAAAACAGCATATATCTTCTCGTGTGAACGCCGTAAGTGGTCAATTCCTTCTGTGACAGCCCAAGAACATGAATGTTCATCAGCGAGATGTACGAACACCTGCTTTTGCAACGTACTTCTCCGCCCACTGCAACAGATCGAACAGTTCAGCCTAAGGCACCACACGCGTGGATAGACATGTTTCTGCCGTCAATGCGCCCACGGCCCAGTGCTGCTCCGTGGAATTTCGCGGGAGGGACATCGACGGCGGCATCGATGGCGGCCTTGGACTCAGTGCTGGGGGGCGTCGTCAAATGACCGGAGGCCGCTGCAAATTGACATCGTTGAGTGTGAGCTCAACTTTCGAATGCACCGGATTATTTATGATGCGATGGACTGTGCAGCTGTAACATGCTCCTATCATCCTTGTTTACAGACAATACGCTCGTAGCCGGGCTCTCCTGGCTCAACCAGCGGTGCTTCGTACGGAATGCACATGCGTGAGTGATCAAACACGTTATCGCACCATGTCTTCTCCATCGCAGGCGATTCGCAATCACCCGCCTCTCGTTGTCAATTCAGCTTCGTTCCAACCGTTATTCTCACGATTTTCTTATGCCAGAACGGAACACCGTGCACGTTAACGGTCACGACCTGCAGCACTATCATGCAGCTCGATGAAGGTTCCTTGACCAGCAGCTCGAGGAATCGGCCACTTTGTCGACTAACACTGCCTAGACGTTCGGCGCACGAGATGGCTGTCCTTGTCTCCAGACGCTCCTGGCATCACGGATGTGGTATGAAAGTGGTGCGTCAGCGAACGTTTTTACTCAAACCTTATACCATGGCTATGGGCTTGACGGGGCGCAGCTCCTAGGCGCTCGGGTGCCCGGATGCTTATGCGCTTCCCGCCTGTGTCTTGCGGACCCGGGTGCAGGCGTCCTGCGACACAGATTGTGGTGCTGTGTAAGGAATCGCATATAAGGTGTATAGCCACAGCGGCTATCACGGGCAGGCCACCCATGGCCGCACTCGCGGTGTGTGTGCCAGTGCAGGATGTGGCCAATTTGATGAAAATTTACGGTATGTGTGGTCTATACAATCAATCTGATACCATATGCTGATAAGAAGTGTACGTGACGAGGCGCCCCGAAACTTCTCCAGTTACACCTTTTGCCCTCCCTCTGACCGTGGCAGTACTCACAGACGCGATGTTCATTGAGGTCCAGTGCGCATATTATGCTGTGCAGAATAGAAGTTTTTCCGTTCTCAGGATCATCGCGTAATCTGGAGCAGTGCAGCAATGTCCGCAGAATACGAAGGGACCTCTGGCCAGGTGCTGTATATGGGATGAGTTTCCGGAATGTCTATCCATCTGCAAGGCACGTAAGATCCTCAGCCTGTGCATGGTAATGCGAGTGAGCTGTAAGGACGCAGATTCCAACCCAGAGAAAACGAAATGACCGTGCTATGCATGTCGTGCATCGTCTTTAGTCCATGTCTGACTCAGTTGCCCAGATACACACCTCATCGAGCGCTAATTACATCGTCGGGCTGTGCGTTGTCGATAAACGGGCGGTGCGTGTACAGCACCTTCAGGAATCACGCTGATTGACAGGCTGTGTGTGATCTGAACATGGCGTTTCAGGAAGCCACGCAATTACGTGGGCCGCGTGAAAACTTCTAGAAGACGTTGCATACGGAGGCACATTGCAATGCGATGAGATTCATACATATATCCCAAGAGCAGACCTGAAAAGTCAATCCTGCGACCATCTACCACCCACTCGACACCAACTATGACATCCTCAGAACAGTACCTGAAACACATCACGAAAGCTTCAGGGGACAAGGTACTCAAGGTACAAAGGCTTGCGCCAACGGTAAGTGGGAAAGCGCCGCGTATGCGTTCTTGACGATTTATGCGCTGCGCTGCGTTAGATCAAGGGTGAGGCGGTCAAGACTGGCTCATCGGCGACGAGAACTCTGCCGCAGCTTCCGGTCGAGGTGTGGGAGAACGTGATTGACCATCTGTGGGCCGACCAGTGGGCTTTGTGGGAGTGCAGGCTCGTCTGCCGAGCATGGTACCCTCCGAGTCGCTTTTACTTGCTCAAATACATCACGATGAGGAGTGTGAAGGGTGTGAAGGCATATGCGAAGGAGCTGAAGCAGACGCCCGAGCTGTCGAAGCGGCGGCACCATATGACTATATCGGGCAATCAGAGGACAGATATGTCAGTACTGTGGCCGGCAGCGACCATGCTCGCTCGCAAGCTGCCCCGACTGGAGACGCTCGACATCCGGTGGTCAGAGTGGAAGCCGTGGACGATGCACCGCGACGTCTTCCTGCATCTCTCTGGCTTCTCCTCCGTCACTCGTCTCCATCTCTCTGATGTCACATTCCCCTCAATCACCGTCTTTGGGCGCCTCGTCTGCGCACTGCCACGTCTCGTCGCGCTCACATGCGAGGATCTGGAATTCACACAAGACCAATTTCACCGCGATATATTTGGTCCATATCGTGATCGCGTCAACATCCGCTACTTGCAACTCATGGACAATCTCAAGAGAGCGGAGAAACTCATCGACTTCCTTGCTTATCCTGTCATCTCGAGTCACTTGCAGAAACTGGACCTCACATTTACATCACCATACAAATGGGACTGGCAGCGATTGTTGGATGCTGCCTCTGGCTCGCTCTCAGAACTGCGATGCAATCTTCCGTCCTCAGCACTACGGACGGGTACAGAGGTGTCTACTGCAGGTGCCATGCGCTCTAGTTTCATGCAAGCATTTCTTCTAACTAAAGTCTCTCTAGATTTGTTGCCATCATTCACTGACCATACCTCACTGCAGAGACTATGCGTAATCTTTCATGGTCCTATTCAAGGTTGTGGCCTGGACACATTGCATCAAATGTTACTTTCGATCAAGTCAGTCAAGCTTCGAGAAATTGTGATAGTGGTCGATTTGCATATACTCCGACGTGGAATGAATCACGTGAAGCGGATCATGAGGGCATTTCTGAAACCCCATGAGTCTGCTCGCCACAAAGAGATTGACAATCATTTTTCGTCCGATTCATTCGGATTGCTGAGCAGAATAGAATTCAAGCTTGTATACTTCTCTCGGACGTATACCCCCAATGGCCATATGGATCATAAAACATTCCCTGAGGAGCAGTGGAAGCAGCAACTCGAATCTTTATTCCCACAACTGACCAAGCGAGGTATCTTCCGGTGAGTATCCCACATTTTACGCCTAGACTCATGCATTCATCTGTGTCGTGATATTGGAACCACAGCGCCACGATGAGGAAAAAGCGCTTTGCAAACGACTTTTGATTATCACGCCCGTTGTATCTCCAGCAGATCCTTCCCGCGTTCGCGGTCTTGTCTCCGCTCTGGCAGCAGTGAAGGGCACACTCAAGTGGACCGCGGAGGTTTCCACCCTCATCTCGTCGGCCCTCCGAAGTGTTGTATGATCATGCACGTCCCTGGCTACCCACCACGGTCTCTTCCACAATCCCCTGCTCTGCATACATCACCCACTACTACATCGCATATATGCAAGTTCCAGCATCCGGTTCTCGCATATCGCCATCGCCATTCCGACGCTCAGACATCCATTTTCCTCATCTCGTTCTCGTCCCCATCTCCATATGCTCCGCCAACGATCACTCATCCCACGACTGCTACATTCCCCATTCATACACACGCGCTATCCGCTGGAATTCCCGCACAAGGTCTCGATAGCGGCCAGGCGATCTTGGTCAGGATTCCACAGAAGATGTATATCCGTCTGGTTCGTCATCCGCACGGCGATGCCTGTGACGCTTACTCCACCGGACTATCCGCACTTCGACGGGTAATTCGACACGGGCACAGCAGATCCATTGAATACGTCTCCGCCGAGAGTCTCCTGAAGGCGAACTGGCCTGATATTTTATCTCGTGCCACACTACATCTTCCGTGCTCGTATGTGCACCCACATTCGCAATCTCTACAAACAATGTCAAGACGCTATATCACGCAACGAACCCCGGCGACATGACAACATCAGGCGATGCGATTTCACGAGCGAACTGACTCTAGCCGGTGGAGACTCAACGGAGTCCGCACGCTCTCCTCCCCTGTGATCCGCAGGTGCTCAGTCAGCCCAGGATGACCTCGAACCTCATCTGCCGCTCGTCATTCAACTCGAACATATAGCCCCAGTGACAACACGCAACTGGCCTGCCACCGGCGGACATCCCATCGACAGACTCCTCCATCGACGAGGCGCACTGGATCAGATTCACCTAGACGAGCGCAAATCCGTCCTCAAGACATATGCGCGGATTGTCCGTACGTGTGAACATAAACGCGTGCCGGTGGCCCTTGATTTTCTTCGTACGAAGCAGGATCCCAACCGTCCTCAACTTAACGATCCGGCCAAAACTCCCTCATGTTGGGGCCCAACAGTGTGCGGGCTATCTTCGTGAATGGGATCGGGATGGTGGCGATCTGGCCTGCGCAGAGGAGTACCTTGTGAATGTAGGGAACGGAGTCGCGCGAACGTTTGAAGATGGTACGACGGTGGGCCACAGCGTGTTCCATGGATTTGGGATGCAATCGCAAATCTACTGAATGACCGCGTCGAGGTACGCGAGCGCATGCGCTGGCTGTTCCCGCGTCGAGTCGGTACCTCATCAAGCGTACAAACTGCTCATGTAGCTTGTGCTGGACGCCAGGCTGCTTGCAAAATTCAACGAGCTCAACGAGGCACCATGCATATCTCGCGGGTTTGGTGTCAAGATAGTGCAGAGTTCCGATAGGAATAGTTGCTAGATTGAATGGCTCAGGTGCAGTGTTGGAAATATCGTGTATGGGTCGGAATTGTGTGGCTCACTGAATGTTGTCGCACACCCGGCGCGTTTTAGGACTTTGCTAACTGATAACACGAGGTTATTATCATTCCACGGCTCGTGTATCGTATAGGAATCGAAAACGGACGTGCGAGGTTGTAGGTTTTGCAGAGAAGGCTTGACTAGATTTGCAATATAGTCCGGCCCGTTCATCGGCGCTCGCATCAGCCCCATGATTCTGACCATGTCAGCCGCCAGTTGGTGCTTACGCCCAGTAGTGTCCCGTAGTATGCAGCTGAGACAAGGTGTCCTTATGCAGCCATAGTTCAGGTACGAAAGTCTATTCGCGTTCTTCAGCGTTGCGACAATCATTGGTGCGTATCGTCAAGTATGAATGCCACGCTCCAGGCTGATAGTCACCCTCCAGTGTTTCTGGTAAGTCAGAACACGCACACACTATTGAAAGAGACTGATCCTCTATCACGCTCTCGACTATTTTGCTCTCCCGAACTTTCTTCCAGTGACCCGTTGATGATATACTTGGTCTTCTCATCCAGCAATCGAGAAGTTAGACGAGCGACGAGGGTGCCTTCACCATGATTGAGGACTCGGGCCCTAGGGTACCTTGTTTTTAAGTCGATGCCAGTATGAGTATCAATTAATGCATCGAAACACTTGTCGAAACCAGAGTCGCCAGATGAGATGGCTGACCCAATTTGGGCCCCAGGGACCTGACTAGAGTACATATAGGGTGTACAAACGACTGCCATTCAGCGCAGTCGTCCGCTGCTTAAGTATGTACAGCAAGTAGCTACGCCGAGCGTACGTCACGTGCCTCATCCAATTTTGCAGGGTACCACCTTGCGACGTGTTAAGCGCGCTCAACACCAGAAGAGTCCGGAAACCGGCTCCTTCCAACAACACTCAGCGATGGAGAAACACTTACTCTATTACCTGCGCGGTGCTGTAATCGTGCAGGAAGCCTGCAATCCGAGCGTGTCCAGCGTGGTTGGACTTTGACGTCCAACTTGCTTACACAATAGAACATGCGGCGCAATTGAATAGGTTCGCGGTTACGAGCGAGTACGATTCGCCCTACAGGACGAAATGGTCGTCAAGATCATTGGAGCTGAGATGAGGCCCAGCGCAGATACCATCTGCAACCATGATTATACTATGAGGGAATATGTAGGCCACGTAGTGCTCTATAGCGCATTATAGCCGCTCATAGTATATTTAAGTTCCAGATGACGATCACATGCGCTTGTAATCTAAACAAACGGTCTACTATGTGTTAAACAAATACGTCCTTGTTATAATTATTCATCCGGCGTCTCATGCTTCGACTGTCATCGGCTACTAGGAGTTCTTTTTCTCAGAACCACACAACACCGAGCGTGCCGCTTCTGCGATGGGCGGCAGGACCATCCAGCATCGCCTGGACAGTGAGCACCACCGATCGCCTTCCCCGCCTTCATGGGCTCATCAAATCGCGGATATGACCCTGCTCTTGCTATGCAGACACTGCGCTCGTAGGCAGGCGAAGGGGTGCTATATACAGTATCCCCATGTGCACGCATAATGTTAGTGATCAAGCACTGTCACTCGTCCCTTGTCTTCTCCATTGCGGCCGATTCGCCGTCAAACGCGTTGCCGTTCAGCGTCTCGCTGGCACCAGACCCTCTTCCGAAGGCGTCACGTATGTGGCACGAATGCGGTACATCTGACGAGCAACGCTCCCTGTCAAACCTCGGGCTATGACTATGGGACGGGCTGTGACTATGGGATTGACGGGGCGCAGTTCCTAGGTAAGACACACATATTGACTTGGAGAAAATGAGATGATCACGCTATGAATTATGTCATGCGCCGTCTTTTCGCCCATGTCTGCAGATACGCATGGTCCCACTTGTCGACTGCTAATTATACCGCTAGGCTGTGCATTGTCAATGAACAGATGGCGTGCGTACGGCACCTGCAGATTGATTGAATGGTTGTGTGTATGCGTGATCTGAACATGGCTGTGCAGTGCTTGCATCGCAGGGCAATGCACGCGGTCATGTGGGTGGTGTGTGGATTTCCCGGAATCAGAATCACGTTGCAATGTGGTGAGATGGATATATATTGCAAGAGCCGGCTTGGAAACTCATACCTGTGACGATCCTCCGCTCCAGCGCTATGAAATCCATCAAACGGAAACTGGCACGTCTCGCGGACAGGACGAGAATCAACTCACAATGGCTTGTGCGAATCGTGAGTGAGCACTAACTCCATGTATGCGTTCCTACCTATTTACATCCTGCGCTACGTTAGGTGAAGGGCAAGGGCAAGGCAGGCCGTACGGCCTCATCCGAGGTGGAAGCAACTGTGCCGCAGCTTCCAATCGAGGTGTGGGAGAACGTGATCGACTATCTGTGGGACGACGACAGTACTTTGAGGCGGTGCGTCCTTGTTTGCCGGGCGTGGTACCCTCCCAGTCGCTTTCATTTCTACACGAGGATCACGATCAGGAGTGTCAGGGGCGTGAAGGCGTACGCGAAGATGCTGAAGCAAACGCCCGAGCTGTCGGAGCGGGCGCACGATATGACAATAGTGGGCGATTGGGGGACAGATCGGTCCGCACTGTCGACGGCGGCGATCCTGCTCGCTCGCAAGCTGCCCCGATTGGAGCAGCTCCACATTGAGTACTCCGATTGGAACCCATGGACGATGCACAGCGACATCTTCCTGCTCCTCCCCGCCTTCTCCTCCATCAGTTGCCTCGATCTCCGTGATGTCACATTCCCGTCAATCAACGTCTTTGGGCACCTCGTTTGCGCACTGCCAGGCCTGGTCGAGCTCAAATGCTTCGATCTGGAGTTCACACATGACTACTTCCATCATGATACGTTCGGCCCATATCACAACCGCGTCAACATCAGATCCTTATCACTCAAGGAAGATTATCACGAGACACCTGAGAAGCTCACCGACTTCCTTGCTCATCCTTGCTTCTCGAGTCGCTTGCAAAGACTCATCATCGATGATTTATTTCATGTGGCTGAATCACAACACCGATGGAAATGTCAGCGACTATTGGATGCCGCATCTAGCTCACTCTCAGAACTGCGATTGAGTCTTGTATACTTTGGACAATTGGCACATAGCGAGGTGTCTACCGCAGGTGCGCACTCTAGTTTCATGTAAGCATTCTTTGCTAACCAGTCTCTCCAGATTCGGCGTTGTCATTCACTCACAACACCTCGTTGCAGAGCCTATGGCTAGCGTTTCCTGATAAGTTGGGAGTTTTCGACCTGGACACATTGTATCAGGTCTTACTTTCGATCACATCAGGCCAGCTGCGAGAAATTGTGATATTATTCAAGTGGTTTTCCGACGCTAGAGGAGTCAATAAAACGAAGCGAGAAGTGAAGAACATGCTCAAAATCCATGAGTCTGTTCGCCACAAAGAGATTGATAATTATCTTTCGTCTGCCTCATTCAGTACACTGAGCAAAGTCGAATTTGCACTTGAATGTTATGATACTACCAGGCTCAGCCATAATGGGGTAGTTACAGTGGCCGAGGAGCAGTGGAAGCAGCAACTTCTGCCATTATTCCCACGACTGACCGAGCGAGGCATCTTGAGGTGAGTATTCCACATTTTGCGCATAGACTCACGCATTCATCTATGTCGCGATATTGGAACTGTAGCGCCACAGTGAGGGAACCTGGATATGGAGACAACTTTTGATCGTTGCGGCCATTGTGGACCATGAAGATGTCTACCTCGTCTCTCCAGCTCCTCAAAGTGCCCACATTCCTGCACGTTCTTGGCTATCCGTCATCGTCTCTTCCACAATCCCCTACTTCAAGTACATCGCACTCTACTGCATCACATATCTGCAAATTCCCACATTCCGGTCACTTCGTACCGCCATTGCCATCCTGAAAGTCAGACACTCCTCGTCTCTACATCTTCCACACCGTGCGCTACGCTAGTAATCGCTCATCCCACGATGATACATTTTCAATTGGTACACTCTCAAGTACATGCTGTCTGCTGGAATCGACCACAAGGTCTCAGTAGCGGCCAGGCGACCTTGGCCGGAGTTCTCCAAGAGACATTCATCTGACCGTTTCGTCATCTTCAGGCCGATGCCGGCGACATTCATTCTACGGAGCTCGTTTGGAGTTGCAAAAGCGTCCCACACTTGGACGAGTGATTCGATACGGGCTCAGCAGGTCGGATACATCTCCGCCGAGGGACTCCTGAAGGCGGAGTGGCCTGATATCTGATCTCGTGCCATGGTGCAAGTTCCTATGCTCGTATGTGCATCACATCCGCAATCTCTACAAACAATGTCAGAATGCTATATCACGCAACGAGCCGCGGTGACGCGATAAGATCGGATGATATAAGTCTTGCTCTTGTCGGCGGGCGCTCAAAAGGGCTTCTCCCGCCCTGTGACTCGCAGCTGCTAGATCAGCGCAGGATGACCTCGACGCTCATCTGCCGCTGGTCTCAAACACATCAATTCCGATTGACATCCACAGCACGACTACCAGCGCCAGCCATCCCATCAGCACGGTCCTCAATCGACGAAGCACACTCGCCCACCTTATCATCGTGAGTACAGACCCACGCCCGAGGTATACGTGCGGACTGTCTATACGTGCGAACGTCAACGCGTACCGGTGGCCCTTGATATACTCCGTACGAAGCAGGATCCCAGCCGTCCTCAACTCAACGATCCAGCCAAAACTCCCTCACGTCAGGACTCAACAGCGCGCAAGTCATGTTCATGAAGGGGATAGGGACGGTGGCGATCTGGCCTGCGCAGACAGAGATCATGTCGACGCTCGGGCACGGAATGCCTCTCGCACGGGAAATCGAAAGCGGAGTGACGGTGTTATCATGACTTTGAGAATGCAACAAAAGCTGCTTCAGTATGTTCAATTGTCAATACATTTAACTCTGAAATCGACGGAGCGTTACGTACATAATCTGCAGCGAAGTTTCCACTGCATCATCAGCAAAACGTCCGATCGCCGATCTGGACAGAAATGGTAGTCAGTACCACTGCCGTATTGCAAGAGCAGGCATTCGCAGATATTATCAGAAAATCCTCCATAGGGTTCGGTGCTGCCAGGCCTGCTCATTCCCAGTCAGGTATGTATTTTCTGGCACATAACTGACTGCTGGTCATTAGATATGTGCAGATATTGTAAGGCAGGATTGACATGCAGAAGTAAGGCTCCAACTATTTATACTATTTACACTCCTGAGGTGTAAATTGTTGGAATCTGGGCACGGAGCGCAGATGCGAGAGGCCCCGGTGTGACCTGCGCCACTGGCGTGGGAGAGTAGTAGCACGCGTGTATATAGTAGGGCACAGCTACAATGGGACGGGCCATCGGTTTGGCCCCGTGGAGCCATCTTCTAAAGAGCGGGCGACTCCCAAACTCCTGGCTGCGCAGCGGGCTGACTGGGAAACTCAACACAAACTGATCACCATTGACCAAGAGGCACTCACCGCAATCAATGAGAACCACCACTATGAGGTTCCTGCTGGGGACCATGATGCTGACTGGTGAGTAATCCAGTTGGCAGGTCAAGGGCTGGGAGCTGGGGCAGGTCGCCGAGGTGTGAAGGCTGCAGGGCAGCTGAGGGACAGGTGCGACCAGGCAGAGGTGGGATCAGGAGGTCGAGGGCAGGAGGGTGAGGGTCAGAGGGTTGACCGCGGGGCACCGCTGCAGTGATACAAGACACCAGGCGCAGGGGGCAGGCACTGCACGAGGCGGGCCTACCAGCGAGGCGAGGGCGGAGCAGGACGTCAAAGGGTGGGCTGAGCAGATGCCGAGCAAGACAGGCCAGCAGTCCGATGAAGTGGCACAGCCACAGCACGCGGAGCGCCAAAGAAAAGCCGAGCGAGGTGCTTGCACAGAGCACGCACGGAACAGAGACTGAGACCCGAATCCAAGGGGCATCAGGACTGGTGTGCAGACTGAGCGAGCGACTAGCGCGTGGAGGCGCTATAGGAAGTCACCAAAAATGGGCACGTACAGGATGCGTATGGTACGGAGACCGGGACCCAAGATCAGGGGGCGCCAGGACTGGCGTACGGACTGAGGCAGGCAGGGAAGCACATGAAACGGAGATCAGCATCTCTGGGGACAGGGAGTGCGGTACAGGCGTGTGGCCCACAATGGGATTGACGCAGCAGTGGCTAGGTCGAGGGGGCATGTTGGAATCTGGGCACGGAGCGCAGATGTGAGAGGCCCCGGTGCGACCTGTGTCACCAGCATGGGAGAGTAGTAGCGCGCGTGTATATAGTAGGGCACCGCTACAATGGGACGGGCCATCGGTTTGGCCCCGTAGAGCCATCTTCTAGAGAGCGGGCGACTCCCGAACTCCTGGCTGCGCAGCGGGCTGGCTGGGAAACTCAACATAAATAAATAGTATATAGTAAATAGTTGTCTATATATCATATAAACAGTTTATATAAAGTTTATATAGTTTTTTTGGTTCCATCTTTTGGTAGATTTTTACTCAACTGTGAGCAGCCTCTGTGATTATTGAGTCCTTTAAGGAGCTGTGTGCATCAGCACGCACATGACAGTGAGCAGAAAACAAACATTCAATGTCAACACTTGCACCAGAAATGACAAGGAAATCTTATGCTATACAAGTACAGTCATGTTCATGAGCCTATATGATGATCAACTGTCAGTAGTGGCTTCTGTCAAACAGTATGACTTTCAATTGGCTCACTGTTGCACTGTCATATCTAGCAATTGTGCACTCAATGGCCCTATATCTCAATAAAACTATTTATACTATATATATACATCTGTTTACTATGTACAGGCCCAACTGTAAATAAACAGATATAGTAAACAGTTAAAACTATGTAACATAGTATATAGATAGAAATGTTGGAGCCTTATGCAGAAGGCTGTCTGAAGCATATGCGCTGCATATCTAAAATCCAATGCTACAGTGCGGGAGGCCATAATATTTATAAAGAGAGAAATATAATTTATTGTAAAGTAGACGGTGTAATGTATCATAATGTAATATGGAATCAAACTGCAGAAAGACCTGGTACTGTGTGCATAGGAGTTCAGACTCACAATGCAGCAAAGAGGATGTCAGCATTGTCGTTGTCCTCATCTGAAGCATCGCTACCAGCCCAATACTGTCACGGTACCAGTCGTGATGTCACTGCGGCGCATAGCATACCGTTAGCTCAAACCCTGTCAAATATAGTCGTGCATGTATATAAGCCTTCACTCTGGTTTGATTCACTGAGTCAGTCCACTTTCCTTACAGCGCTGACAGTCTCGACCCCCACCCTCCACCACTGCATCGCCATCTTCCACTTCATTTTCTTCATCGATGATATAGTTGAATTTGTGACGTTCCTCGTCCTTGAAGTTCTCGTCAGTTGCAAACAACAACTGAAACTCAAAACCCGAGGAACAGACGCTGAGCTTACTAAGCACACAGACGAGAAAAGAAATGTGCTGCAACTGTGACTGCATCGCGTTTCTTCTCCTCGTCAACATCTCGCCATCCGCTCGCATTGAAGTTTTCTCATTACAGCTTGTTTCCACAGGGTTTGTTCCTGTCCCTGAATGACATGACTGAAGGAGCGCAGCCACATGCTGCTGGAAGGAAGTCACCCAAGACTTAGCAAGCAAGCGGTATCGAGCCGTTTGGCCGTACCGGGGAACCTCGTGCCGGTCACATCAGGAAAACTCAATTCCGGCTTATGATGCTTTTATCTGCTTGCCATCATCAAAAAAGACAGTAAGTCTGAGAAAGTCTCAGGACCTCCTTGTTTTAGACTTTTCTCCGTGTTGGGAGCTTCTTACGTGTGCTTATTGGCTTGTACAATCCAAATCCAGCCAGAACAAGTCAAAAAGAAGGTTCTCGAGCCACAAGCCGATTTGAGTTTTCCTGATGCATTGACCTGGATGATGCTCTCGAGCATCAATGCGTCGTATGCAAATACGTTCATATGGCTGCTTATGTGACCTTTGTCAGGAAGGTGCTGAGGAAGGACGGTATGCAGAGGAACCCATGAATGTAGGCCACGCAGAGCCACCTTTGCCCGGCGTGCATTCGCTAGCTACATGCATGCAGGTGAGTGTCTTTATCAGCGCACTGCCCGCCGCACAAAGGTGCATATACTCACCACCAGCGCATCCTCCCCCTTCGCACGGCGTCACATTGTTGCCCGTCCATTGTCACCCACGTGCGTCGACAGCATGCGGACGAGTAGTGGTGAGTCTTTCAAGGGCACGCCCAGCTGCTCTTGCATACTTGCTCTGACGTCTGGGGCCACGCGCAGGTGTCCTGATTGCAACCACCTTGCCGCTTTGTGGAAGCTGAAAGGGTGGATCTCGGAGACAACTACTCAACAAGGCTGCACGCATCGCAGCTGAATGGGTACGTCATGGCCTTGTGGGAATTTCTCAAGCTGCAGACTCCCTGATTGCCAAGCAGACCTGCCTGTCGGTGATCAAACAAGGGTGCAGGGGCAGAGCAGCCTGAGCGTGATTTTGTCACAGTATTAAGTGGCACCTTTCTTTTTGCACCATTAAAGTCCTCATTTGAGTGGTTATTCGGACGCCAACCTTCATATTGGTCTCACAAAGTGAATACTTGGACAAACAGCACAATACCACCACATACATTGCAGATATTACTGTGTCTACCACATGACCACCAAGCACCCATGATTCAGCCACCCAGTCACGTGACACTGGCCACTTGCCCTATTCAGAAGTTGTCAGGCGTTGGTCACGTGACACCAGGCCACTTGCCCAGAAAGGAACCCATTGAACCATCAAGCTAGCAAGCACCCAATTCGCCACTCAAGATAGTGGCACCACTTTACTGCCTAAACCAATAGGCAGATACCACAACAGAGGATCCCCCTACCAACCGGCATACAGTATAGCCAGGTACAGGATAGGCTAGATCTTCTCACAA